ACCTCACTACTACTGACATTCGAGAGGAAGGGATTCTTTGTGGCGGGGTGTTGTTTTGTGCCTTTAAAAAAAATCCCATAGATAATAGTAGCACCCTCCTGCCCCAGAGGTGATAATCAAAAATTATACCCAGACATTGTCAAATGTCTCCTGGGGCAGGGGTTGTCTACCTCGCCCCTCCTTGAGGTTACTGACCTAACCCATTTGTCCGCCAGTGACCAGGCATGAGAACAAGGCCACCCTAAACAATCCAGCTCCGGCCAAGCCATCCTAGATGGCAGAAGTGCCCAGCTTGATCCATGGACTCATGAGAAATAATATTTGTCATTCTGGGTCAATAAGTTTGGGGTGTTTTGTTGCCCAGCACAAACGTTCCCATGTGACTCGGTGGCTTCAACTGGTAGGGGGCTATCTGTCCTACAGTACAAGTACAGAGGTGAGCAGTTCTACACTCTTGGGTGGCTCCAGGCACCCCTTGCTCTTGTCTTTCCGGTCTACTCTCCTTGGTGGGGGAGCTCTGGCTGCTGCTTCTTCTTTTTTTTTGGTTCCCGGGGATTGAACTCAGGGACACTCGACCACTGAGCCATGTCCCCAGTCCTATTGTGTATTTTATTTAGAGACAGGGTCTCACTGAGTTGCTTAGCACCTCACCATTGCTGAGGCTGGCTTTGAACTCACGATCCTCCTTTCTCAGCCTCCCGAGCCTTGCTGGCTTCTTGCTTTTTATCTGATGATCCCCAAAACAGTTTGCTCTTGCACCAAACCTGAGCCCCAGGACCAAAAGGGGGCAGGGGGCAAAGGGGCAAAGCTTTCTCCAAGGGAAGCCCTCCTGGGGCTTTCCTTTATGTCCTTGGGCAGAGCTCACACTGCGCCCTTGCTAGCTGCAAGGGAGGCGGGGAAATCGAGGGCGCAGCATTCAGCCTCTGAGGCAGGATACGCTCGTTGGCGCCCCCTGGTGCCTGCAGCACCCGCTCGCTTGGGGGCTCCGGGTTCCTGGTCTCTCTACTCTTTGCAGCTCCGACCTTCTGTTTCTGAACACCGTGCTACAGGAAAGGTCCTCGCCAGCCTTGGAGCGGCACCTTCTCTCTCTGCCCCAGCTCCACCACTGTCCTGAATGGCACCCTAAGCGCAGAGATGCTGATTGGCCCGGCTGGAATTAGGAGGGAAATCGGATTGGCCTGGCTGGGGTTGGGTAACTACCACCCAGCCAATCAGCGACGGCCAAGGGAGCCGCTCAGGGGAGGGAGGGGCGGGGCCGAGGAGAAGCCGCCTCCTTGGAGGAGTCAGGAGAATAAATTGCCCTTCGGAGGTGATGTTGATAGGCTAAACCTTAACACGTTCCTTTGAAAGAACTAAAGTATGGGGATTCATGAAGCCATTGTATATATACCTGTTCAACGAACAATGGATTTTTCACACAATTTGGATCTCAAACTTGCACCAGCTCCTTAACCAAGCGATCTGTTCTGGTGCTAGAGAAAAACTTTCTTTGGACTTTGGAGATGAGGTGCCGTTTTCATACTACCAGATTCCTCTTCCAGTTTCTGGAATTTTCACCTTTTCAAGGTCACTGACTTTAGATCCCGCCCTCTGTAAGATTCGCCTTCTGGGGGAGATCACATAAAGAGTTCATGGATTTCCCCTGAGGTGTGTGTGTGTGTGTGTGTGTGTGTGTGTGTTGCTGGGGATTGAATTGAACCCAGGCCCCTGGGCATGAGAGGCAAGCACCCTACCAATTGAGCTGTATCCCCCGCCCTCCCCTGAGTTTTAATTGGTATTAGTAAGACACTTGGTTTTAAAACATAAAAAATATTTTTATTGTAGATCTATAGAATCAATCCTATTCATGACTTCTGGTTCTTCCCCTTCCCCCAACACAAGGAGGCGGTGAGAGGATAGGTGGACAGAGAAAAAGCAGGCCATGGGAGAAACAGAGACGGAGCCTGGGCAAGGAGGGTCCCTCCCAACACCAGGCGAGGGCGGTGCGGCCTCCTGGGCAGTGTGTGTTCTCTGGGAACTTGGTCTGTCCTTGTGGTCTGGGACTGGAACCACTGGGCCATCTTGGTGTGGCAGAATGGACAGGATGAGATGGAATTAGAAACTCGGGTTCAAGACCGGTTCCTGAATTTAAAGCTGTGGGATTCTAGGCAGGTCCGTGAACCCCCCTGGGCTCAGCTTCTCAGCTACAAAACGGGGAGCACAATATTCTTGACCTCCTTGGGCCCAGGAAGGATTTAAAAAGTGTTTTGAAAATTGCACGAGAGTGCCATAGGAATGTTAGTTGTTATTATGGAAGCAATTAAACTGATTGGCATTCTAAATTTATTACAATAAAGTCAGCTCTAAATTCCCTATGGCCTGGCCCAAGAGCCCTGAGCTTCCCCTTCTGCCTGATGCCAATGACAGTCTTGGATTTTCTCCACTACGGGTCTCCCAGAGCTCCTTTAGGGTGTGATGTCATGACCCAAATGTGAAACTGTGTCATTGTACATACCAGACTGAGGAGTCTAGGTCACAAACATACTTTCACATACCTGAGTTTGTACATATTCATAGTTATTAAAAAAAAAAAAGAACCCCTGTTCCCCCACACTCTCAAATACATACTGTGCAAAATACCAGTCTAGAAAGTCAAACGCTAGGGTAAAAATCTTTAAAGTCCTACATAAAACGTCTTAATATTTTGACATGGAGGAGTCAAACCGACTCACGGAGAATCACATGAGTCTGGGTGAGACGACATTGCTCTAGTTCCTTCCACCAGGCTTAGAAAACAACAGGCTCTGGCTGGGTTTGCTGGATGTCTCTTTATTCATCTCTCTTTCTTGGTCCATCTTGGAGGTGGCTTTTTTGGCTCCAACCTTCAACAAGCAAGAGGCACAAACTCTAGAATTGCTGTGAGATCCCAACATGTTCCACCCAAATGGTTTCATTTGATTTGGTAACCAAAAGAAAATGTCGCACACACGCGCACGTGCACACACACACACAGATCAGAGCAAGGAGGAGATAAAATGGCTCATCATTATCACACTATCCATTGACAAGCTGCATTACTGTTTGGGGTGCGCCCTTCCAGCAACAGCTGTGGCTGGCCCCTTTTACATCCTTGTTTCGTGGTCTGGAAACCAGGAACTGTGTATGGTGAACACATTCGCAGTGATGCAGTCTCTCTCCATGGGCTCTCACTGCATGAAAGGTGTCTTCCATCTGAAGGTTTGGAAGGAGAGCGTGCAGACTGCTCAGGGGAGCACCCTGTCCTGGAAGGAGCATCCGGACAGTCACGATCTGACTCTGCTCCCAGGTCTTAGTTGCTTGGTCCCTTGTCACAGCCGGGCTTTTTGGAAGATCTCTCCCAGGACTTGGGGTTGTGGGCTCTGACATGCTATTCACCCCCTTCCTGTCAGTCACATGGCTGGGGACAAAGCCATCAGAGGCCTGGAGGGGCACAAAGGACCAGAAGTGTGTGTGTGTGTGTGTGTGTGTGTGCGTGCGCACGTGCATGCGCTAAGTTCTTTTCACTTTAGGACAGGTTTAAAAGTCCCCTTCTGAGACCTGGGCCAGTGGCTGAGGGTCTGGAATGCCATTTGAGAACCTGCCTTCATCATGTTGGGCGCGGTGGCACACGCCTGTAATCCCAGCGGCTCAGGAGGCTGAGGCAGGAGGATCACAGGTTCAAAGCCAGCCTCAGCAACAGTGAGGAGCTAAGCAACTCAGTGAGACCCTGTTTCTAAATAGAAAATAGGGCTGGAGATGTGGCTCACTGGTCGAGTGCCCCTGAGTTCAATCCCTGGTACAGCACCCCCCATGCCAAAAAAAGGCTGAGAACTCTCCAGTAGCCCTCCAAATAAATATTGGTTTGAGTGACCTGGGGGGGAATGTCATAAACCTCTCCCCTCTGCACAGCCTTCCCTTTATTTGATTTTCAATAAAATTGCTTGTCTGCGAATGGTTTTCGAGTGCCCGAGCCCTGATGGGGGGTGCAATATTGGCTGTGGGACCCAGAAAGTTTGTTAAAAATAGTCCCATGGGCTGGGATTGTGGCTCAGCGGTAGAGCGCTCACCTGTGCGGGACCGAGTTTGATCCTCAGCACCACATTAAAAAAATAAAGGCATTGTGTTAAAAAATAGTCTCAGGTCCTGTCAGTCTCCACCCCCAGATCTGCCAACAGCCTGAGGCAGAAGGACCACGGATTCTCTCTTCAGTGTGACAGGGAGGGGCAGCAGAAGGCAGACTGGGCGACCTGACTCACCCTGGAAGAGGTGGTGGCTGGGGCCTGTGAACCTGTGTGGGGGGTGGAGGGCAGGGGTGGGGGGCCCCCTGGCAGAGCCCAGCCTGGAGAGAGGCCAGAGCACCACCATCCCCCGCTGAGGTTTTGGAACCACAAGCCTCCCCCTGAGGACCAGAAGCCAGGCTTTAAACAGTGACACCCAGGTGGAAACCCACTCAGGATGCACGGGGTGGCTGTTCTGGAAAACCACAGGCCTGGGCTCTAGCGAGCTCCCTGCCCATCCTGCAGCCTCCTGGTCGAGGCCCTTGGACTCTGAAATAGGATCCTGGGCTTGGCCCTCGGCCTTGCCCTCAGGGCACCGTGCCCACAGTCACTATCTAAGTGGTGCTTGTTTTGACCTTTAAAAAACCGGTTCCAGGCTGGAAGCCAGAGGGGCCTGGATTTTTATGTTTTCATTCTTCTAGAGCCGTGTTTCTCAGCCTTTGCCTTTATCTGTCCCTCCCCTGTGGATGTTTTTTGCTAATCCCTCCCACTCTATGAGATTTTAATATCACAGATAGCACTATGCGTGTGCGCATGTCCCCCCCCCCCACGCGCGCTCGCACACGTTGAGTAATCCTCACCCCAGAGTTTGGGACCGATGTGTTTCAGGTTTTAGATTTTCCCTAGTTTCAGAATAGTTGCATACCCAATGAGATATCTTGGGGATGAGACCCAAGTTTGAATACCAGATTCATTTATGGTTCATATACACCTTACACACACGCATAGAAGATAATCGATACAACATTTTAAATATTTTGTGCAGGAAACAGCACTTGCAGCATTACATCAGCACTCAAAATGTTTTGGATTTTGGAACATTTTGAGTTTGGGACTTTCAGATCAAGGACATATTTGTGCTTTATATGTAAAGAATAAATGTTGGCGGAGTGTTGTGGCACATGCCTGTAATCCCAGAAACTCAGGAGGTTGAAGCAGGAGGATAGCAAGTTCAAGACCAGCCTTAGCAACTTAGTGAGGCTCTGTATCAAATAATAAAAAGGGCTGGGTGCTGGGACTGTCGCTCAGCAGTAGAGCACTTGCCTAGCATGCGTGAGGCGCTAGGTCCGATCCTCGGCACCACATAAAGATAAACAAAGGCATTCTGTCCATCTACAATTACAAGAATTTTTTAAAAAATTAAATAAACAGGGCTGGGATGTGGATCAGTGGTAAAGCACCCCTGGATTTAATTCCTGGTAGGAAAAAAAAATGTTGACTCCCTTGGGGGGACACTGCCCCCGCTGAATGCATGATTGTCCTGGACACATGGTAGGCAGCTGCCACATCACGGGCTCTCAGTAGGTGTCTGTCGAATCGATGAGGGACAGGACAGCACCTCTTTTTGTTCACTCTCCACTCCCCTGTGCCCAGCACCCTGCCTAGCCTTAACTGGGTACTCAATAAATTTCTGGGTTTTTCTAGAAGACTAGAAACTAGATTTTCCTCTTTGGCATACAACCCGCACACAATTATAAAAGATTGTTAGCTGCAGGGAAAACAATTTAATGAATGGCATTGTGAAAGACAAACAAGAAGCCACGGGGCCTAGACAGAAAGTTCCAGAAGCTCGCTAGAGAGGGAGACTGTGATGAGTGGGCCAGTTGAAGGGGTGGGTCTCACATGGCCTGTCTTTTCTGAGGTGGTCATGTGGACTCCATCACCTCAGGACTCCAGGCCACCCACGCTTTGTAAGGAACCTGAAGACACCTTTCTGCACCATGGAGATCTAGACACGAGGCCTGGCGTCCCTGGCAGGAGGGCTGGAGGATGGGACGCTCATCCGCACCTAGTGCAAGCACCAGCTGCTCCCGGCTCCTAACCCTGAGGCGGCCTTCACAGCTCAGAGGCAGGACGGTCCTGCGACTTCAGGGCCGACCCCACAGCTCAAGGAAGCCTTCTGCCTTATCTCAAGGTGTCCGCCTGCCCGGGGTTTGTCCTGTGTGTGGATGAGCAAGTTTCCAGCCTCCCTCTGTCCCACTTTGCAGGGTAGCACAGTTCTCAGAACTAGGGGACCCTTGGGATGCTCTCTGTCCTGACATCTGCTCTGAGCAGTAGCTACCTTCCTGTCTTAGGACAGGGGGATCGAGAACCGGCTTCTGCTCTCACATGGAGTATCTGATTTTTTCCAATGAGGATTTTACCGTCTCAGCATAACTGTGGTCTTCTGTCAAACATATTTCCTCTCACGTTCAACGGAAAGGTGCTGATCTCTCCGCGAGCTCGCCTCTGCCGCGCAAGGCGGGCATCTGGCTGGGGCAGTTCCAGCATCAAGGCCGAATCGTGAAAGGTAACGGTTCAGATTTCACAGCCTTGATCCTCAGCTCTCAAGAAAAGGGCATTCTGGAGGGCACCTCCTTGAAAATCAAGCCACACGCCACCCAGATGGGATCAGCGATGGCCTGGATGGGACACCTGAAGCAGGGCCAGAATCACTGACCTGTGTCAGACCTGCAGCGGGCGCCATCGGGGGCTCTGGAGGGGTCAGTCTCTGCAGCAGGCACCTCATCTTAAGTTGGGACAGTAACAATGCCCGTCCATAGGGTGTCGTGGAGTTTAAGTGAGACGAGCCATGGCCTGTGTCTGGCTCCATGCCTGGCACATAGTAGGTGCCTGGTTCAGCACATGGGCTGCTGCTGTCACCTGGGTACCCTGCTGCTGACCCCCCTTTCCTCTCTTCTCTTTCTGGCTCACCTGGAAATCTGAACTCTGCCTCGTGGCCTTCACCATCTCTATAAACGCTCGTCTCTTCAACGTGGAGAGAACAGGGCCACCTTACACTTAGGTTCACCTCTCTGCTTTTTGTTGCCTCAAAGAAAATGGATTCTTCTCAACTTTTAGAGTCCGTTTGGGATGCTGGGGCTTCCCTGGCCAGGGGGTGATGATGATGCCTCCTGGGAGGGGTGTGGCTGGGGGCAATGGCCCACCACCCCGACGAGCCTCCTGGGGATCTCTGTTCAGATTCCAGCTAGGAGGAGGCTGGTCGGCCAGGGTCCCCACAGAACCCTGCACTCTCCTCAGGGACCAATCTGCTGCAGCTGGTGGCGGAGCCTCCCAGAGCAGGGCTGGACGTCCCCAGAGGGGGTCTCTCCTAAACATCCCCATGGTGTAGGTGCGAGGAACTGTCAGGGATCACAGCCTGTTTGGAAGCCAGCACCCCAACTCTGGGGCTTGCTATTTCCTTGGGGTTTGATTTGCAGTTGCTGACCCCGGTGTCCTCAAGACCCTGCACCTCAGGGGCAATGCCCAGAGGAAAGAGCCTCCCGAGGCGCTGAGGACACGACAGTGAGCCAGCTGGGCCTCCCTTTCAGGTGGTGGTGGGTGAACGTATGGAGGCACCTGGGGAGGAAGTTCCAAGAGCCCCGAGCTCACCCGAGGATCACCAACCAGATGCTTCCAGGGGCCAGCGGTGCAAAAGAAGGGGGTCAAGTGGGGGAGGCAGCAAACCCAGGAGCAGCCTGTGTCCTTTCTAAGAGGCCTGGGAGATGGTGACTTGTGAGGTTGGTCACCACCATCTTCCAAGTTCCTCAGAGAGGCCAGAAATCCAGAGTATTCTGTGGAAGGGCCCTATTTTGAGATGTTACTAAAAACAAAACTACAGACCAAAAAGACCAAACAAAAAACCCACCCAAACTAGAAAACACCCCGTGAGCCAAGAGAAGTGCATCTGTGGCTGCCGTGTGCCACAGCTACCGCGAGTCCCTCTCTTTGGCAACCAGTCGGGGCCCAGGAAGCACTTGTTGACAGGTCCCAGGTGAGACCCAGGGTGCCCCACTCACTCGCATTTCAGAATCATAGTTTTCTAAAGTAGAATAAGTGCGTTCAGCACAATGTTTAGGACCTACTTGGACGACCCAGTCTAAGTAAACTCTTGGCTGCTTCTCTGAAATTCAAATGTGGCTGGGCATCCTGGTTTACTTTTCCTCCCAGTTGGGCACCCTACTGGGCTCTCCCCAGGCCTTGGAGGAAGGCCCTTTATTGGCAGGTAAAACTGGTGAAGGGAAGCTGCTCTGGGGAGCAAGGGTTGGGGTGCCCAGGACCAAGGCTTCAGGGAACTGGAGTCTGAGCACTGCTCAGTCCTGGACTGAGTCCAAACAGTGGGCTGCTGAGCTCTGAAGAGCAGAGCCTGGCCACCCGCAGTCCTGCTTTTACAGAACTTGACTGGACTCGTGGGATGTGGGGACATTGGTCTGTCTCAGGGAACTTCCTCAGACATGGCTCGGCTGACACTGTGTTGCTTCTGCACTGTGGCCATTTTTAGGAACATGGTACATTATGCCACAGTGTCCCCTCTGGGGGAGTGCCCAGTGTGGTCTCTGTTCTAATGCTTGTGTGCATCCCACAGACACTGTGAACTGGAGGCCTAAGTGGTTTTCCCTCTCCCATTGGCTGCCAGGAAGCTCAGAGGCACATGAGGCTCCCCTTGGCAGGTGTGGAAGTCATTAACAGTCGGGACTCCATTCCCATCCTGGATCCTTTTATGCCCACTTTTCCTGATTTATTTCATTCCTAGGACAGGATTCTTGGGGCTCTCATGCCTCCCTTCCTTTGTCATGAGCTTGTCAGCAAGTCCCCAATTCATTTAGTGCCTGGGATGGTGCCTCTGCAGCCAAGGCACTCTCGAGTTCCCTCTCCCCTCGCCTCAACGCACTGGGGCAGACACTTACTGGTCTTTTCGGTCATTTGTTCAAATATTGGGCAGGGGCTGGGGCTGGACAGGGATTGGAGTGGAGGTGTGCGATGTCCCTGGGACGTCCTTGGGGTAGCACGGCTGGCATTTATGCTTCATGGGCTCTTACCCTCTGCAAAGACTGAATCTAGTTTGTGTCTGGCTGCCTGAGCAGAACACCTTTCCATACCTGCCGCTGATTCTCTTTGAAGGAACAGTTGCAAGGTGCTGAGTCTTTTGCATTTCTGTTTTCAGGATCCTCTAAATGTTCCTGAGTGAAAACATCATGTGAACAAGAGTGTTTGGTATGTCCTCGCCTGTACCAGTCGGGGACACACCTCTGGCATTTCGGGGAGACGCTGGGATTCCCTGGAAGGGGTGGGCAGAAGTGGGGCCACCCTTAGCCACACACTGCACCACCCCACCCACGTTTTACCTTCTCATCTTTGCAGGGGGATCGGGGGGAGCCTTGCCGAGTCCCCCAGTCCATTCCAGCCTCTACAACATCTGGAATGACCCTGGGATACCTAGGGTCACTCCTTGGTCAAAAACACACAGGAATACCTGGCCCAGGAGAACCTTGGAAAATAGTGAGTTCAACAGAATGTGAAGTTGTCGATGGTGGCCAGGGAACGTGTATCTAGTGGCCCTTATTTGCTTCGGGTTTTATAAATATGCTCTCATCGAATCTAACCTTATGAGCTAGATACTGATCTTTATTGTAAAGACTAGGGATCTGAGCTAATTACATTGGGAGGAGGCTGGGGGCTCCAGCCCAGCTGAGACCACCTGGCCAGCTTTGATTGGCTGGAGCCTGGGAGGGGAGCTGGGCGGCTTCTCTGGCTGCAGTGGCCTTTCTCACACTAAAACCCTAAGGAAGGTCTGAGAAAGGGCTGCCGCTTCCCAAAGGGCAACTTCTGTGCATGTCAATGTTTTCTATTGAAAATTCCGGGCTTAACCCATTCACAAGAAAGTCTCGGCTCTTTCTTGGCCATGGCCCTGGTTGTATTCACCGAACAGAAAAGAGAGCCTTACAAAGGAGCTGCCAGCTTCAGGGGACCAGGGGAAAGTCTCAGGGCCGTGTGGACTCATCAGCTGGCGGGCAGTTCTCTAAGAAACACAGGAATCGCCCCCCCCCCCACCCGAATTGACATTCTCACCCCCAAGGAGTTGGGTAAGGAGTCTGCTGCCTGCCAGAGGCCACTTCCCCCACAGTCCTGGGAAGTAGGTTCTGTTGTCACAGTACTGTTGAGAAAACTGAGACATAGGGGTGAAGTCATTTGTCACCTGGGACACTGCTGCCTTATCTAGAGATGTGGAAAGTGGACGAGACTTGTGCTCCTGCCCAGCCAGGCATGATCTCCCCTGGCCTCAGTTTCTCCTCTGAGGGGCGGCTCGAGGCCTCTCTAGGTTGGGCTGTCACTGTTACCCTGTCACCTGGAGAGAGCTTGAGGGACATCCCAGAGTTGGGAGGCCCAAGACCAGGATGTTCTCTGGAAATGTCTGGCGCGGAAGTTTCCCCACATATTATAGCAAGTCTCATTTGCACCATCAAAGGGAAGTAGACGTGTGATTCTGGAAAGTTCTGCTTGGTGAAAAGATGCTTAACATTCAAACTGCATTGGTGTGTGTGTGTGTGTGTGTGTGTGTGTGTGAGAGAGAGAGAGAGAGAGAGAGAGGCGGCGGGGGGGACTGTTTTGAGGCTCCAGGGGAGCAATCCAGTCCATCTTCACGGACAGGTGCTGAGATGTTATCCTGGAGACTTTGAAAGAGCTAAGGCTCCTTGTGAAAATATTAAGTGTAACACTTAAGAAGAAAAAAGTTCTGTTTTCCTCTAATGTGCATTTTAAAAATGCAAGTATGCTCCTAGGTAGGATCTGATGGCAAGACAGATATAAACAGCTTCCCTTCAGAATCCAGCCAAACTGTAGAATTTGTTATTCACCCCCCACCCCACCCCAACTGCTAATAACGAATACCTGGCTGGGGTAAGCGCCCGCGGCTGAGTGCCGGGATGCCCAGATGAACACCTGGAGCGCTGGGGCTGCAGGGTTCGGGGGGAGCACAGTGACCAGGGCTGGAGGGAGGGTCCGGGGGACCCTGCTTGTGCTCCTGCACAGCCAGGCATGATGTCCCCTGGCCTCAGTTTCTCCTCTCTGAGGGGCAGCTCGAGGCCTCTCTAGGCTGATGTGAGCGCCCTGGGAGGGACCCGGCAGCCCTTCCTGTCCCATCTCCCTGCTCTGTGGATTCCGTGCAGGGAGATCCCCAGCTTTCGCTCTTCTGGGGGTGACACAGGTTTCACTTGGCCGGTTCAGACCTTCCGCCGTGGGAGGCTGGCCGGTGCCAGGCTGGCAGGGCTGATGGTGTGGAAGAGGCCTTGTGAATAATGCATGCGCGCTGATTATGCAAATCCCCTGTCCCTGCACTCCACCCACGAACCACAATGGGCTTTGTGGGGCCCTTTGCTGTCCTGTTCTGTGGCTGCTGTCTCTGCCTGGGGGCTGGGGCTGCCAACCCTGGGGGGCACCTCGGGAAGGAGCGGGCTCCCCAGAGGGCACATCAAACCACATGTCAGACGGGGCGCTGGCCAGCTTTGCTGGCAGGCTCGGTGCAAAAGGACACTGTCTTCCGCCCGCGGAAGCCCCGTGACACACGTGTGGGGCCTGTGATGTTTAATTCAGAGCAGGGGATGCTGGAGACAGCGGGTCTGGGCTCCCTCAGAGCTTTCCTTCCCAGGCCGGTTTGCAGAGTGGGAGGGGGCTTCTGGGAGCCACATCTGCACCAGATGCTGGGATAGGAAGGGGGGGCCTTCTAGGGGAGCCAGCCTCTTCAGAGCTCAAGCAGGTGACACACAGTGTGCACGTGCACGCGCACACACACACACACACACACACGCACGTGCGCGCACACGGTTCTAAAGTGAAAAAGCTAACAATTATCAGGGGGCCCTGAGGGCCAGCCCAGCACAAGGCACAGGAACCAGGGCCAGAGACATCTGCAGCCAGGTCCTGGCTACTGCGTGAACTTGGGCGAGTCTCAACTCTCTGAACTCAGCTGCCCCATGTGTAAAATAGAGACCCTCGGACCAGCCAGGCAGGACTGTTGGGCTTGGGAGAGAACTGGATTGTGAATGCACACCACAGGCAGAGCCCTGGCCTGGCCTGGCCGCAGAGCGAGGTTCCACTGAGAAGAGCTGGCCCAGTGCCCAGGGAGTGGCCGAGCTCTGCTCTAAACCAAGGTCTGTCTAAAGCTCTTCTGCCACCTTCCTTTCTACCAGTAAATGTGTTGTGCATGCCCTGGACCCTCCCGGGGCCACCGTCTGCCATTTCTAAGGGGGCAGCCTCGGGGGCTCCGCCCCAAACAGAGGTGCCTCACCTTCTGCTGCCGGATGGCCCTGTTGAACCTCTTCTCCTGGCTCAGCTGGTGCTCCGTGCGCTCCAGGGCCTCCTTCAGCAGGGCCTTCTCCTCCGTCTCTTTGTAGATGTCGTCCTCCAGCTTTGCTACCTGTGACTGGTACATCTGGACGGACACTTTGCTCTGCCTGGGCACATGGAGAGACAGACAGGGTCCCTGGTTCCCCTCATCGTCCCCACTCATGGTCCATGTCCTCAGATCAGTGGCCCCTCCCAGTGCTCGCACATGGGGCTGACTTAGGAGCTTCCTCCCAAGCCCGAGACAGCACAGGGATTTGGGGAGCAGAGGGCAGCACACACAGCTCATGGGCTGGACGCATGCAGCCTGGGGTGGTCCAGGCTGTGCTCCCCACTCCCAACTTCCCTGGGACACGCAACTCTCGGGGACGGATGGAACCATCAGAGCCAGACCAGTGAGTCAGGGAGGCTGACAGCAGGTGCCCTCTGCCCTCAGAGCGCACAGAACACAGGAGCCGAGTGCTCCAACTGCAGCCTTTTGATGGACAGACTCACCCCGCTGGGCCTGGCTGTTGTCCCCCCAGCAGTCCTGTGCCAGCCCCAGGGGGCTGCTGCCTGTGCTCAGCTGGAGGGGGCCAGGCGGTACCTGAGCCACTCCACGTCCTGCTCGTAACCTTTCAGCAGCTCCTCTTTCCTCTGCAGCCGGGTCTTGAGCTGGGTGATCTTGTCAAACACCAGGTCCAGGTCCCTTTGTCGCAGCTGGTTGACCTTCTCCCTCTCTTTGGCGGACAGGTGTTTCATGGACACGTGACCCGACATGTCTTTGATGTTCATCAGGCTTCCCAGAGTCCTGCTCATGTCCAGGTACTGCAAGGAGAGCCAAGGGGCCTCAGGGGCGGTGCCCGGCCCCCAGCTGCTCCCAGAAGGCAAGTGTCCGGTCTGCTTGGCCACCCTCTGCCACTGCAGACGGAAAGCGGGCTTTGTTTGCCCCGCAGCCACTCACGCTAGGCCTTTTTGGGACCCCCCTCGCTTTGCTGGCTCTCGAGGCGTTGGACTGGGCGGTTTCTGAACCGCGTTGGGGTGACAGACAGGCCTCGTGGAGTTTTAGAATGACCAGGGTTAACAGTGACCCCAGGGCCCAGGCTTTGGGAGGGGCCCTCGAGCTGTGGGTACACACCAGTCTTTCACTGAGATCCAAAGCCTCGGTGACATCCGTCTTATCTGACTTCTCCAGGGCGGAGCTGGTGTCCGAGTTGGAAAGGCTGTCCTGGAAGGAGAGAGAGAGACACGGCCGCTCCACCCTCCATCATGGGAGTCTCCAGCCGGAAGCTGCGCTCAGGGATGACAGAAGCGTAACTCAGGAGGCGACTCTCATTTCGGTTCCTGACCACTCAGTCTGGACTCCTGGCCACTGCTTTCTAAAGAGGACCGTGCTCCGACCCTCAGAGAAGGCTGTGCAATGTGTTATACATGGCTCGTCTGCTCTGATGGCCTCTGTCTTCCCTCTAGAACAAGGGCTCGCAGTGGGCGTGACTCTGTCCCTTCCCCTGGGACATTCAGCAATGTCTGGACACCCTTTTTGCTGTCACATCTGAGGAGGGGGAGTGCTACTGGCATCTAGTGGGAAGAGGGCAGCGATGTCACTACACATCCTGCCAGATGCTGGCCAGCCCCTCACAGACTGGGCAGGAATGATCTGCCCCAAATATCAGTGGTGCTGAGGTCGAGGGTCCCCATCTGGACAACAAGCGCTACAGGGACCATGTCACTGTTTGCTCACTAAACTTCTCCTTGTGCCTAGGGTGGCACCTGACACCGAGTGGCCTGGTATAGATGGGCACAATGTTGAATGAATGGATGAAGGTTACATAGAAAATGTCCCCTCTCCTTTTATTAGAGCAATTGTTTCATGCAGCAGGAACGAGGCCTTTGGAAAGCATGGGCAAGGGCTATCCTGGTGGAGTGTGCGGCTGGTGGCCCAGGCTCCCTGCAGGCTCTTTCCTGGGATGACACACTCGCTGAGACCCCCGTAACTGCAGGCTGCTGAAAGCCCCTCCCCCAAAGCAATGGGGAAGCCATCATGCCACATGGGGAGTCTGGAGAGCCACCAATGGCCACTCCCAAGGTCCTCAGAACCAGATGGGCCTGCAGTGCTTGCTACGAACATGGCGGACATTGCATCTGCTGCACCGCCCTGTCACCCTCTGAGATGAACAATGGAAACCCCCACTATAAAGTAGAAAGGCCAAATGTGACAGTGACAGGAGGGACATATTTATCTACCTCAAGTGGACATAGTTACTAGGGTGAGAAAAAAGAGGGTCTGGGCAGAGCTATGGAACCTTTGTCCATTCATTCAACAGTTTGAGCAGATTGGCTGCAGAGAGAACCCAAAAGGCACCGTGGTGTCCCCAGCCCTCTGGAGTCCTTGACCTCCAGGCTCCTCCTCCTTCCTTCTCTGCAGACTAGGGGGCGGGGGCACCTGCCCGGGGTACAGTCCTGGCTCCTCGGTCTTTACCTCTGTGACCTTGCATGAGCTACTTGACCTTCAGAAGCCTTAATTTTTCATATCTCCAAAATGGGAACAATAACAACAGTGGTGCCCAGGCTGCCGGGAGGGGTGGACGGAGTAACGCCCGTGGACGGAGCCCTGGGCATCGTCAGCTGTGCGTCCTCCGTGCTTTTCATTTTAATCACTGCCCGCCTTGGAGGACTGAGGTTCTCAAGGAGAGCGGGGAGGTTTCTGCTGTGTGGTGTCAGGAGTGGGCCTGGCGGTCACCTCCCAGGGCAAGGTCACTCTGGGAAGCAGGGTCAGGCTATGAGGTCTAGTTGACCTCCACACCCAAACTAGGAGAAGGAGGGTTTGATTTTATCAAGAAAACCAATTCATTTCCAAAGACATTCGTCCTGGACTCTAGGAAATGTCACACAAATCTTTGGACGGAATGTCGGCCCAGGCAGGATGGCCTCATTATTTCTTCCAGAAGCCTGTGTGGGGTTCAGACCCAACTGTGCAGCAAGCGGCCACTCAGAAGGTCTTGTGGTTGATGGTGACCTTGCTGCCCGTTGTCATGTGCCCATGGTGCCCAAACACCTCCGTAGGGTTCAAGGGCACCTTCAAACCACCTCTGAAAATCCTGGCAACCAAGCCTGTACCCCTTTCAGAAGGGCAGTTTTCCTTGAACACTACTATTTAACTAACATTGAACAGTGACGACAGCTGTCATTTGTTAAATGCGCACAGTGAGCCGGGCACTGGACAGGATGAACTCCTTGGATTTTCATCATCATTCGACAGCTGGGAAATACAATCGCAGAGAGGTTAAGAGCCTTGCCCAAGGCCACCCAGCTTTCAGGCTGGGATTTGGACATGGTTCCCTCTGACCCCTGAACTTGGGTCTCATCACTGTTCCCTGCTGCTACCTCTTACACGCCCATGTTTTTTAGTTGACAGGAAACGAAACCTGAGGCAAACTCAGGTCATAATGTTACGAAGTGGCCCACTGAGCGCTTCTGCCCCGGAGGACCTGGTGGGTCGAGGGCCCGTGTCTGCCCTCACGCCCACCCTCTTCGCGTGCCACTTCACCGCGGAGACAACGTTTCTTTGGTTACCGCGTGGATCTCTATTCTTGAGGGAGTTGGCAGGTCGGATTTTGTGTCCACTATTATTTTCTGGACGTTTTTCTCCATTCTGAGCGTCTTTAATTCTAGGAACGATTCATTCAGGTGGTCCTTACAATCTATAAGAGAAAGAATGCAGACTCAGGACAGGGCTCCTCCAGCGAATCCCCACTGCTGCAGTCTGTGGGACACTTACCACGGGGCTGCGAGTCCTCACGACCTCCCTGGCAGATGGGGACACTGAGGCCTAGAGAGATTACATGGCCGGACCCAGCCGCGCAGCAGCACGAGGTGGCGGCAGCCACACAGTGTCAGGGCTGAGGCCTCGAGGGCGAGCTTCCAGACACAGGGACGAGGACGGGCTTGACGTGGGGCTTCAGGCCTGAGCCAGCGCCCCTGGTGCCCCGCGGGACAGTAAGCTCCCCGTCTGGAGACGGCCCCTTCCCCTGTGAATGGGGTCTGCTAAGAGATTCCCCGACGCTGACCCTCAGGTAGTGAAGTCCATGACAAAGTCTCCTCCCAGCCACAGCGAAATAAGGAGAAGGAGGACAAGGGTGAGTTTTCATGATGTCCTATTTATTTCATATGAAGCCCTGCCCTTGATTCTGAGGTCACGGCCGGCCCATCTTTCTTTGTGTCATAAGGTCCTTCCAATTAGGAGGTGGCGGGGACTAGAGAGGAGGGGACTTACTGGAAGAGCAGGCCTTCTCTAGTTCTTTGATTCGCGCTCGGAGTTCTGACAGGGCCTTTTTCTGTCGCTGAATGACTTCCTCGTGTTGGGACCCTCTGCACTTGGCCCCCAGGTCACTGAAAGACTGCTCCTGGGGGACAGACAGTGCAGACAGAGGCTTGGTTAGGGATCGGAGGACCTGACAGCACACACACGTGGGCGCTGCCCGTGCAGCAGGAGCCTGTGGCTTAGTACTTTGGGGAAATACCATCGGAGATCAGCAGAGAAGGAATTTGAATTTTTCATTGCAAATACCAGTCACATCTAGGAGGATTTCCGACTTTCCTACCTACTTAGCGACGCTATAAATAAAAGATCCCCTCTATTCTCCTTCCCCATGTTTTATTTCTTCTCTTCCATGCTCTATGCCTGGGTTTCTGTTCATTATCATTCTGATCTTGTTTCTGTACCATTGTACCAAGGTCTGCTTCTGCAGGGGCGCTTTTTTTTTTTGCAGTGCTGTGGATGGAACCCAGGGCCTCTCGTGTGCTAAGCCCTTGCTCTACCACTGACCGGCACCCCAGCCCCAGAGTGGTACTTTTAGTTGAGAACACAACATGCTCTCTCTTAAATTGGACATAGGATGGTTGTCTCCTATTGGCCAGGGGCATCTAATAGACTGACTCTTGGTGGGTCCCTCTGGAACAGCACCTCCAACAGGACTTCCTGTGGTGACAGACATGTTCTACACCCTCATCCTCCAATATGGCAGCGACTGGCCACAGATGGACCCTGTCAGACAGCTCGGGGCTGTGGCTCGGTTTACTTAGGGATCAGACAAAGAAGGGTCTTCTTTGTCCTGTAAGGGTCATGCACCCTTTTAAGATTCAGAAAGATGCAGGGTCCTTTCCTCCAGAAAAATGTCCCCTACACACAAACATCTGCATACAACTTCCAGAGGTCAAGGACCCCCCACTCCCACCCCAAAGCCGTCATGGAGTCCACACAGTGCTCCCCTAAGGGGGCGTTCATTCCATGCTTTTTTTTTTTTGAGCACTTCTGAGTGCCAAGACTTGTTCTAGTCTTTCAAGATTCAGCAGTGACACAACTGGCAGCCTGCCACCAGGGATTTAGCATCCTAATGTGGGGAGACAGACCACGAGGAAGATAAGGAAGGAAAATATGTGGTGGGCAGTGATAAATGTTTACAGGATAATTAAGTGGGGACATGGGATGAATATTGGGGACAGTTTTCAGCTGTAGATGACTTGTATGGAAGGCCTCATCCAAATTGGTAAGAAATCGACAATCTGGTTGTTTTATAACTATTTTTAAAATAGCAATCTTAGTTTATTTCATACTACAAATAAAGATATAGGAGATACCATATATAGTATGAAATGAACCAAAATTATTTAAAAATTATAGGCAGATATTTCTATCTATCATCTGCCTCGATTTCTTTATTCAGATCGTGTCTATCTATCTATCTATCATCTGCCTCGATTTCTTTATTCAAATACGTGTCTATCAACCTCTCATTATCTGTCTGTCTTCCTACCTTTCCACCTACCTATCCCCCTACTGCCCTGACCTCATGCCAGCCCCTCTGTAGGCACTGAGTGAGACTGAGAAGCAGACAGACAGACTGTCTCTGGGACAGACGGATGACAGACATGTAAGTATTCTAATTCCAGCAAGTGAGAAGTGCTACCGTGAGACACAGCAGGGCTGGGGGAGAGGAAGGGAGACCTTCGTCTGTTCCTCTTTCTGTGATGACTCTGCCTATTAAGGGTCTATGTGACAATGAGTGCATGCCAGGCCCCACGCTGGCTGCTCTGGCCTTTGGGGTTCAAGGTCTAAGCCTCCTTCAAGATGCTCACTGGCACCATCTGAGGTCTCTTGGGAATGTCCCCCAACCCTGTCCCTGCCACTTACTCCTTCACCGTCTCGTTAGGCCCCAACAAGATGCCTCCTGCAGAGGCCTCCCTGACCACCAGATCCAAAAGAGCCCCACCCCACCTCGATGCTCCCTGCCCCAGTCCTGCCGTGCAGTTCCTCAGGGCGCATGGTCCTGCCGGACATTCTACTCAGTATTGTTTCTTTCCATCTCTCCCTTCCTGGCACGTAGGCTCCGTGAGAGCCAAGTCTGTCCCCTGTGGAGGCCGTGGCCCTCGGGGCTGAGCAGCTCGAGTGCACCGAGGCCAGAGCAGGAGCAGGAAGGCCATTGCCCAGCGTCTCTGCCTGGCAGCTGAGGGCAGGGCTACTCCACCAAGGACCTGGCTGTCCTTGGGCCAGCTCTGGCTTGTTTATGGGCAGCCCAGTGGGTCCACTTCCTGGGCCTGACTCAGGCCTCACTCCTCTCTGGGACAGTGGTTTCCTGGGAGTCAATGACCTCCAGTGATCTGTCCCTGCCTGCACTGAGGAGGGCAGGAGTGCTGAGCTGGGGGCCAAGGGACAGCTGTGGCAATAGACTGCTGCCACCTCTGCTGGCCTGAGGTGGGTCAGAGCACCACGTGACCCTCCCTCATGGCCTTCTGGGAACTTCTATATTGAGAGCGGAAAGAGGTTCTTTCTCATACAACCCTGGAGCCCTCTGACCTGCTCTGGCTTCAGAAACAGGAAGTAGCGGGGAGAGGAAAACCATTCCAAGAAGAACAAATACTTTCCCCCTTTTATCTTGCAGACTCCCTCCCCCACCCTCCTAGGCTCATCCTGCCTCATGCTGGAGACCCAAAATCCCAGACATTGCCGCCAGCCCCGCAGTCCAGCAAACACAGGCAGAGTCCAGGGAACCTGGTGTGGGCCGGGCCCTGTGTGCATTTCCCTGTCTCTGGCTCAGGGCCTGGCATACAGGAGGTGCTCAACAGTTGTTGACTGAATGAATGGCTGGGTACTTGGGCTGCCTAGTCGTGTCTCCCGCCCACCTTTGCCCTGAGCAACAGGAGCCACATCTGTCGTAGAGCTCTGGACAGCAACTGGAGCCAGCGCAGTGGGGGCATCTGGAGCCCTATTGTCTGAGCTGCCGTGGCCCGGGCTCTCGATGCCTGTCAGGGGAAAGCATCTTTGCTGACACATTTGGCCCCATTTCCAAGGGAGAGTCCACAGCCTGCTCTCTGGTTTTATAAAGCCACGGGGAAAGGATGAGTGGACTCCAGGAAGCCAGGGCTTCAAGGAACCATGGCACCTGACCACCATGGAAACATCCCCGCACCAGCCTCAGGGTCAGAGTGAGGGCCAGCTTCAGGGACCACCGGATGCAGGCTGTTGTCACTCAGAGACTCACTCCCCACTGGATGTGCAGCTGAGACTTGTGGGCTGGCAAAGATTCCTGGGTGGTTGTGCACAGAGGTGTTATCCAGAGACAGCCAGGGGGCGTTAATTGTGTGGCTCTTTGGGAAGACAGTTTGGTTCTATGAAGCACAATTGAGGAAGTCCTTTGGATCCAGCAGTTGCACATCTAGGAATGTGCTCTACACACGCACGAGTACACTAACTACAGCATCATGTGAAAGACACAACCTAAATATCCATCAGCTGGGAATTGGTTGGAAAAAGGGGCAAAATGGAATTCTATGAGGCCACTTAAAAGAATGAGGCAGAACCTCATATACTTTCTTGAAAATATGCCCATTAAACAGTGTTATGTGAAAATAAAAAAGTTGCAGAATATATATGGTTTGATACCATTGGCAAAAAAAAAACATCATCTACTAAATAAGTTTACGTATGTAAGGGTTTGTGCGTGTATTCACACATGTGTATAAGTAAAATCTATTTTTCAACCACTCCAGGAGGTGGGGACTGTCATTACTCCCAGACAAGGCAACTGGAGCCCAGTGACCTCCCCAAGGTCAGTTTCTAAGTGGGGGATTGGGGATTGGAGCCCAGCGGACTGGATCGAGGCTTGACCTTCAACCACTACAGGTTCATGACTTATGAGGGTGTGGTGGCCCCGTGGGGAAGAGCTGATGGCTTCCAGCCTCAGGTGACTGCAACCGCAGGGCAGATTCTGGGTTTTCACTTCATACATTTCACACAGGCAGGCAATACTTTTGACACTTAGAATGAAAATATTTTCAAAGGGAAGGAAGCCACCACTGGGCTCTTGGGAGCAAGTCCCGCCGGGGGCCCAGGATCCATGGAGGACTTACCTCTTGACTGCTCAGGAAAACACTGGGGTGCATTGGCTCTATCTGCACAGAGATGTCACACTTCTGGGTGGCGTTCTTGGCTTTCTCCTCCTTCTCCATGCTCAGCTGGAGTTTGTGTTTGTCTTGGGAAGCCCTAGGGAGAGGGGAGATGTTGCCAGGGCAGCAGGCCAGCCGAGGCCCAGGTTCAAGTGCTTTTGTGTACTTTAGGGGACCTGGAAGTGGCCTGTTTCTACAGGTAACTGGATTCTCCAAGACCTTGAGTCTCCCAGCCCCAAATTTCTAGAGAATTTAGTTTCAGGAGACTCTAAGGATGGTGACCGGGCAGTGGGTACCTGCTCCTACCTCTTGCTCTGGACACCTGCGTGGCATTGACAGGGCTGTCATGTTCCCGGCACTGTCTGACCGCCACATCTAACATTTTGTATCATCCCTTCTGCTCTCATAATAACCCCCCGAGGTCAAGATTCTCCCTGCTCCATTTTACAGATTAGTAAAGAGACGCCCAGCGATTTTCCTGTGGTCACCAAGCTTATAAGTGGAGGAGTCTGGCTGTGAAACCGGCAACCTTGATGGGATCCTGTTCTTACAGCCACTGTGACTGCCTTGGCCACAAGCCATGAGGCACATACTATGGGAGATATGTGGGACATCAATTTCACTCCAAATTTTTTGGGGAAAATGTTACTTCTGTTAAAATATGGATAAGCTACAGACAAAAATTGCAGAATCATGTTATTCTAAATTAATCCATGGGACAATGACAATCTTTTATATTTATTTAAGTTGGCATTTCCGGCTTACTTGTTTGTTCAATAAATATTAAGGTCCCTTACGTGCCAGGTAGGTGTGAGTGCCGGGAACTCAAGGGCAGGCCAAGCCTCTGCAGAGACTCAGGGCGGGGCAGGTGAACGGGCAAACAGGCCTTGCTGTGTGTGCGGCAGGCCAGGCAGAGTGCAGGGGCTGAGGGGCCCATGCAGAGCTGGGGCCCATGCAGAGCTGCAGCCCCTGGCTGGGTCTGGTGAGGAGAAGTGCAGGGAGGCTTCCTGGAGGAAGTGGCATTTAAGCTGAGGCCAGTATCTGGGACACAGGGCAGGGATGCTTGCTCAAGAAGCACAGAAAACTAAGCAGAGCTCTGTTTAACTGGTGGGCTGCTGGTCCACCCAACTCCACCTCCCTGTGCAGGGCTCCAGACCCCCACCCCGCCTCGCCTCGCGGGACCGCCCCCACCTGAGTGCCTCCCGGAGGGCCCTGAGCTCCCGGTCCTTCTTCTCCACCAGGGTGCTCATCTGCGCCAGCTTCATCTTGAGCATGCACAGCTCCCTGCTCTGCTGCTGGACCAGGGTCACGTGCCACTCCAGCTCCCTCTTCTGCTTCTCGCTGAGGTCCCCTGGAGAGATGGGAAAGCGGGTCAGGAGCCTGCTGCCTTGCCCCTGCCAGGCCGGCCAGAACCCATAGGCAGTCCTGTCCCCCGGCATCCTCGGGGGCTTCAGCACTAGCCAGGGGCCCCACCTGCACCGTGGCCAATGACAGCCTGGCCTTCTGGGTGCTGCCTGGGAGCCCCGCAGGCTCCTGCCTCACCCTAGCACCGCACTGGCAGGTCCAGCCCAGCCCACAGGGCATTTTGGGGTTCCCCGGCCAACAGTCAGCTGCCTGCTTCTGCCCCGTGGGGCGCCTGGTGCCTTCTCTGCTCTGTGGCCCCCCAGTGACTGGATCTCTCCTGACTGACTATGGAAAAGCCACTCTGAAAAATTCAGCCATGAATGTCGTAGGGAAGTGACCAGGAGTGGACACGGGGGGCAAATACCACTGAAGGCTTGGAGGTGTCCAGGCTTCAGGTGGGAAAGAGCATTTCCTCTCCCTCCACTTCCCTGAATCTGGTTATTCCCATCTCCCGACTCCTGCTGTCTGTGCCGCTTGCTCAGTGGTGACCAGGGCTGGGAAAGAGGAGGGACTATGCAGAGCAGGAGGAAGGAGGGGACATGGAGGGGCGGAGGAGAGAGGAGCCGGGGGTGGATGGCCAGCAGGGCATGTCTGAGGAGCACGCAGCCTAGTGCTCTCCTGCGGTCACCCTGGGCGGCCACTCTTGTCCACATCAACCCTAGAGGCAGATTTGTGGTCTCCTGTTTGCATTTGCCAAAGAGGAGGCCTAGAGAGGTCCCTTGCACTCCGGAGTTCCAGGGATCCTGCAGGGTGGCCTGCCCGAGGGGCGCCATAGGATTCCCTCCAAGGCAGATGAATCCTCAGCCATTAAAGAAAATTCTCCCAAAGAAGAAAGTTGCATCTCAATGCAGAGGTCTGAGATCCTCTGCAGAATGTGGCCCAGGGCCTCTTGAGGTGGGGGGCTGGGAACCAGGGCCATGTCCACCATGTGGCCTGCCTGCCCCCCAGGCTGCAGGTGCTTCAGGTGCACAGGAAAGCAGGGCCACCGGGGAGTTTCAGGCTGAGGTTGTCACTCTGGGGCCTCACTCCTTCTGTCTCAAGTGGGTGAGGATGCCGGGTGACACAGGGACTCTACAAACCTCTCAGGTCTGACATTCGGCCATGGGCTTCGTTAAGGTCTTTCCTTAACCTCATGATGACCTCCTGCTGGGACAGGATTTCCTTCTGAGCAGCCAGTAAGTCATCTCTGAAATCCACAGAAATAAGCCAAGTCAGACCCACGTCACCCTGTGGTGTCTCCTGAGGGCTGAGTACAGAGTGATGCTCAGCTATGGTCTCTGGGACCCCCATCCAACCAGGGGACAAGGACAGTCTGTAAAAATTTTCAGAAATTCATTTTGCTGTACCTTCATTAAAAACCACCCTGAGCTAGCGGAGGGTCTGGCTGGGTTGGGTGGCGTGAGGGCCACAGCCCTGCCCGGTGGCACCCATCAGATTGACACCCTGTGGGCTTTTACGGAAGGGGTTCTCTGAGGCCCGGGAACAGTTGGGGAACCGTGTGCTTTTGTTCTCACAGCTTGAGCCCCGGTGGAGAGACGGGGCCGGTCGGGAACGGAGGCTGCTCATGGGGAGCAAGAGCAAGCAGCGGCTTCAGGGGCGGCAACCGAGGGGGGCACAGGATGTCGAGAGGACCGCTCCCGTCCCCAGGCCCAGAGGGCAGGGGACACCCTTTGGCCCCATAAGGGATGGCCGTGCTCTGGAGCGTCATTCCCTGGGAGGGCACCGGGCAGTAACGGCAGCCCCAGGACCTCGGCAGGGGACACGGTTGGAAGGATGCGGGGCCAGTTTCCGAGTCCGGCCCAGGTTTCTCCATGTGCGCATGCGTGCTGGGCAGGAGATTGCACAGGGTCTTGCGCGATCCGAAGGGGCCCGGGGCTGGGACGGTGACGGGGGCATGTCACATGGGCTCCCTGGCCTTTGAAGCCCAGGCTCTTCTCACGCAGGTTTCCGAAGGCAGAGTGTGTTCATTATGGAGTCAATCAGAGGACTGGCTGTGTGTGTGTGTGTGTGTGTGTGTGTGTGTGAGAGAGAGAGAGAGAGAGAGAGAGAGAGAGAGAAAGAAGAGAGAGAAAGAAGAGAGAAGAGAGAGGGAGGGAGAGATAGAGACAGAGAGAGAGAAAGAGAGAAAGAGAGAGGGAGAGAGAGAAAGAGAGAGAAAGAGAGAAAGAGAGAGGGAGAGAGAGAAAGAGAGAGAGAGAGAGAGAGAAAGAGAAAGAGAGAGAGAAAGAAGAGAAGAGAGAAGAGAGAGGGAGGGAGAGAGAGGGAGAGGGAGAGAGAGAGAGATAGAGACAGAGAGAGAGAAAGAGAGAAAGAGAGAGGGAGAGAGAGAAAGAGAGAGAAAGAGAAAGAGAGAGAGAGAAAGAAGAGAAGAGAGAAGAGAGAGGGAGGGAGAGAGAGGGAGAGAGAGAGGGAGAGAGAGAGAGAGAGGGAGAGGGAGAGGGAGAGAGAAAAAAGAGAGAAAAAGAGAGAGAGAAAGAGAGAGAGAAAAAAAGAGAGAGAAAGAGAGAGAGAAAAAAAGAGAGAGAAAGAGAGAGATAGAGAGAAAGAGAGAGAGAAAGAGAGAGAAAAAGAGAAAGAGAGAAAGAGAAAGAGAGAAAGAGAGAGAAAAAAGAGAGAGAGAGAAAAAGAAAGAGAGAGAGAAAGAGAGAAAAAGAAAGAGAGAAAAAGAGAAAGAGAGAAAGAGGAAAGAGAGAGAGAGAAAGAGAAAGAGAGAGAGAGAAAGAGAGAGAGAAAGAGAGAAAGAGAGAGAGAAAGAGAGGGAAAGAGAGAGAAAGAGAGGGAAAGAGAGAGAGAAAGAGAGAGAGAGAAAGAGAGAAAGAGAGAGAGAAAGAGAGAGAAAGAGAGGGAAAGAGAGAAAGAGAGAGAGAAAGAGAGAAAAAGAGAAAGAGAAAAAGAGAGAAAGAAAAAAGAGAAAGAAAAAGAAAAAGAGAGGAAGAGAGAGAGAGAGAGAAAGAGAGAGAGGGAAAGAGAGAGAGAAAGAGAGAGAGAAAGAGAGAAAAAGAGAAAGAGAAAGAGAAAAAGAGAGAAAGAAAAAAGAGAGAGAAAGAGAAAAAGAAAAAGAGAGGAAGAGAGAGAGAGAGAGAGAGAGAGAGAGAGAGAGAGAGAGAGAAGGGGGGGAACCGTGTCTTTGGCCACACTGAGAAGTTCACAACTTAAGTGACCATGCACACTAACGCAGTGACAACCAGAGCCATGTGGCTGCCTGGCCTCTGCCAGTGGTGGCCACTGGGCCCGGCAGAGTTCCAACAGCAGACAGTCAGGAACTTCTCAACATGTGGGGACGGGGTGTCTTTGCCTTTCCTGGGGTGAAAACCTAGGACACTGCCTTTGGTGAGTGGAATTGGTGGCAGGGTCAGCGGGTGGCCTGCCACCTTGAGGAGCTTCCCCAGTGCCTGCTCTGAGTCAGGTTTTTGCCTCATGTCGACACGCTGCTGGGTGGTGGCTTTCTGGATCTGTCCCATCCATAGGTTTTGTTTCTCTGAAAACCGTCCATTCCTGAGGGCACAAGTTCTAGGGTCCTCTACTCTCGAGTCGGGAGAGCAGGGTCGTTATTGGTTAAGGTCATTTAGTCCAGGTCTTCAACTCTGAACTCCTTCCAGGACTCCACTAGGTGGTCTCTGCTGTGTGAAACCTCCACCGTCTGCTCGGGACAGTGGGGTCTGTCTGGCAGGGACCCGGGGAAGACAGCTACTGATACCATGAACACGAATCTACCAAGTGCCAGACACCAACATCCTTACTCAGCCAATGAGGAAGCCGAGGCTCAGAGAGGTGGTCTGACGGGTTCAAGGCCACACAGCTACCAGTGTTGAGTGGGGATCTGAACATCGACCTCCCAGGCCTTTCTGCTGCACCCTCTGACTGGTTGAAGGAATCGAGAAATGTAATATAATGGCATCGAGAACTCAGGACCCATTTCCTTTTCTTGGGCTCTGAAGACCTGGCCAAAGCTGGGGGATTCTGGGTCTGCTCTAGCTCCCCGGTGCCCCTGGGGATGGCCTGGCCTGGCGCCCTCCGGTACTCACATCAGGTGGTCGCACGCCATCTCTTTGGTACTGTTCTCCAATGGGGTGGCCACGGGAAGCTCTTCTGGCATTTCTGCCTCTTCGGCTGCAGCAGAGGGACGCACGACATTAGGCCCCCGCCCAGAAGTGGATGCCCTCCTTCCCCTTGGCCTGTGGGCCACCTGACGGGCCCGACTTGCTGCCCTCCTTCCTGGGAGACCCACCCTGGGTTCTGCGTCACGGCGGAGGCTCTCTCCAGCAGAGGCCGTGGTTACAATGTGGGTGGCCACCTCTGGAGGTGCGCGCCCAAGTTAATCCCCACCGGAGCTTGCTGTTTAGAGGTGGGGCCTTTGAGGATCAGACAAAGCCATCAGGGTGTGGCCCCCCAAGATTGGTAGTGGTTGGCTTTAGGAGAAGAGAGACCAGAAACACAGGCACCCCTCTTGCCTCTCATCCTTTGCCACCTGTGTGGCCCCAGGACTGCCAGCAAGAGGGCATCACCAGATGTGCCCCCCCCCCACCTTGGATCAGGCCAGAAGCCCAACTGGCCCCTTCTCTTCCTAAGTAACCCAGGGGCCCTGGGGTCTTCCGCCTTCGCTAGCAGGCAGGTGTCCCCAAGTCCACTGACAGACCAGGGAGCGCATGTTGGAGTGACAGAACTGCTGCGGGAGGCACAGCCGGGGCACCGTCCCCCAGCCTGTCTTCTTCCCACCTCCTTGTCCCCCTCTCATCCCACAAACACCCGTGCGGTGTCTGCTTTAAGGCAGGCACTGATCTAAGTGTGGAGGCGACAAGATGTCATCGCCCTCGGTTCCAGCGTGAGCATCCTCAGAGGACACTGTTCACCTGCCAGGGCCACCACCTGGGGACCTGCAGAGTCCATACCTGCAGAATCCCCAGAGCCTCGCTGAGCCTGGAACATAACAGATGCTCAACTAAGAGCTGGACGACGGCAGGGGCCTGTGCCCACAGCTGGCCACTGAAGCAGGACTACGTCCCAACCAGAGGGAAGTTTCCATTCAGCAAGGTCTGGAGGCCTTTATGGCTGTGAGACATGAGGAATCCTGGCATCTAGCCAGGGAGGCCGGGGAGGCTGGGGAGGCTGGGGAACCCTTAGCAGGACTAGGGCAGGTGGCCCTGTCCAGCCCAGAAGGTCAGTAGGGCCGAGGCCAAAGAAACCCAGGCCCCAGACTTCTTCTCTAAGAGCTCAGCATCTATCAGGATGGTGAGCTCCGTCACTGGGGGAACGTGGGCCCCAACCCCCATTTCCGTTTTTAGCTTCTCTTGTACAGAGCTGACCCGGCCGCGTCTGCAAGGGCTCCAGTCAAGTGGCAAATGGCCGAAGGCAAGAGCAGCCCTGCAGAGGCCCCTGTGTGGACGTTTCCATGTGGACAAGAACGGCTGTGTCCACTGCTCTTGTCACGCCTGACGGCTCCCGCGGCATGTGTGTCGCTGCCTCACTGGGTTGGCACAAAAGATGTCCCGACTCATCGCCAGCGCCTCGGCTCACCCAGGCCTCGAGGGCTTCTGACGTCCTCGTGCAGCAAGAAGCACGGGGGCCTTGGGCCACCGAGACAGCTTTTCAGTGGGTGCAGCCTGTCTCAGGTCGGCCGGCTGCGGGGCTGCGGCACCCCGAGCTGCCCTGGTGCGGGGCTCCCCGGGTCTCTCTCTGGGCCTACCTGGGTTATTGACCTTCAGGGTTGCAATCTCTTCTTCTATTTTCTTATGGTGTTGGGTCACTCGTTGGAGTCTCTCCTCTAGGCTCACAATCGTCTGGGAGTGCTGTTTGATTTGCTCCTTGTATTCTTGGATTTCTTCTTCGAATCCGTGTTTCTGGGTTTCCCGCTGGTCTTGGAGGCTCTTTACTGTCAGTTGCTGTAGTATTATCTGCTCCTCCATCATGATCTGGGGAAACAGGGCAATGGTTATGTGATGTGGGAGCTGGATGTGATGACGACACACTTGTTCTCATTGGCACAACACAGGGCTGAACTGGTCTGGCCACAGGACCTTGGCTTGTGCTGTTCCCTCTACCTGGCATGCTCCTTCCCTGGCTCCTCCCATGGCTCACCCACCCCTTCTGGTCTTTCAGGTCTCAGCTCCAACATCCCCTTAAAGAGCCTTCCCCGATCACCCATCTATAAGAGGAGCCTGAGACACTTTCTATTTGATTTGTTTAATTTTCGGTTTTAGTGTTCCCCAGACCTTTATCACCACCTGAAGTGAGCTTGTTCCGTTGTTTCTTTGCCTGCTAGAACTCAACTCCGCGGCAGAAGAAACGCCTTTTCTCATTGACTGCTGGGCCCACCCATCTAGACCCAGATTCTTGATCAATATGAATGAATGAAAAATTTTATAAGGAAAAAAGCAAATGGATTGGGACTTCTTAAAAACAGAAGTCACCAAGGTCCCTGAATGGCGAATCAGACGCCCCCCTCCTGAGGCCCTTCTTGGTGTTTCTGCCCCTTCCTCCCTCCCTCCTGCTTCTCCGACTGACCCTGCTTCTCTGGCCCCTGCTCCCTACCTATTACCAGGGCCCGGCCTCTGGTCTCCTGAGGTGTGACTTCTTTGTTGGGACAGCCCATTTGTGCCCACTTTCCAACAGTCTGCTGTGAGTCTCCTCCAGATTCAATTCCCCTTCTTCCCCTCCCAAATCTGCTGAACCGCGCCAGCTGGGGCAGCGCTAGAGCTCCGCTACCTGCGGCTCCTCTCCACCTCGCTCCCTGGGAGAACCCCACCCAGGCCCTCCCCGTTCCCACCAAGGTGCCCTTCGCCTGCCATCGTGGCCCCAGCTGCCCTGGCTTGAAGCTTGAGCCTTTATCAAGCGCTGTCATGGCAACACCTGCCGCCAGGCCCCTCCCTTCCCTCGCTCTCCCCAGCCCTGAGCATCCAGGTCCTTGTGAATCTGACCGACAGCTGCGTCCACCACGTGCCCGCCTGAGCCGGCCTCTCCGCTCGCTCCCTGATCTACTTGTATTTCTGGTAGATTCATCCCATCAGGCCCTTGCCCACGGAGCTGCTGGCTGGATGTGCCAATGACAGAGGAGAGCAGTGCGGGACCCCGTCTGCCAGGGCCTCGAGCACCCACCGCAGCTGAAAGCCTTGTCTGAGGGTCTGCGGAGCAGTCGTGGATCACTAGGTCCCGGGGCTCCTGCTCCTTCCCCGTGGGCTGTGCAGCCCCTGCCCTCCATCTCAGAGGACTTGCAGGAGGCCTCAGCCTCAGGTGACCTTTCACACCACGCCAACATTTCTCAATGGGCAGTTCTGCCTCTAAGGGACACTGGCAACATCTGGAGACACTTTTTGGTCGTCACCCCTGGGAGAAGGGAAGTGGCGTGCAGCAGGTAGAGACAGGGATGCCACTGAGCCTCCTGCAGCGCCCAGAGTGGCTCCCAGCAGGAAAGAGATACCCAGCTGAGGCTGGGAGGGACACTGTCCTCTTCCCCTGGGGCACCTTCTCCCGTCCCTGCCCCTGCAGGGCACCAACTTACCAGCTTTGTCTTGGCAGTTTCCAGTTCGGCTAAGGATTCATTTAGCTTCAGGGAGAGGCTCTCTGCTCTCAGGCTTCCAGCTGTCTTGATTTGCTGAATCTCTTCTATCATGGCCAGTGCATCACTTAATTTATTATTTAAAGAGGTCTCTTTTTGCCCTTTTAATTCTATTTCCTAGACAAACAGCAAACATCAAATTAGCAGACAGTCAGCACTAAGGGTCAACTCTAGCCTCCTGGCCCCGCCGTCTTCAGGGAGGACGGGAACTCCACTCGGCTGCTCCTGGGAGGCCCAAGGTCCACCCACTGCACGGCTCGAGCTCAGCTGACGGCTGTCTCCTTGGGACTTCTGGTCTCTCGGCTTACTTCCGACACCTGGAGTACGTTTTATTTCTCTTTTATGAGACAGTCTTTAAATAGCCGAGGAGGGCTGCCAAGTCTCTAAGTCTGTTCTCCAGGATAAATGTGCCGAATTCCTTCACCCTCCACAGCGTGGCCTGCCTTTGGGACACTCTGCTTTCCCACAGGGCTTTGGCACTGGGATGGCCACCCCCCCGCTGCCCCCCAGGCCCTGGCCACCTAGGACCCCCATTGCTGCTTCCATTCCGTCTGCTGGAATTCCTTCTTCCTGCCTTGGATGGGCAAAGTCCCTGTGGCTGGTCTGACAAAGTGGAACCCGGCAGGGTGTGAAGTCTTCCAAACATGACGGTCCAGATAATCTTGAGACATTCTAGTGGGCACTCTCCATCATCAGTGGCAATGTGAATGGGTATGGTCCTTCTGGAACATTCCTTGGGAACACACTGTGATCTGCAAATGTTAATATTCTAGGACCCAGTAGTTCTATTTATTTATCTATTTTTTGGTACCAGGGCTTGAACCCAGGAGTGCTTTACCACTGAGCCACATCCCCAGTCCTTTTTATTTTTTAGCTTGAGACAGGGTCTTGCTAAGTGGCTGAGGCTGTACTTGAACTTGAGACCCTCCTGTCTCAGACTCTCAAGTTGCTGGGATCATAGGTGTACGCCACACTGTGCCCGGCAGCAGTTCAGTTTTTGGGACTCGATCCCAAGGATGTCCAGCCTGGTACATGGGGTGTTTAGTCCAGTGTCTTTTATACCCTTGAAAATGGAGGAAAAAACCACAGGGCCTGGCTATGAGGAGGGGCAGATAAATTGGGGTCCATCAGACTCGGTGCACACCCAGGCCATCCCTCACTGGCTGGTGGTAGAAGATTGTTGGGCAATACGGAGGCCCTTGGACAACTAGTTACTTATAAAGAAACAGCTTCCGGCTGGGACTGGGGCTCAGGGGCAGAGCGCTCCCCTGGCACAGGCAAGGCCCTGGGTTCCATCCTCAGCACCACATAAAAATAAATAAATAAAATAAAGGTATTGTGTCCAACTACAACTAAAAAAAAAAATTGAAAGAAAAAACAGCTTCCAAATCAGTGCATAAACCAGTGACTTCATAATAAATCCATATTTATCTGCATCCCTAATCATGCTCAACATCCAGGCGGAATCACATCAAAACCCCGCTGGTGACAGCATGGTTAGCTTTTTCTTCTCCTGAGTGAGATTTTGTATTTTTCACATGTTCCAGGAAGCCAGGGGCTCCTTTGACAATCAGGAGGGGAAACTGTACTTAAAAAAGAAAAAACGAAATGCAAACACCCCCTTCATCAGGCTCTTCCGGAGCTTCCCCTGGGGCTTGCTTCTTGCTCCCCAAGCCCCCGTGGAGCTCCGTCTGATTCTTGGGGAGGCTCTTCACACCGCCCCTAGGCTCTCCCTGCAGCGCAGCTGTTCTCTGGTGGGCCACGAAGCTGCCTGTGTCTCTGCCCAAGGTTGGAGAGGCCTGGCACGGCCGTCACCGCCCCTCTGGTGTGAAACTGGTTTGCTTTTCTGCTCTCTTTTGTCTATTTTACCTTTGCAGGTGAAATCTAGCTTTTTATTGCTCTTCTGTGTACGCCAGTAAGCCCCCTGTGTGCCTGGAGGGCCCTTTTGTTACGTGAGCATCTGTAATTTGCAATATCAAATTGGTTAGAGGTACTTATTACAAATTCAGCCAGGAGATTTTTGAAGATGGGCCCTAAACGCAGATTCAGAATCAGGACTTAGTGGTGACATTTGGAGTCGTACACCAATCTTCATCTTATAATTTTTTCTTATTTCCTAAATTATTTTTTGCATATAAAGATTAAAATATTCTAATTAAAAGAAACCAGTTGTTGCAAATGACAACGAGCTTTCGAGGATTCACCTTAAAATATCAAAGCACACTTCAAACAGACACATCCACAAATTTGGAAATAGAACAAAAGAACATTTTGTTTTGAAATGGAATTATTTTCATTAACTACCTATTGAAATATTTTGAATATCAAATGTTGGCATGCATTCACCTTGGTTGGGGGTAAAAGCTGCTTTTCAAATACGTTTAGTTACAGAGGATACTCAAGTGACCTATTTAAAAAAATTCTCTGTTCATTTCTTCAGAGATTTACTCTGAGCTGGCATGGAGGTACATGCCTGTAATCCCAGTGGCTCAGGAGGCTGAGGCAGGAGGATTACTAGTTCAAAGCCAGCCTCAGCAACAGCAAGGCTCTAAGCAAGTCAGTGAGACCCTGCCTCTAAATAAAATACAAACTAGGGCTGGGGATGTGACTCAGTGGTTGAGTGTCCCTGAGTTCAATCCCCAGTAACCCACTCCCCAAAAAGGATTTACTCTGAATTTCAGAAAAGTCAAATTCTATTTTTTGTTTTAAATAGTCTTTTAATTTAAAAAATTTAAAAAAAAATTATTATAAATTGACAAATCATAATCACCTGTATTTATGGGGTACAAAATAATTCTATGACTAATATAATGCAGAATGTCATTTCAGAATAATGAAGTCAAGCTAATTAACATATCTATCACTTCCAATACTTATTTTTTTGTGTGTGTGAAAACATTTGAAATGTTCTCTCAGCAGTGTTTACAACACACTATTATTTACTATGGTCATCACATGGTGCGATGGATCTCAAAAGAAAAAAATCCCAGCTTACTCCTGCCCGAGGCGTGTGATACTGGCGTACATCTACCCCTTCCCTGCCCCAGGCTCCTCCCTAGCTTGCTGCGGTCTGTGTGAGTTCGATGAGTAGGTTCTGCATGTATGTGAGCGCACACAGCATTTGTTTTGCTGTGGCTGGCTTATTTTGCTTAGCATGATCTTTAGTTTTTTGAGGGACCTCTATGTGGCTTTCCACAGTGGCCGTGCCAATTTGATGGTACACAAGGTCCCTTCTCTCCACATCCTGCTTGACATGGGGTATCTTTTTCTATGACGGCCCTTCTGGTGGGTGTGGGGTGGTATCCCACGGGGGCTCCATTTGTGCTCCCTGGTGGTTGGTGATGTGGAGCATTTTTCCCAGTGTCAGTTGGCCACTGTTTGTCTTTTATGAAATATCTCATTGGGTTATTTCTTTCCACAGGGCTGTTTGGGTTCCTTGTAAATTTTGGACATTGCCACTTATCAGATGTACATCTACAAGTATGCGTCTCCCGGTCTGCAAGTTGTCTGTTTATCCTGTTGCTTCCTTGCCATACAGAAGCTTTTGATTTTGATGATTTGGAGCTTCATTCGCTTTTGTTGCTTCATTTTTGGGTTCAAATTGAAAAAAAAAAAACACAACCATTGCTCAGACCCAAGTCCTGCTGTTCCCTTGGTCTTTGCAGGCACATGGTGGGTCCTTGGGTGGAGTTCTGCTCCTCCTGGTCTGGTGTGAAGCCAGCTGCTGACTGTCACAGACCTACCCTTGATGTCCCTGTCCCCTCTAGGGTGTCCTTGAGGACGGTCCTTGTTGCTCTACAGTGTGTTCCATACAATGAGCCTTAGGAGAGGTTCTCTGGGGCCAGTACCAAGAACAGTCCCGTTTCTGTGGCTTGGACGGTTCTGGCCTAGTAGGCAGCACAGGCTTTGCCTTACCCAGTAACTTCTAGAATAAAGTCATGACTCATTCATTGATTTCATGATACACACCTTTTTTTTTTTTTTTAACTCTGTGGCACATCATTTGGGGACCCAGCCTGGGGACAAACAGACTGCTCCCCTGGGGCTCCCATGTGGCCTGGGCACCCTCCCCGCACACAGTGGGCAGCCCTGGGTCTTGCACACCTCCGCCTTCTCTGTACATGTGCCAGGTGCCCAGGGGCTGTGTGGTGGCATGTGTGCGTCAACCTTCTTCCTGGGCGGTGTTCAAGGGGCCCTGCTCCACTGGGCAGAGCTTGCAGATTCCCGAGTCGGCCCTACGCCCTGTGGGTCAGAACTCTGGGGGTGAGGCCTGAAGAGGGACTTGGAATAAGTTCCCCAGAGAGTCTGATGCATGCTAGTAAATGACCCAAGATGGCTGTGAGCTAGGGACCCTCTTTGGTCCCCACTGGCTCCAAGTCCTTTTGGATTCATTTGCCTCTAGGCAAATCTCACCCGATGACCAGGTGACTGGGGGCCACCTGCTTTGGTTCTGGATACTGCTTGTGTCATGTGTGTGTGTGCACGTGTATGTGCTCTGCACTATTGGGACCTAGGATGGGTCCCACAGAGATGGCGAGCAACTTGCCTAATGACCCACAGCCAGAGGGAGGCAGAGTTTGGATCTGAACTAGCCCCTGGACACAGGGCCACACTGGGCTCCTTTCCGCCGTTGGTCGCCGAGACTCATACCTCTTTCTGCTTGGTCAGGCGGTTCTCCAAGTCCTGTACCTTCCTCTTCTCCTTCTCCAAGGCCTCCTTCGCCTTCTGAATCTCGTAGGCGATGCTGTTGTCTGAGATCTGGGAGTCAAGGGTAAGGGGACAAGGGGTGAGCAGGGAAGGGGGGACCGTCAGTGCAGAGGGAAGCCAGGGCCAGTCTCTGCGGAAGACAGTGGGATGGGGTTTGGGCTAGAGTGCAGGCAGCCAGGGCCCGCCTGGCAGAGGGGCGGGACTCCTGGAGCAGCCGCCAGGCAGGGCGAGAACCAGGAGCCAAATCTCAGCCTTGCGCATGAAGGAGGGAGTGACTTGGTCGTCAGGATTTGGGGGCTGGTTTCAGGAAATGACATCCTGGTTAGTGCCAGGGTCATGGTCATATCATTTGGCGCCAAGCCACAGAATGAACTGGCATGTGTTGGCACCAGTAAAGGCCTGGCTGGGAAGTACCTGGCTCTTAGGAGGTGTGGGAAGAGAGACAGCACAGGGGCACACTTCCTGTCCCCACCCTTCCTGTCCCTGGCTTCAAAGGACACAGGCAGAATCATCCCATATACAAAGGTGTGGGTTTCAGGAATTCATGCCCAGGACAGCGTGGAGCTGAGGACACTTACTCCACAGACCTGGGCACGGGGTGGAGGCCGGGACTCCCCTGCACAACCCGGGAAGGACCAGCCAGCCCGGGGGTGAGACACTCTGTTTGCTGCCATTGACACTCTTGCAGCTCTGCCCCGGCACCAACAGAAAGGCCACAAGACGGGTATTTTAAATGTCTGGGTGCTGTGCAGACAGAGGCTGGAGCAGGGTCACCGAGGTGTAAATGGGGCATTTGGTGGTGGGGGACCAGGACCGTGGCACTTATATTCCCTCTTCCCACTGCTCTGCTGACTAACTTTCTTTAGTGGATGTGCGCTCTTGTCACAAAGGAGAACGAAGGGAAATTGTTACAGGGAATGTCAGGCAGGTGGGGAGGTTTTAACCAGGGGGCAGAGGTGGGGACACTGGGAGGCACGTGGCCCTGAAGAAGAGACAGTGTTCCCAGTGTTCCTAGGTTTTGATGAGCCTTCCGAGGCCCCACCTGCACACATCCTCCCCCACCCTCCCCGGGCTCTGGCCTCACTTTGTCCCACTGCCACGTCCTGCCTGCCTAAGAGGCCACCAGCCTGTTCTGCATCTCTTCTCACGCCATGTGCTGCTCAGCGTAGCACAGATGAGACCTGCAGGGACATGGCCCCGCGTCCTGCTCTGTGTGGGGAATGCTCGAGGGCATGCACCCTGCCAGCCTGGTCCAGGGGTGCCCTTGACAGGTGAGGCAATGGAGGCTGTGCCTGAGGTAGGAGGAGGACGGGTGATGTCCCCGTCACCCCCCCCCCCAGGAAGTGGTGTGAAGCTGGCCACCAGGGCCCTGCCCTAACCACTGTGCACCCAGCCTCTCGGTCCTGCGATTTCCACCGCGGCCCATCGGAAGGCAGGACACGCACGCTGGGCACTCGCCTGGCGGGGCCCCACATGGCAGGGGTGCTCCACACCTCGCCGAGACTCTGAGTCCGTCTCCCTCACTCTGGCTGGACTCTGCCCTTCCTGCCCTCTCGGGTGTGGCAAGGCTGCCCTGCTGCACCCTGGACCCTGCCCTCCCTGGGTGGGTGTCCCGTAAGCACAGACTCCTCTCCCCAGGCCTCTGGGGTGGTTCTGCCCCCATCATGGACGAGGGCACAGAGAGGGCAGGGGCTTGCAGGGTCGCACAGCGTGCTAGTACAGAGCCGGGATTGGCGCCCAGAACCAGCTCTTTGGGCCCACTGAGCCCCGGCCCCCTCCTCTGCTCCCCCAGAGAGCTCCTGCCTCCTTCTCTGGCTCTTTCCTGAAGCTCCAGGCCCCACTGTGCCCTGGCTGGCTCAGGTCCCATCCCCCCTCCAGGTGTCACTCAGGGTCACCTCCTCAGAGCTCTCCATGGGTGTCGGCCACTCTCTAGCCAGTCCTCGGGACTGGCCGTTTCCTGGGGTTCTGTCTTCCTGACCCGGGACGGGGGCTGTGGGCAGCGTGGCCATGGCTCGTCTTGTCCACTGTGGTGTCCTTGGTCCCCAGAGCAGGGCCCCACACACAGGTGCTCAGAGAATATGGGTGATGAATGACACTGAGCCACCGAGCCACCACCTGCTTCCCTGAGTTCCCTGAGGGCAGCAGGGTGGGCCTGCTCTACCTCTGCCCGCCGCTGCCCATGGACATGCCACTGGGGTTGCTAGTGACATCTACCCAGCCCTGCCTGTCCCCTCCTGCTGAGGCTGGATGTCTGGTGGGCCTGTCCCCAGGCGGGTGGGCGGGTGTGTCCTCTGCCGGTTCCTGCACTTGGGACCCTCCTCACCTCCCCGGGGGCTTTGGCCCTGTGAGGCTGCTCTCCTCACCTGCCCCGGGAGGCGGCTGCCCTTATTGGATGCGACCTCCGCCAGAGCTCCTCACAGACCTGCCTGGCCCCGCGCCTGCGGCCCTGCCCGGGGGTCCTCTAGAGTCCCCCCTGCCCCGGGGTCCTCTAGAGTCCCCCGCGTGGCAGGGGTGTCTCTCGCCTGGCTATGCTGATGAGCAGGATGCTGGCTGAGGGCGGCCTCGGCCCTGGGTGGGACCCAGGGCAGGACAAGCTGGGGGTTGCAGGGGCCGTCCAAGCACTTCAACCCAGTGACACCTACTGCTGTGGGCGGGGCTGGACACTGAGGGTGGGAGGTTCAGGTCTGCGGCTGTCCCCTGGGCCGCTAGGAGTTGGCCGACCTGGCCGCTGCAGCTCCCGGCCGCCTGGCTGTGGCTCGCACCTCCTTCTGCTGGGTCAGGTGGTTCTCCAGGTCCTGCACCCTCCGTCGCTCCGACTCCAGGGCCTCCTTGGCCTTCCTCTTCTCGTGGGCTATGCTGCTCTCCAAAACCTGAAAGGCAACGGCCGCTCCTCTGGGTGCCTGCTCGGGACGCTGCTGAGGACAGTCCTGAGGGCCACGACGCAGGGCCCTGGCAGCCCCCGGGCTCAGGAGACCTCGCCCTCCGGCACCCGGGTGGGGAGAGCTCTCTGCGGCCCCATTTTATAGAAGAGAGATGGAGGGACAGGTGGGGGGCTCGGGCTGGCACGGCTCATGGCACTGAGCCCGGACCCTGCTCGGGGGAAGCTGGCGGCTGCACGCGGAGCCTGGGGCAGGACCCAGCAGGCAGAGGGGCCAGGCTTGCTGTCATCGGCGGCAGCCTCCCTGAAAATCTCATCCCCTATGGCGTCCCCACCCTTGGGGTGAATCTCTTAGGCCGAATCCGGTTTCAAGAGGAGAACAAGGCCCAGGAGGGAGGAGCCAGACGGACAGTCTCCACAGGGGCAGGGGCGGGCCTGGCAGGGGCTCCTGGAGGGACACCCGGTCGGTCCAGGATTCATCCGGGAAGCTCTTGTGATAAGTGGTCATTGGCTAAAGGACTTAAGTCAATCACCAAAGGAACCAAAGGAAGCCACCCGCGGGCCGGCCTCGCCTCTGGCCACCGACTCCTGGGCCAGCCTTCTGAACGCCAGCTCGAGCGCCAGGAGTTTAGAACTTGGAACACAGTTGCCATTAAAATCCACAGTAAGGGCCCCGGGCTGGCCCCCGGGAGCGCTCAGCCCCAAGACGTTGCAAATTTTGCAGTAAAAAGTGGTTTAAAAGCTCCAGCGCCCTCTGTCCCCACACCAGCCCAACAGAGCAGATGAGAAGTGGCAGTGCAGGGACTCCACTTTCATTTTGAGGGCCTGAGGTGGGATTCAGGGTAGGGGGTGCTCCTGTGACCCGTGAAGAGACTTTGAGGCCCCCTCTGGTGACTCAGGGTCGGCCGCAGCGCCTGACCCCACATCCAGGCGCCTGGCCTTGCTCTCTGCAGCTCCTCTGTGGCTGGGACAGGCCCCACCTGGAGGGGACACACCCTGTCCCTGTGCCCCCAAGTCTACAGCAGGGAAGGCGAGCTGACCCTTAACCCTACCTCACGACCCGGACTATCCCTGTGGCCCTTTTCTGGTAAAAGAAAAGTCCCCCTGCCCCGCCACAGGCTGAACGCAGTCTGCGGCCAGAGCTCCTGAGAGGCCACAGAGAGGTTTGGCCAGGGGTGGCTGAAGTTCCAACAGACCTGGGGCCACCAGCCCTGGCTCATCTGCTACGGGCTTTACTCCTGCTTCGTGATCTCGAAATCCCTCAATTCCAGGGCCGTCCTCTGTTGACCTCTTGGTGGCATTTGACTTGAGTGACTCCACGGAGACCCTCCCTCCTCTTGCCACCCTCCCTGGAGATAGAACTCGACGGTCACCTCAGTGACACTGTTTACAAAGAACCACAAGCACAGCTGGGGGGGAACCAACAGCCAACACCCTCCTGGGGGTGCAGGGCTGTGTCCAGGGGTCTCTTCTTTCTCCTTCATGTGGGCAGGCTGGTGTCACTCTGAGGTGGACAGGAAGAGGTAGATGTGGCAGAAGTGACAATAGAAACTTCCATTTATTCTGTGACATTTCTATCAGACACTCCCTGGGACATGTCCAACCCTCACAGCCACCCTTCCACAAAGGGAGGTATTGACAGATCTGCTCCAGTCAGGATTCGAACTCACATCTCACCTGGCCGCAAAGCCTGCACCCCTCTCAGCTGCCTTAGGATTGAGGGATTAACAAAAGCAGGCATGAAAAGGGCTCAGGGACCTGAGGGTGCCACAAGCTAAACATGAATCAAAAATGCAATAGAGCGTCCCCAAAGCTAGTTGGGCACATTAAAAGAAGTAGAACATCTTCAACCAGGGAGGGACTTTGAGGCCCCCTCTGGTGACTTAGGGTCGGCGGCAGCGCCTGACCCCACATCCCTAGGCCTCCCTGGCTGGGGAAGAGTGGTTCTGGCTACCACACTTTAGGAAGAAAACAAGTGATGGATGGCAAACTCAAGTGCCCGTAGGGCCAGTCAGGGGCCAGAAGTGAGGATGTGTCAATGCGGGAGGAGGTGAGGACTGGGGCAGATTGCTGCCACTTGGTTCAGCACTGGTCCTTGCTGCCAAGTGGAAACGGGGGCCACATTTCCCGACTCTCGAGAGAGGATGGAAATCTGAATTTTTAAGTACATTTTATGAATTCAGAATAAAACTTTCTGGGTCCGACATGACGTATCTGGGAGCCTCCAGAGAGCACAGAGGGCCGTGGAGAGGCCCCGGCTCCAGTCCTGCCAGACGAGTGGGGAGAGGGGCCTGGGCCCGCAGGGGGGCAGGCGCAGGAGCAGGTCCCCTTTTCAAACGGCCTCGTTATCGTGCGGAGGAGGGCCCGGGGGTGGGCTGAGGATGGCATTCTGGTGGCCAGAAAGGTGCCGCCCAACTCGACCTAAAGGGAGCACCTCCTGCCAGCGCAGAGCACCCACCCGATGGCGGGCCGGGGCTCAGACAGTCCTCAGTGTGGGCTGAGGCCGGGTGACTGGGGCAGGGTCCCTGCAGCCTGGACCCCCATGACTGCTGTCCCCCCTTCCTGTGCCTGGGGACTCAACCTCCTTGCAGAAGATGCCACGTCTCCGTCCTCTGTCCCCTGTCCTGACTTGCTCCCCTCCCCGCCCTCTGAGCTCACTGCCCTGCGGCCCCTCCCGGGCACCCACCTCCTTCTGGCGGGCCAGGCAGCCCTCCAGCTCCTCGAGCCTCCTCTCCTTCTCCTCCAGGACCTCCATGGACCTGCGTCTCTCCTGAGCCAGGCGGTCGTCCAGAGCCTGCAAGCAACGGTGACCGCTGAATGGACCTGGTGGCCGTGTGGGAAGGTGGCTCTGCCAGCTCTGCGCGGGTCCCCTCACTCCCCAAGGCACCCGCTGGAGCAGGCGGGCCCGGATCAGGGCCCCAGGAGGCGTCCCGGGGTGGGCCTGAGTCCTACCTCCTTCTGGTGGGCGAGGCGGCCCTCCAGCTCCTGGACCCTCCGCTGCTCCTCCTGCAGGGCCTCCCAGGCTCTGCCTTTCTCCTGAGCAGTGCTCTCCTCCAGGGCCTGCAAGTCAGCGAGGCTTGTTGAACAGACCCGGTTACCATGGCGGGAATGTGACTCTGCCACGCTCTGCAGACGTCCCTCTCCAGTCCCACCCCACCCAGGGCCGCAGAGCCCCCGGTGTGGGCTCTGGAGTAGGCGGGGCCCTGTGAGAGCCAGGAACTGGACACCAGCCGGAGGGCCTGGCCAAGTGGGAATGTCCGCCGTGCCTCAGCTTCCCAGGGCCACCACGGGGACAGCCACAGTTCCTTCTTCACCGGGAGGATGGGAAGAATGGGGGGATGGCTGGCACAGGGAACACCTTGCAGCCCCATGTGCAGAGGAGGAGACAGGCTGAGAGAGAGTGAGAAGTCTTGGTGGGCCCCGTGGTCACGCCTGTGATCCCAGTGACTCAGGAGGCTGAGGCAGGAGGATTGCGAGTTTGAGATCAGCTTTAGCAACTTAATGAGTTTGTGTCTCTAAAAAATAAGAAGAGGGCTGGGGGGTGGCTCAGTAGTACACTGTCCTTGAGTTCCATCCCCAGTACTGAAAAAGAAAGAAAGAAAGAAAAAGAGAAAAAGAAATCTGCCTGATCTATTAGTGACTCACTCAGGCAGGGACTGGAAACCGGAACCCTGGCCCCACTGGATGCTCAAGCCTGGTTCTAAGTTAAGGATTAGCACACGACGTCCCCGCGTGTGTGTCCTGAGTTACTGTCGCTCAGTAGCGGAGCTGAGAAGTCGCGTCAGGACTAGTTCATGGCCAGCTAAACTGCAAGACCTGTCGCCTGGCTCTCACGGAAGCCGTTGGTCGGGCCTGGTGTACAGCACTGGTGGGTGCAGAGGTCAGAGGTGACGTTCAAATTCACAATGAAAAAGAAATGCTGGGGGGGAGGGAACCAGAATTCCTTCTTCCACCACAACAAAGTCCTCACACAAGCAGCCTTCACCAGGAGCTGGGACAGTGGCACAAGGAAGGTCCACTGAACAGCAGGAGCCAGCACTGGGGCCCAAGAAGCTCCCTCAGAGACCCCCGGCTCTGGCCGATCCACGTCAGCGTGACATCTCCAGGAAGGGGGATCAGGAAGGGAGCCGCGGGGAACCGTCGCCTCTGACGGGCTGGGTGCACGGAGGCTCGTGTGCCTAAGGGGGTCTGAAAGCCGCCATAGAAGTGCTGTCTGTCGGGAGCCACGTGGTCAGCGGGTGACGGGAAAGCCTTCAGGGTGCCCTGGGGGCTGACCATGCTGGGCCTGAGGCACCAGATCCCAACAAGGGAAAAACCAGTGTCCCCCGCAAAACTCCCCAAGCAGGGTTTTGGGAAGCAGCTCTTTGAGAAGCTGGCCGACAGCGGTGAGGAGGGACAGTCTGGGAGGACACTGGAGACGTCAGGTCTGGGCCGGTAAAGCCTCCTGTCTGTGGATGGAGCTGTCTCTTCCACACCTACTTGCTCTTCAAAGTGCACGGCTCTGATTGTGGTATGTAATGTGACCTCTGAGGACGTGTCGGGGGCCTCCTCTGAGGACGTGTCTGTGTGGGGGGCCTTCTGTGTATCTTTTATTACATAAAAGGCAGAAAAAGAGGCCAGGAGGGCAGAGGCAGGAGGAGGGGAGAGGCCCAGGGTAACCGGGTGGGAACTGGCGATGGAAATGGCCGAGGCGGGGCCAGGAGAGGCCTGCAGAGGCCTGGACAGGGGTGTGCTGATGGAGGACAGTGTCCAGGTGGGCAGTGGCTGAGCAGGAGCTGGTGAAAGGGGGCACCCGTGACCATGTAGTCCCCACAGGGAGAGGAGTGCAGGGGAGGAGCGGGGTCTGGCGGGTGGGGGGCTGCTGTCTCGAGGGGTGGGAGGAGGGGCCACAGGAAAGGCCGGTCCACTCCCTCGGGCAGCGGTTCTCTTCTGTGGCTGTGTGTGGGAATCGCCCAGAGTGTTTACCGACCCCAGAGCGAGCGCCACGCCATCACCCCAGCTAGATTGGAGCCCAGGGTGTCGGGAGGGGGCAAGGCTGAGTGTTCTGAAATCTCCCAAATGACACAAGGTGGCCAAAGTCATGAGCCGCTGACCCAGGCTGATGGAAACGAGGGTGGTGAAGCTCATGGCGGGTCCCTGAGCATCAGAGAGGGCCAAGTTCAAGACCACGATGAGGAAGAAGCAGGAAACATGGTTTCCTGGCCTTCTCCAGAGATTCCCAGGCAGTGGGTCTGCGGTGGGCGCCAACAGACTGTATTTTTAACAGGGCGCCTTATTAAGTTGTTTTTATCAGGAAACTTTGGCAAAACCTTCCTCCAAGGCTGCAGTGAGATGCAGACCTGTCGCCTCGGCACCATCTGAAGCATATCGTAACCACTGAGCCCCAGTTCTGCATTGGAGCCAGGTCCCTAGATGGTCCTCGGCTTAGCATCTCACACGCGCTGCTACAGGGTGTCTTCTAATTGGACAGGTTTCTAGAAAATTTAGTAGCCATTCCGGTCACTTGTTTTCCCTGTCATGTATGAAGACTGGGATGGTCAGAAGCTGATTTGGCACCATTGCTCTGTCACTTACAAACCAGGGTCTGCTGCAGTGAGGACGATCTGTATATAACTACAATATAGACACAAATAAGGTGGCACCGATCAAAATTGCAAAGGTCCTGCCTTTTCGGGTTGATTTTGCTGAGTTTTAGAATTCGGGCTTCATGTGGAATCCTTCATGATTATTCATCCTGTTTGATAATTTACCTCCTTAGTACTCAGCCAGCCGTCGCTGGCATTTCTCCATCTCAGCACCTGCTCTCAATCTCCCTTAGAAAAGTCTCCTTCATAGGTTCCCAGCAGTCAGAACGACAACAGGGCGTCCTTACCGCCTTCTCTTCCACCAGCCGCCTGATTTTGCCTTTCAGCTTCTCCTCTTGCGCCAGCTTCTCCTCGTTCAGCTTCTCCTTTTCTGCCCGATGCTCCTGCAGCTTTTCTTGCAGCAGAAACTGGTGGGTTTCCTGGGAGCTGCTGAGCTTGATCTAAATGGAGAGGAGGAAGAGGAAGCCGAGGTTGTCAGGGACTGGATGGAGGAGTCATTTCCACACTCACTCGCAAATTGTTTACCTTTCGGGGGACAAAGATTTACACAAAAGTTTCTTAAAAACACAGACAAGGGGCTGGGGCTGGGGCTCAGCGGTGGAGCGCTCGCCCAGCACATGCGAGGCCCTGGGTTCGATCCTTAGCACCCCATAAAAATAAATAAATAAAGATATTGTGTCCAACTAAAAAATAAATACTAAAAAAAAACAACCCACAGACAAACTGCACTTGGCCTAGCTTCTGGTGGGGAAGCAGTAGACTATGAAGACCGTGGATTCTGGATCTAGATAAAATCCCAGCTCAGGTTACTTCCGGCGGCTTCCCCATTTAGAAAATGAGATTGATCATAGTGTTCTGTGTCTTAGAATTGTGAGGATTAAATGAGATGATGATGGAAAGCTTGACAGTGCTTGGTACGTAGTGGGTGCTCAGTAAATGGCGGCTGGAATTCTTGGTTACTATTTGCTGGGGGTGGGAGGAAAAGCAGTGATCTGGGAGTCAGAAGGCCCAAGCTTTGTCTTGGTTCTTTTAATGAAGTTGTTCTCATCAGGAAACTCTGTGGGGCACGTGAGCTGTGTGGTGACCAAATAGTAACCAACTTCTCTGGCCTTTGATGTCCATATCTGTGAAACGAGGAGAAGGGACTGGACCGGGGGTTGACAGTCTACAGTGCACAGGCAGACCTGGCCCACTGTCTGCATTTTTAAATAAAACTTTATTGCAGCGGCCATGCCCACCACGCCTGCTCATTTGCACGCAGAGTTGAGCCTGAGCCTGTGCCTGAGGCCACGTTTCCTGCAGAGATTAAAACTGGCCAGGGGCTGTTACAGAGAAAGTCACTGACCCCTGGACCAGGCCTCTGTGGTGGGTGGAAATGACCGTCTGATCTGCAGCTTCCTTCGCTAAGTGACATGTCTTTGCCTGTGTCACTCCCAGAGCCCGCCCCCACCACATCCCGGGACACTGGACTCAGGCCTGTGATTTGCTCTGCCCAAAGGGATGTCAGCATATGTGGCAGAAGCAGAGGACAGGAAAGCACTACGTGGTCTTTTCCGCTGTCCCTTGTACCTGCGCAGTTTTCGGGAGAAGATGCCCAGGCTCCCTCGCTGGGGGACGAGAGACACGTGGAGTCAAGCACCCCACTCCAGAGGCCAGCCTGGATCCTCCAAGACCAGCCAACACCAGGAGGCCTGAGCCAGCCCCCCAAGGCCAGCAGGGCCACCTGGCTGCTGACCTGGGCAGGTGAGCAGGCACTAGTAGTTGTTGAATGCCCTAAAGTCATGTGGCTCTTTTTGCATGTCACCATGACAGTAGCTATCAGCATGATCAACCCTAGGGGTCACTGGCCCCTCCAATCTTCCTTTTGGAAACTCTGCTGCCTGGACCGTGGTAGCTGGACTTCCCACACTGGGTTTTATGCACACACTTTTCAAGATCCGATGGCATGGAGTGCTTTAGTTTTTGACAGGGGAGACAAGCACTGTGAGACAAGCTGACCCAGGGCCCAGCTTCCTGTCTTTATCCTTGGCCCGTGGGAGACCTCGGCCACCCTGTCCCCTATCGAGGCTGGGGGCTGACTCTCCATAGAGAAGAAACAGATCTCCAACTCAGAGGAGCACACTCACGTCCAGGAGCTGAAACAACTTGGAGAAAAAGAACTTGAAAGACTTACCTGCAGCTCCTGGGTCTGGCTCGTGATTTTTTTATAATGTTCCAGAAGATACACCAGGTACAAAGAGAACCCTTAAAAAGAGAAGGGGAGAAGGTGTCAGTTCAATTCCTTTGTTTTCTGAATAATGTCTTTTTAAAAAAATTTGTTTATTTTCTGAAGATGTCTTGACGGAGCCCGTGGACAGGTGGGTGCAGGTCCCAGGGCCTCCTGTGGAGAGGACAGAGCTGCCCCTGGACTCGCACTTTTACAATGATTGACGGACTTTGCTTGGGCTCCAATCTACGTTTCTTTTTGGAAGCGGGAAATAAAGACCCTTCAACAGAACACCTATGTTTCCACGTGTCCACTGAGTGCCAGGTGTGGAGGGAGGGGGACGGAGGGAGGCCAGGTGCTCCAGGGCCTTAGGGTTCAACCTGAGAGACAAGTTCTAATGCCTGGCGGGAAACGAGCAGGGACCCTAGGTGGCTTGTTGGTGACAGTGAAGGACAGGAGGCATGAGAGGGTCTCCTGGGAGACAGGGATGGTTCGTGCAGAGTGATCAGAAAAGGTGACTTGGAGGAGGACCCACGGGATGGGGGCATCGTGTAGGCAGAATTCAGAATGGGAGGGGAGGGTGCTCTGGGCAGAGCCTGTGGCTAGCTGAATGACCCCCACCAACCTCCTGGTCCCTGGAGCCGTGGATATGCCTCACACAGCAGAAGGGACTTGGCGAACGTGCCTAAGGAAGGATTTGGAAGTGGGGGTTCTCCTGGATTATCTGGCTGGAGCCAACGCCATCACACAGGCTCCTACGGGAAGGAAACGGGGAGATCCGATCACAGATGGACAGACAGAGGAGGTGACGTGGTGGAAACAGAGTCCAAGATGCTGTGCGTTGTTGCATAGCAACAAGGTGGAGGAAGGGGCCACAGCCAATAAATGAAGCCCCCGAAGCTGAGGACGGCAGGAAAGCAGATTCTCCCCCACAGCCCCCGCAGGACCAGCCCTGCACACCCCTGACGTCAGCCCGGGGAGGTCGCGGGTGGATTTCAGCCTCCAGATCTGTAGGAGGATACAGGCATGTTTTAAGCCATGAAGGTGGTGGAGGTGGTTACAGCAGATCGCAGACCGGCACAGGGATGAGGCGGGACGGGAACAGGAACCGCAGTGCGTGGCTTGGGAGGTGCTGGCTTCCCTGGGCCGCCTGGCTGAGGCAGGAGCCAGGGTGGAGTCAGATGGAAGAGTGCGATCTGCCCGAGGCAGGCCTAGAGCAGTAGCCTAGAACCTGTGAACCTGACCGACATCCCTGGTCCGGGCCGAGGGCATCCTGCGGGCCTGGTCCTCCACGGAGCAGGAAGGAAGGCCTCACCCACTGCCATGTCCCTTTAGATGGCTCTGAGATGCGTGGCTGCCGGTGGCTGGGCTGGGCCTCGGGATCCACTTACAACAATTTAAAATGCCTCCAGACATTCTGGGTGTCCCCGAGGTGGGGGAGTCCCCTCCTCTGAGTTACAGGCAGAGAGCTGAGCTAAGAGCCCATGGGAGGCCCAGGCCCCAGGTGTCAGTGTTCTGGATGAGTTGGGGGAAGCAGCCCGAGAGGAAAGAAAGAGAGAGAGAGAGAGAGAGAGAGAGAGAGAGAGAGAGAGAGAGAGAGAGGGAGAGGGAGAGGGAGGGAGGGATTGGCCAAGGTCTGCTTAGACATGTTGGATTCGATGCATGGAGGGACTCCAAGGAGAGCTGGTCAGCGGGAGCTGGGCGTGCCCCGTGGAAAGGTGAGGTCTTTATGAAAACGTGGGAAAGAGCTCCCTCCCTGCTGGTGGGTGTGGCCTGGGCCAGGGCCCCACCGGCTGCCTTGGCTGGCTCCCCTTATGTGGGCCCCAGCCTGCACTCCCGTTCCAGCAGACAGGCCCGTGGACGCGTCCATTTGGACATCATGGGGTAGGTGGGGCTGCTGGACACCTCAGTGGAGAGAGAAGGCAAGAGGGGCAGGACCGAGGCCCGCACTCGGGACACACTCATGTTAGGGACAGTCGGTGGTGAAGGGGGCTGCTGAGAGCCGTGGGGAAAGACCAGGGGAGAGCCAGGGTGCTCCAGGACCCGGGCCCCCAGGTGGGAGAGGGTTTTGAGGAAGAGAGTCGGGAGCACTGCCAGGCTGGAGGGAGCACAGCCTTGGGAAAGATGGCGGCCTCTCGCCACAGCAGGGATCCACGTCTGCTACTTGGTGGGGCAAGGCCAAGAGCGGGAGGGGCTTGGACATGTCATCGAACGCACTTTTAGAGGAACTTTGGAGGCTTGAGGGGAGAGGGCTGCGTCGGCCAGTGTGAGGAGGCGCCAGGGGAGGAGCTGTAAGGGACCAAGCTGGCGGGAGGAGAGGCGGCCTGGCTGACCCTGGCCGGGGTCACTGCGAAGCAGGGACCAAGGCGAGCGTCTGGGCTTCTGCTCCTCTGCACCTGTGACCCAGGCCCCAAAGGGCAAGGCTCAGATCCTGGGTGAGATCCAAAGAGGACTGAGGGAGAAGGGAGTCCAGGCTGTTGAAGCGGGGAGGGCGTGTTGGGTCACATTCTGGATTAGATGGTGAACTGTGAGCACAAGAGGAGTTTCCTCTTTGGGGGAAGAGCAAGTCTTTATTATATTTGTGATTAGAAAAGTTACATGTGTTACATGGCAGTGGGCCCTCAGTGAGTAGTTGTTGAATGACTGAGTGAACGTAAAGGTCCCACATCATCCTACCCTGCTGGGACTATACTCTCAAGGGTTCATTTTTTTTTCTCCAGATTTTTCTGTTGGTCAAACACTGACAAAAAAAAAAAAAAAAAAAAAGGAACACAGAATGCATATCACACCACAACTGGCCCTGTTGTCTTCTCACGAGAAGACACTGTGTATCTTGGATATGTGAGAATGGCGAGTTTTCCATGCATGAGGGGAAGCCTTTCATTTGTAACAAAGTCTTCCAGAAACAGACACAAACAACTGAAGGAACAGAGAAGAATGTAAAAGTCCTTTGATTCCCTTATCAAGGGGAGCCTGGGAAACCAGGCAGGAGGTGGGTGCAGCGAGTTTCAAGGTCCTTTGGTTGATTGCCATCTGCCCGCTGGACCACGCAGCCGGCCGCCCCACTCACACAGCAGCTGGTAGGTGAAGCCACAAGGGCCTCTTCCCTGGGCCGTGCCTGACATCACCCAGCAGAACTTCCAGCAGCTTCCCCTCTCCATCTGGGCCACCCAAGTTCTAAAATGAGGATGATGGACCCCATCACTTCATGGAGTTGTTGTGAGGTTAACCGAGATGATTATGTAAAATGCTGAGGTTGGTGTCTAGAATAAGAGCTTGATGATGAGTGATGATCACCATTGTCACCATCACCACCACCACCACCATCACCACCACCAACATGATCACCACCACCACCACCACCATCATCACCATCACCACCACCACCACCACCACCACCTTCACCACTGATCACCATCACTGCCACGATCACCATCACCACCATCATCACCACCACCACCATCACCACCATCACCATCATCACCACCATCACCAACACCACCATCATCACCATCACCACCATGATCACTTATGTCATCAACACCACCGTCCCCTCCCGCTCCTCCTGGGATGGCTGTGGCCGGGAGCTGGGGTCCGTGGTGGAGAACATAGAGAAGGCTCTGGCTTCCCCTGATATTGCTTGCACTGGGAGAGAAAATGCCTCTGCCACCAGCTTTCTCTTCCATCCAGTGGGGAGGGCCGCGCTCACTGACCTTTCCTTTCTCCTGACTTCTTAGAACTCAGCAGCTGCCATCGCTGACTACAGCCACAAGAGCACGGTTTCACCCACAGGTGTCCCATGGAACATTATTTTAAGAGGTGCTAGTTGGGGGTAAGGGCAGCAAGAAAGGACGCGTATTTGGGAACGCCACCTTCTTGGAGATGCGCAGGGCATGTTCACGGAGGAGCGTCTGCAGAGACCAGTTTATGCTGCTCAAAACTTGTGACTCTATGAAGTCCAAAGAGAAAAATGGCAGGTCTAAGCCTTGCTGGCTAAAACTGGTTTTTCTCAGCCTTTCTGGAATTGCTGGCCTGACAGTTTAACTTTACCACTACATTTAGTGACAGTGACGTATGGCTAGATTCATAGACATGGCATCAGTGACTGAAATTGCTTGGAGTGGGAAGGGACAGTGCACAGCTAGGTTGCCCCCCACCCCCACTGCCACCAGGAGAGAGACGAGGGCCCCTGTTGTGGTCCCAGCCTGGAAGAACAAGACTGCTCCACACGTCACCTGTCCTCAGGTGAGCTCAACAGTCAGGTAAGGTTAAGAGAACAGTAACCGTGACTGGGAGCTGCTGGGCTGTGGGGAGCACCCCAGTCCTTTGTCCCTCTGCCCTGGCCTTTGACACCCCCCCCTCCTTTGTGCTACAATGAGGGCCGGCACTTATAAAAAAATAAATCTTATTTTTGCTTTTGCCTATTTTTCCCCCCAAGAACTTTTCACCACCTTTGGGATGACTTTGAAGGCATCCCGCTGGGGACACTGAGGCATCAGAGTGGAGGATCACTCCCGTCTTCTCACTCGTCACTGTGAGAATGTCAAATTCATGTGACCTCCTCGAGAGCAATTTTGCAATCTGAAACGTTGGGGTTCCTCAGGGTTGGCCCTGGGACGTCCCTTCCTGCTAAGCAGCACCTCCCACACCTGCGGCTTTATCCACCCACCCGTGCCCCACTCCTGTCCCTTCCCTCCCCTGGACGTTTATCACCCTCCTGTGGTACATGCTCTTCTGCCTCTTGGCATAACCCCTGATGTCTACCTCCAGTGAGGCATCTTGTGACAGCGGACTCCTGGGCACGTCCTCGGATGCCTCACGCCACCTCGTGCTCATTGCCCCCTAGCCCTGGGCCCCCTCGGCACCCCTAACTCTGGATCTTAGTGAGACAACCACATCTGTCCTTTCCTAAGTGCCAGAAACCTAGAAGCCACACAGACCTCTTCTTCTGTCACCTCCCCTCCAGCTCCACCCTGTCCTGCCACGGAGGCCTCCTGATGGACCTCCTGAGGCCCCAGCGTCTTCTCCTACTCTACATCCGCCCTGCCTACTGCAGCCACCATCATCTTCGGCAGCCCCTGTCTGGGCTCCTGCTGCTCCGGACTGGCCTCCCCCCACTTGTGACCAAGATGATGCTCTCAACACGCAAAACTGTCCCACGAGTTTCTCGAAACCTCTCATCCTGCTCTTTCAGGATGCCCCCACAGCCCGTGCCCACCTTGCTCACCAGCCCCTGTCCTTGGCCTCTTAACCCCCACCACCCTGCTGTCCGCCCACCCAGAACGCTCTCCCTCCCCTCTATGGCAACAAGTCCTGTGCATCCTGCAGATGCCCCGCCCTCCTTGACCAGCTCAAACCCTGCACTTCTTCACAGCAATTGCAACCATTCAAATTTTGTTTATTGGAGAGAGTTTCCATGCCCATGCCCTCCCTCCCCCAGAGACTGAAAGCTGTAGGAGGGCAAGGATAGCACCTGTTCCCCCCAATATTTTATGATCTATTATTTCAAACATTAAGTTGGAGGAGTTTTTCCATGAACAATCATAACCGTGACCAGCTCCTGCCCCACCACCGTGCCTCTGCCGTGCTCAGGGCCTGGTTATGGTAAACAGGTAATGGACCTGTGGAGGGAAAGAGGTCCCTGCCCTTCCACCCCAGGAGGAGGAAGGGAAGATGAGGAGTCTGTGGAACAATGTTCACCTCAGAACCATCGAGGAGCAGGAAGAGTGGAAGCAACTTCCATGCTCCCACAGGGGACCGGCTAAATAAGAGTTGACACTTCCCACACAGGGGATTCCTTGCCACCACCAACTGTCACCAGGGAGGTCTGTGTGCATCCACCCAACAGGGGTTTCCTCAACAATGCAACATTAGTAACAAGACTCAAGCAACATTTGGTGTAATAGGAAACTATTTTTCGTAGAATTAAAATAATAAATGTGTAATGCCTATTCTGTGCAGGTACCTAGTCTAAGCACTTTACAGAGATCAGTTCATTCCGGTCCTCACAATGACCCCGAGAGGTGGCGGCTCCTTACTATCCCCGTTTTGCAGGTGAGGAAACTGGAGCGTGGAGAGGTTATGTAACTTTCCTGGAGTCACACAGCTACTACCAGGAGACACTGCTGTGCAAGTTACAAAATATCACAGGAGTTCCTCCTGGGAGACAGGAGTCGGCATAACTTGGAATTCTCCCAGTTTCCTTTTGCCTCTGTCACGTTTCATTTCTGTGACAATCATGTCTCACTTGTGTTTTTTTTTTTTTTTTAAGAAAAATCACTTCCTAAGCCAACTAAGTCTGGAGAAGGGAATATTCGGCCACATGCCTGCGAAGCCATCTCAACAGATGCCCCATCACGGCAGGATTCATCACGACATTTTAAGAATCACGCAACTAAGGTGAGAAGAAGAAAAAAAAAATCCCAGGAACCTTTTTCGGAGCTGGGTAGCTGGATGCCGAGGTCCTTCAGCAGCTGCTCCGTCTCCTCCAGCCAGGACAGTGAGTGGCTCAAGATGTCCACGGTCACCTTCTGGAGCCCCAGGACAGGTGGATTCATCTGAAGGTGCTGGAGAAGGTCCACCTCCCTTTTCAGGTCGCCGCTGCAGCAAGACATTTTCAAGCAAGCCTGAAAACAGACGAGAAGGTGCGGAGCTCAGACCCTGTGGCAGGGAACAGCACCTGGACCTTGCCCCAAGGGAGCCAGGGTGCACTGGCCATCCGGAGTGGCCCCAGTTTTATTCAATGTCATTTCTTTTCTCTTTTTTTTTGCAAATTATATTTTTTGCACCCTTTTGAGAGTCTAGGGAACACCCTTTTAGGTACGTGTGATTCCAAAGCCAAATTGCCTTAGACAATTTGGCTGAAAATAGAACCCAATTTGGCTTCTCCTATTTATCACGGTTCCTGCAGACATCAACACACAAGCTGGTCAGAAAGTGTGGCTTCCTGGTTTTTGAAGGAGTGCTGACAAGCAAGCATTCGCACCAACTCCACAAATAGCAGCTCGGTGGGGCCCCGGTGGCCTGGGCCTCTGTTCCCGGCTCCTCTGGGATCACAGGTGACCAGAGGAAGTAGCCAAACAAGTAAGTGCGAATAATGGGCAGAAACGTCTTTGGCTTCTTTGGAAATAACATGGGATTTCCCTCCTCTGCCCCAGGGGCTTCCTCAAGTCAGTACAGTTGTCCCTTGTCCCTTGGTATTATGGAGGATTGGTTGGGGTTCCCTATTTCCACCTCCACCCCCCATAGATCCCCCAATCTGAGGATGGTCAAGCCCCTTACATAAAGTATGTAGGATTTGCATATAACTTCTGAGTATCCCCTAAGTCATTGCTAGATGGCTCGGCGTAGCTCGTATAACGTAAATGCTGTGTACACAGTTGCTAGCCTTTATCGTTTAGGGTATACTGACAGTGCTCAGCTCAGACGCATTTCCCCCTGAATATTTTGGCTCTGTGGTTGGCTGAACCCGCGGATGCGGAACCCTCTGGTGCAGAGGGTGACTGGACTGGAAGATGCTCGTGTTCCCTTCACTTGGGAGGCATTTTTTGATGTCCCTGGTTCTCTGTTCTCCAAGAGGAGAAGAGGTGGGTACAGAGAACCAGGGCATTGCTGTCCCCCCTGTTCCAGAAAGCTGGACAGTTCACCAAAAATGAAGCATACCAATTAGGCAGAGGGGGCCACGTGGAAAGCATGAGGGGCACCTGGCAGCTGTCCAACGACGCCTTCAGCTTCTCCATGCTCTTCGCCATCTCCTCCTGCTTGGAGTTGTTCAGCTGGGTCGCCTTCTGCAGGGTCCACTTTTTCTGCTGCAAGTTCACGTTGTCCTCGGTGACCTGAGTGATCTTCTCTATCAGCTGGTGAGAAAAAGAAAGATGTTGAATGCAGAGTGGCATCAGGAGAGGGGACCAGAGGATGGCAGCTGGAGACCGGGGCTCAGGAGCAGAGGTCATTCCTAGGAGCCAAAGGCCTGCACCGTAGCTGCGAGTGTCCCAGATCCTTCTGCATTTGTAGCAGTGACTCGGAACACGGAGCCTGAGGCTGTGGGAATCAGCGGGTCGGGCTCTCCTGGGCCCCACAGGCGCAGCCCACGGTGTGTTTTCTTACCTGTGCAGTGACCCAGAGGACAGGAAGGGGTCCCGGAAGACTAGCAGGGCAGCCCACCCCAGGACCCTCTCTTCTGGGAGGAAGAAGCCAGGGCTCATGGACTAAGGGGAGACCGCCCCTCTGTGTGTGTGTGGCCGGTGGCTGGACGTGTCCTGCGTGGCTGAACTTGATTCTCATAAGAGCATTTCAAAGGAGTTTAACTGGCTTTTACTTAAAAAGCCATGAAATCCCATAAAATCAAAACAAATCTTTATGGTGTAGCGACAGTGTGAAAAATATGTGCCACCAACAAAAACAGAAACATATGCTCCCAGGGCCTGGCGTCCCGATCCCCGAAGAGGAGCGAAGGAGCCCGTGGCGACGGGCCACACTGACCTGCTGGTCGGTGATGGTCTTGTCCTGGCTTGGCTTCGCCCGCCCGTAGGTGGCCTTGATGATCTGGCTTCTGAACTGCTCCAGCTGCGGCACAAAGGGGGCAACAGGTCAGTGGGGCCTTAGGGGTGGAGTCGGGGCGGGGATGCACTTCTGTCCCGGGGTCCAGGGACACAGTCACTTGGACGGGCCCACATGCCTAGGGGGTCGTTCCGTGGTTTGGGACTCTTCGCTGCGCACCAGAAGCGGCTGTCTGTACCCACAGAAGGAAGGAGAACAGCAGGTTTTAATTACTTTCTGGGCCTGCCTGCCCGACCCAAGCCAGGCACGTGGTCTGCGTGCACATGTGTCTCAAGCCCTAAAAGCGCCACTTGCTGCCAATTTATCCAATGGGAAGTCTGGGGCCGGGAGCGCTCTTCTGTAATTGCTAAGCTGGCACCAGACTGTGAAATAAATATTGAGACTGTCAGCCCAAGTAAATTGTGCAATCAGCGAGGGCGCCTGGGGAGAGGGGAGGCGCTCTCTTCTGCCATTTTATGCTAACGCCATAGGCGCCCCGAGACTCTGTCTGTGGCGTTCATTGCTGAGTCCCTTGAGCCTGGTCCCCTGGCGTGGAGTGGGGACTCAGCAGGCGTGCGCTGGGCACTTGGACCCTGTCAAGGTCGGAGTCCTTGCCAAGCCACAGGTGCCCAGGGCCTCCTGCGAGCTGGTGTCTTCAGGCTGAGGTGGCTGGTGCCTCTGCTGACGCTCACAGAACCCAAGCCCAGGGCGCCCTGGAGTCCAGCAGGAGGCCGAGGCCGAGGCCGAGAAGCCCCGCGTCCTCTGGGAATTGACCTGCATGGCAGCTCTTGGTCTGCGTTTTTGTCCCCTGGAAAAATGTGGTCATTAAAGACTCTAATGAGAGCCCTGGGGGGACCCAGAGGCCATGGAATCAACTGAAAAGTCAAGAGGTCCCCAGGCCCACGAGTTCACAGCATGCAGAAATCCTGGAAGCCAAGTAGTGAGACGGTCAAGCTCCCACGGACGTCCCGAGGTCCTCCTGCCAGAAGCAGATCAGGGGACCTGAGGCACTCCAAGCTGTCCTCTGGTTTTATGACCAAGGGACGGTCCCCGCTCACCCAGGGAGTTGGTTATCAGGAGAAGCCCTGTGAGCAATGGTCCCTAGTGCCATTGGTGGGTGGACTGCCTACAGGAAGGACTGCCCAGGGCAGGGGGCTTGGTCCTGAAGTCAGTGGGCTGCGGATGGGTAGAATGCAGACAGGGGCCAGGCCTCAGGGGTGAGAGGCTGCAAGGCCCTGGGCTCATCCTTTCTCTGAGTCTGAGCTGGTGGGGTGTGGGAGTGACCTCTGCCCAGAGCCATGATGAGACGTCGACGCTTGGCCCAGAGGCCTCATCAGGCCCTGAAGTCCAGGGTGCGTTGGGAGTGCGGGGGCAGGGAAAGTGAGGGGTTGCCCAGGTGCGCAGGCTGGCAGCCTTCAGGAGGACCCAGGGCAGCGGAGGTGGGTGTGTGTGGAAGGGCTCTAGTATTTGCCCAGCGGTCAGCATCTCTGCCCTGTGTGTCCCTCTGAATGTCAGAGTGTGGGACAAAGCCCTGGGCACACTGCTGGCTGGAGACTGGATGTGGCCGTGGCAGGGCTGTGGGCGCTGGGCTGGGTGTGGAGGACCCCGGAGGACTGTGCTTCTCACCCTTGCCTGGCAGGTCACAGGCCTCTGGGAGTGTGACGAAGGACTCCCAGAAACAAAGAAACAGGCACGGATTGGGGTGTGGATGTGAACGTCACCTCTGGACACGTGAGGTGGGGCTTTGGGGCAGTGACTGGGCCAGGAGGCTCTCACCTCCTCGGTGGGTCGGCCCGTGGGTGGCGTAGACTCAGGAGGAGGGACCTCCGTGGAGGAAGTGGGCCCCTGGGGTGTGCCCTACGAGGGTGTATCTTCCCCCCTTCCTCCCTTTCTGCTTCCCGGCTGCCGCGGCTGACAGCTTTCCTCCTTCACATCCTTCCGCCATGATGGCCGGCCTCACCTCAGGCCCAAAGCAGTGGAACTGGCCAACATGGACTGAATCCTCTGAAACCATGAGCCCAATAAGTCTTTCTGCTTCTACATCCTTTTTGCAGCACTTTGGTCACAGTATTGGAAGACTAGCGCCACACACAGAATGTTCTGGGGGTTCCCTGGAACGCTTGACCTCAGGAGGGCCCTCTGTGAGAAGTGCGGAGGTCTCTGCCCTGGGTGGGTCATATTCTGGGGGTCATGCCCTCTGGTCCTGGGTTCCAGTTTGCCTCCCTGAGCCTTTGGTGAAGTCTCCTCTGGTGGTCTGGCCCTCACACCTGTGCCCTGTGTATCAAGAGGGCCCCGCCGGCCATCCTGGGCCTGAGCACTGGAGAAATGGTGCCTCCCACCCGGCCGTGTCAGGCCTGCCCACCACCCTGTCCAGCACTGTCTCCATCTTGCATGGACTTTGGACGCTTGGGGTTTACTTTATCAAGAGAAGTGGCGTCTCCTTATGGACACTGAGACACCTGCTGGGGACTGGTCAGGACTCAATGTCCTAGAGATACCCTGGGGCCAAGGGGCCTGGGCAGGTGTGGAGCCAGGACTGGCTGCTTGGCCTGAGTCTTGGGTCACTGCTAGAGAGGGGTCTTCCTTCAGGAGAGAGCTCTCCAGCAACAGCCACCCAGAGGAGCAGCCACAGAGGCCACTGGTCCCGAGGCCCACAGGAATCAGGCCGTGCCACCTCCTCTCGCCCCACCTGCCCCCTGGGTGCAGAGGACTGCTGGGAAACAGGCCAGTGATGGGGCCGGTGGAGCACGCCTACCTGACCTACTGCCCTTTCCAAATTGACCTTAATCAGGCTCTCTCTGTTCCCCATTTCTTGCAGCTGAAGCAGTTTCTTTCTGGAGTCCTCCTGAAGTTTCTCTTCCACCTGAAAGGACGAGGAAAGCCTGTGTCTGGGGCTCATGTGGCTCCAATGCACCCTGGGGAGACTCCACTGGGAGGTCTAATGGCCTGGGTCCCTCAGGGGCAGAGGGACAGCTGCAGCCCATGCAGGGGTCACGAGTGAGCACTATCCCCTGGGACAAGGAGCAGGCTCTGTGCCTTGGGCTTCACTGTTGGTCCTACCCCAGACTCCAATCCATCATGGTCCCTGTGACCTCAGGAAAGCCCCACCACTGGTCCATGACTTAAGTGTCCTCACCTGTCGGAAGGGGACGGTGGTACAGAGCTGCCTTGCAGGGTTACCGCGGGTTAAGGACCGTTAGAAAGCTCTGGCCCTTCGCAAGGGCTCGGCAAGTGTGTCAGGCGTGGTTGTGACTTGTAAGAGGGGGTTGGGGACATACCATGTGGCATCATGCTAACATCCTCAGTAACGGGCCCACGGGGGATTGGCCAATGCTACTGTTGGGTTTACTTATAAGTATTCGCCATGAACTTTTAGCACGTTCGCCCGTGGAGACGCTCTGGGTGGCTGGCTGAGCACTGGCTGGTGGAGAATCGCAGCCGGCAGAGCAGGCACTTGGCTCTCGGCTCCCCACGGCTCCCTTGAGCAGGAGGGGAGCCTGGGAGTGTTCAGTGCTGCCCTCTGCTGGCCGTCAGGGGACCCTGCAGCCTCTCTATTCAGTTTTGAATAGTAAGTGTCTGCTTTTTGAGCACCTGCGGTGGCACAGGACCCTGGCACTACTCAGATAGGAGGCAAATGCCAAGTGAAAGGATTTGTGCTGAAGCAACTTTGCAAACCATCCATCAGGAAGCTGGAGGCGGGGACAGAGGCACCTGCCTGAGGGCGGGGGCAAGGGATGCCGTCCTGACTTCTGTGTCAGAGGCATGGAGGCCATGCCCGGCCTTGGAGGTGCTGTGTGCCCCTCATCTTAGCCCCAAACCCAGGGCCGTCCTCAGCTGCCACCTGCTCCAGCTCTACCTCCCAGTGTCCCCAAGCCTGTCTGTGCTGTCCCCCATGTCACTAACAGAGCCACAGAACATCAGTACATTCGGTCAGCAGAGATTTACTGGGTTCCTGTCCTTTACCCGGCCTCAGACCAGGCACTGAGAACCTCCCTCCTGCAAGAAGTGGCTTCCCAGCCTCTGCATTTCCTTCCAGCGTGTTATTTTTTTTTTTTTTTTAGAATTTTTTTTAAATATTTTTTTTTTTTTTTTTAGTTTTCGGTGGACACAACATCCTTGTTTGTATGTGGTGCTGAGGATCGAACCTGGGCCGCATGCATGCCAGGCAAGCACACTACCGCTTGAGCCACATCCCCAGCCCTCCAGCATGTTCTTCAGTGTGCTGTGAGGGTCCACCAGGCTGGGAGCAGCCCTGTCTGGGAGGACTGTCTTCTAGGTGCAGGTGGCTGGGTCTGTGCCATCTGACTGTCTGGCCACTGAGCATGTGACATGTGTTTTGGGCATACTGGGGTTTAAATACCCTTCTTGATCAGAGGAGATATTGCATTTAGAATTTTATTTAAAAATAAATGCAATTTTATTTACAAATAGGACTATGGAGGAATTGAATTGTAAACTTCATTTAATTTCAGTCTCAACAGTTACCACAGAAACTGGAGCCAGACGGACCTGGCTCCTGGTCCTGCTCTGCCCCTTACCGACTGCGTGGCTTTGGGCCACTTCACTGTGGGTCATCTCATCCCTTGCTCCCTCATTCATACGACAGACAGATTCTTCCTAGGTCACAGAGCTGGTGTGAAGATGAGAAGAGAGAAGTGTTTGGCATGGTGCCGAGGACATGGGACATCGGAGCTGTCATTTCCACCATCATGATTAATCACAAATGTGATCACGTCAATCCTCGTTCAAAGGCCTTCAGAAGCTTTTCACTCCAAATGTCAAGCTCCAAAATGAGATTTTGGAAGCCAAAGACTCAAGAAGCCCAGAGAATTCCAAATAAGGCAAATAAAACATGAATCCACACCTAGAAAAACTACACAAAACTGCTCTAAGTCGAAGGAAAAGAAATCTTAAAAACATCCCAAGATTACCAAAGGCATGAGTTTCAGGTTTATAAAAGCTCACTTCTCTATGGGGACAATGGGAGCCAGGAGACAGGAGAATGACGCACCTGAAGAGAGCAACTGCCACATAGACTCAAATCTCAGTCAAAATACCTCCCAAGGTTAGAGGGTAAAATAGGTGTTTTCTCTTTCTGTCTCTCTCACACACACACAAACACACACACAAACACAAACACACACACATGCACTTGCAGATGCCTAAGAGAATTTGTCACCAGCAGAGCCATACTGAAGGAAAACACTACAAGACACTCTTTAAGCAGAAGAAAAACTGTCCCACATGAGCCACCTGAGAGTAGAGAAGGCACAGCTAATGCACAGATTTGAACATGGACTCTACAGAAATACTGACAATGTCTTTTGGGGTTTCAAATGTAGAGGGAAGTTGATAGTGGATATGAATCTGCATGGTGTCACTGTCTAAGGCCATTATGTCATCAAGGAGGCAGATTCGTCAGGGAATACTGGGTTTGGCAAGTTGAAAGTGAACGCTGTGATTCTTAGCATAACCTCTAGAAGAACAGTAAAGGAAGAAAACATTCAGTAAATATCCAGATTTTGCTGGGGTATCTTTTTTTTTAATATTTATTTTTTAGTTTTTGGCGGACACAACATCTTTGTTTGTATGTGGTGCTGAGGATCGAACCCGGGCCGCACGCATGCCAGGCGAGCGCACTACCGCTTGAGCCACATCCCCAGCCCTGGGGTATCTTACTATTAATAAAAGAAGAGGGAAGGGGTGAAAAATTTCTAAGCCCATGTAGGGGGAAAAAATGAAATAATAAAACCCTATCAGCTCACAGGAGGCAAGAGTGGAGAGAAAAACATCATAGCGTAAGTGGTACAACTGGCACTGAGTAAGACAATAAGTTTAAATGCAGTATACCACGCAATTACATTATACATAAATGCACTCACAGACAAAGCTTGCCAAACTGGGTAAAAAAAAAAACTATATGCTTTTAACAAGAGATATATCTAAATTTTAAGAATGATCGATTGAAAAAGTGAAAAGAAATATTTATGAAACTCTAACAAAAAGAAATCCAGTGTAGCTGATGGAGCTATATTAATGACAAAGTGAACTTTAATGGAAAAACACTACTAGAGAGAGATAAAGAGAGTCATCTCATGATGATCAAAAGGTTCATCAAACAGAAAGTATTAAAATGACAAATCCATATGCACCTAGTAATACAGACTCAAAATATACAAAGCAAAAATTGACAGCATTAAAAAAAGAAATAGACAAATCCACAATAATGATGTGATTTAAAAATATGCCATCTCTCAATGACTAACAGACCTATAGATGACAAGATCAATAAGAGAATTTCAGTTTTGAATATCATTGGTAACCTTGATTTAATAAACATATAGAATATAGAATACTGTATCCAAAGAATGCAGAATGCACATTTTTTTTTCAAGGGCATATGTGGAACCAATATTGACCACATGAAGGTTATAAAGCCAGTCTTAATATGGAAGGTTTGAACTCACAGAGGATATTCTCTGACCACCATAATTAAGCTAGAAATCAAGAGCAAAAAGGTAATCATAAAAAATCTTCATATGCTTAGAAATTAGGAAATAACCTCAAGATAACACAAAGGGAATTGGAAAAGACTTTGATTTAAATAATTATAAAAATGTTATATACTAAAACTTGTGGAATGTAGCCAAAGCCTTGCTTTGAGGAAAATTCATAGCTCAGAGAAAAGCCAGTGGTTTAATAGCTTTTCATATGTTTCCAATTTCTAAAATTCTTTTTGAAATTATTTTTGTCTGGATTTCTTCTTTTCTGGGTAAGTTCTACAAATATGATTTTATTTTATCAAAAAGTTTTTCTGATTCCTATCAAATTCTTACCAAGCATAGCTTTGCCCTTGTATATTTTATTCTATGGCCCTCATTTCTACCAAGTCTATATTTTCCCAAGATTATACTTTGCACATCTAACCTTTTTTGATAATATTTTGTTCTTTTCTCAATATTTAGTGAATATCAAACTTTACTCTGTGTTTTTCACTGTTGGTTTTATTCTGTGTTATTTCTATTTACATGTACTCAACTTTGCAAGTTTCAGTATCATTGAGATGAGATTTTCAGACTGCTTCTTGTCTAGTATGTATTCTAGCTTGTGAAGTTTTAATGTTTTAGCATTAAAACTTTATGCACCTAGTAATACAGACTCAAAATATATAGAGCAAAAATTGACAGCATTAAAAAAGAAATAGACAATCCACGATAATGATGTGATTTAAAAATATGCCACTCTCTCAATGACTAACAGTTAATGTATTAAGTAAAAACTGGAGAAAATACTGGGGTATTTGTTTTCATTTCTCAGATCATCCTTGAGCAAAATCCTCTCAGAATTTTCCTGTCATTTGATTTTGTCCTTAAAATGTTCTTGGTTTTCTCAGTGACAACTGTCCTCTCATCAAATAAAGTAGATGATTCAGGTGGAGAGCAGAGCTTCCCACCCCACCTCAGGATCCTCGCAGTTATTTCCAGTTTAGATTTTTTAAAGACGTGTGTGATCCATAAGCCTATTTTAACCCTGTCCAAGGTGGTCGCTCCCCATTGTGATCGCCAGGTCTAAAACAGTCGAGCTCCCTGTCATGGTGGAAATGTCCTCTACCCGTGCAGTCTAGGACAGTGGCACCAGCCAGGGGAGCTGTCGATGTGGGTGGTGCAACTGGGAAACTGAATTGTTGGATTTACTTTTAGTTGACTTAAAATTCAAATGGCCCTGTGTGTCTGGGGTGCTCTGTGGCGGAGGGCACGAGTCTAGAGTGTGCGAGGAAGGTTTTCTCTGTGAGGAGAAATGTGAAATCCAGGAGGACCTAGAGGTGGGGGTAGTTTTGGAGGACAGGCTGGAGCAGCGGTCACACAGGGAGTGTGGGAGTCAGAGCTGGGTTCGAGTCCTGCCATGTCTAGCTCCTGGGTGAACCGGGAGCTTCTCTACCTCTGTGTGTCTCATCTGGAAAGAGGGGCCAATACCAGCGTCCACCACAAGGGGTCGCTGTGAGGAGCACCCGGCCTGAGTGCTCCCACTGGCCTTGGCCACCTACCTTGCTCTTTTCCCGCAGAGTCTTATAGACCATGCTCTGCTCAGAACAGTTCTTCGTCAGCTCCTCTCTCAGCATCTCCATTTCTTTCTCCATGTCTTGGATTTGCTGAAAGAGTTCCAACCACAGAAGGGTCAGCTCACCCTCAGGCTGGAGGTCCAAGCCCGGGGACCCCTTTCACTGGGCCCACCGAGGGGCCAAGCCTGCTGGGGGGTTAGCTTGCTTAATCCCTTCTCTGGGTCAAAGTACCGGGTCTGCAGGCAAAGCGGGCTTTATTTTCAGTTAAAATATTAAAAGAGATGCATGATGGGGCTGGGGTTGTGGCTCCGCGGTAGAGCGCTCACCTAGCACATCCGAGGCCCTGGGTTTGATCCTCAGCACCACATTAAAATAAAAAAATGAAATAAAGGAATTGTGTCCAACTACAACTAAAAATAAATATTAAAAAAAGAGAAGATGCGTCAGGAAAATAGTTTGTTTCTCTTGGCAATTGGCAGAGATGGCGAGTGGGACAATAGAGACACCTGCCGACTCATTAGAATCCCGTCTCTGGGGCAGGGGTTCTAAATGTCTCCGTTGGTCCATTGTCGGTCTACACAATGGCGGGGCTCATCCTGACAAGTGCCTGGAATATAAATGGGGGCTGTTTTTGAGATTGGTCCAAATAAAGGCCAACTGGAGGAACAGAACAATGAAAAGTTTCTTCCTTCTTTCTTTCTCTGTTTGAGGCAGAGCCGTGTCCCTGGCATGGAGAGGAGCAAGTGTCCTGTGTTCAGGGCGCTGTGCTCGCCAGCAAATGGGCTGGGGAGGCGCCAGTGGGTGTGGGAGGTGCAGGGAACAGACATTTTAATAATATTCTTTTTTACAGGTGCCTTCTATATAAGGCAATGTGTAACTTTTTGTTTTGTTTTTATGAATTGGTATAAAATTGATGTATTTAAATCAAAATACCTAAGGAAGGAGTTTGTGGCCCCAACACTGCCCGTGGCTGTGATCAAAGTGAAGTTAGTGGAGTGTCAGAGTGGGGATCGCAGGTCCAGGGCTGGGAACTGGAATGAACTTCCAGCGGCCGTGTGGGGCCACCTGGCTGGCCTCCTGTGCCCGTGCCTGCCCCCGCCCTCCCCAGGGCAAACCATAAGGGAGATAAAGTCAACTGCTCAGAGAATCCTGGGACAGTGTTTTCTTGCCCATCTCTTTGCTGGGCTAGAGCAGCTAATACATAGCCCTGGGCCCTGGGCTGTGATGGACCCAGGACCCCCCAGAACCCAAAGGTCCAAGTCTAGCTCTTCTGGGTGCACCCCCAGATGAGGAAGCTCGACTCACGCTTTTGCAGTGTTTTAACTCTTTCTCTTGGGCTTCTCTGTGCTCCTTCTGGGAGCTTTCCTTTTTTAACTCTTCATTCAGTGCCGAGCACTGTGGAGAAAGAGGACAGCAGAGAAGGAGGCCAGTCATGGGTGCAGAGGCGCACGCCTGTCCTCCGATGGCTCTGGAGGCTGAAGCAGGAGGATCACAAGTTTGAGGCCAGCCTCAGCAATTAGCAAGGCTCTGAGCAACTTATAGAGACCCTGTCTCAAAATAAAAAAGGGCTGGGGATGTGGCTCCGTGGTTAAGCACCCCTGGGTTCAATCCCCAGTACCAAAAGAAAAAAAAAGAAGAGAAGAGAAAGAAAGAAGAAGAAGAAAGAGGCCAGTTTTGGCCACGTGGGGTGCTTGCGGCTCCCAGGGCCCGTCTGCCCCGAAAGCCTGCGTTCCCTGCTATTCTAATCCAGTGCCTGAGGAAGAGTGGCTAAGCTCTTTTTAAAAAGCCAGAAATCCAAACCACAAGAAAAATCCAGCTTTGGGAAGCTGGGTTCAGAAATGCACGTGGATTCCCTGAAGGGCCACCGCTGGGCTGGACGCGCTTAGCTGTGGCTTAGATGCGTCTCAGCACTTGGTGGGGGCAGCATTTGGAAGCAGGCTGTGGAGCAGAAGGGAGCCATTCTGCGTGAGGAGGGCACCGCAGGCGGGGCCTGGGCCAATCAGCCAAACTGAAGGTGAAGGACGTCCTGCGCCGGGTTCTCAGCATCAGTGGTGGAAGGAAGGAAGGAGGGGAGAAGAAAGAAAAAGAAACGTGTCCAGCAACAGAGGGCGCTCCGTCACAGTGTGTGCTCGCTGGAGAACCTTCCGGAGCTCTCAAGACCAATGACAAAATGCGGGGAAATGGGAGGTGTTTGAAGTTCACCGACACATGCATGATGTGAATTCACTATGAAATTCAGGTAACTTAGAAACAAGACGGAGAGAAGATACACTAAAATATTAATCTCTCTTTTTAGTATCATCTACTCATTATTTCTAAAATGAACACACATGACACATGCAATTTTTTAAAAAAGATAGGCATCAAGATCCTGATGTCTTTTGTCACAAGGAGCCCGGTGCTAAGGGCAGGCTTGGGCTAGAGAGCTCTGAAAGGGGAGATGGGGACAAAAGTCACCCAGATGCCCTCAGGAGGCAGAAGAGCCCAGGGGGTCTGCCTCCCTGCTCCGTTCACCCTGATCCATCCCCCCAGTCCATCTGCTCGGGAGGAAGGGCGGCAGAGGGCTGGCGGGGCAGGCTCACAGCCGGTCAGAGCGGACAGCACGGTGGAAACAGCCTTGCTTCTCAGCTGCGTTTTGTCACCCCCATTTCACCATGAGGCAGTGGAGGCTGCACCAGTTCTAATAAAGCAATCCCGGATCGGAGCCTGGCCTGCTGCCAAGCCCCGGCTCTCCCGGTCCCCAGCTCCAAGCTGGCTGCTGGACATGGCATTGAACAGAACAGGGCAGATCTGGTCCCGCCTTGGCGCCCACGCAGAGGGGGCCCATGGATCCTGCAGCCTGGGAATCTGCTGGCCTCCTGAGGTGAGCGCTCCCAGGCTTCACCTTGGCTTTACAAAGTCGACAAGAAACACAAAGATCATACCCTCACGGACCTGGACTCTGCAGCCAGGACTGTGGGCAAAATCCAGAGTCAAAATTACCCTCCAATGTTCTGACCTTGCCCCCAGATGGCTTCACCTAGAGGAATCCTCACCTGCATGGACGCCAAGGGTGGAGGCGAGGCCCACTGGTGCCCTCTGCACACTGCGGGACGCTACTCGGCTTTGATCCTGCGTGTCAAATCCCAGATTTCCTCGCCATGGAACCACATGCTAATAGGTGCGCTCGTTTCAGGGTTAAGCAGACTAGTTTCTAAGGGGCGCTGGGAACGCGGCTGGGTTAGAATTCCCGTCTGGCTCATGCTGAGCTACTTGCCCACTATTCTGTGACAAGCTGCAGAGAACTCGGCCACCTCTTTTAGTCTTTGTTGGCGGAAAGGATTTTATGACTTGGAGCAGCCCGTGGCCACCTCCTCATGTCCTTGGGCGCTGACCCCGACCCCCCATGCAGAGAGAAGGCAGCGAAATTTAAAGCCAGGGCCCAGGCGAGAGCCAGCGTGTCCGGGACCCCGCCAGCGGCCTCGGCCGCCACTCACCCTGGAGTTCAGGGCTTCCAGCAGGTGCTCCTTCTCCTTGTTCTGACTCCTCAGCTGATTCACCTCCTCTTTCAGCTGTTGAACTTGCTCAGTCCTCACCAAGATGTCTTGCTGCAAAGACGTCACCATTCCTATAGAAAAAGGTCAAACAAGCAGTAAGGACAGGTGCCATCGCCATCGCCGTTGGCCAAGCTGAGGACGACCCTGGCACTGGGCAGGAGTCGCCTCCAGGGACTCAGAAGCTGAAATGGGCTGAGATGGTGTCCACTGAGCATCACTGACGGTCTCGGGGGCAATCCGACAGCGTGGATGTCCCTGGGAGGCAGGAACCACGTGTGAGGGCCCTCGTGGGCACAGCCACGCCGTGGGCCTGGGGTGCAAAGGCCCAGGGGAGGGAGGGGCTGAGAGAGACCAGGAGACCGGCTGGGGTCAAAGGGTGCATCTTGGCGGCTGTGATGGGTGGGGGCACTCAGTCACTCTGGTCCGAAACCTGCCTCTACCTCCTCCTGGCCCAGTGGTCCTGACTGGGCTACCTTGACCCCCAGGCAGCTGTCTGTAGGTTTGTCAGGGTGGAATGAGATAATGGGGCTAAAGGACACGGCGGAGTGGCCGACAGTGCTTGTACCCAGTACCTGATGGTGGAGCGGCTGACAGTGCTCACCCATGATCATTTGTAGCGGCAGCTTCCAAGGTGGCCAATGTTCCCTCCCTCCTAGGATTCATGCCCTTGAGCTGCCCCTCCCAGCCCGAGTAAGGTGACATGGTGTGTAACCAATATAGGATTGTGCGAGTGGTGGGATGTGGCTTCTCAGGCTGGGTCGTAAAAGGTGTGTGGCTTCCTCTTGCTGTCTCTTGGATCACTTGCTCTGGGGAAAGTAGCTGCTGTGCTGACAGCCACATGGATCCTTCTGGAAGGGGACCTTTGGGTGAGGAGAAGCAGCTCATGCCCACATTGAGACCACAGCCTCGTGAGACCCCAAGCCGGAGGTGCATCACCCCGACTCCTGAGCCACGAACACGTGTTATTTTGCCACTCTTTTTCTGGACTAACTCATGACCATACACTATTAGGTTACCACATTGAAGGAAAATGGGAGAAGCCTCGTGAGTGCGGTGGTGCTGGGTCGTCTCAGATGGCCCTTTTCTTGGAAGGACATTTGTCCCAGCTTTGTTGTAGAGAGCATTCAAACAGGTCTATGCGATGAGGAACGAAGTGATCCAGAATTTCATTTCAAAAATGAGCTTTGTCGGGGGACCCAGGTAAGTGACTTGGAGACAGGCTGGTCCCTCCAGGGCCTGCCTGCGAGCTTGCAGGTGGGACCGGGAGGCCTTTAGTCTGGACCTGATTTGGCCCCACGACTGAGACGGCACCTTTTGAGTCTCTAGCTGATGCTCTGTGTATCCTGGACGTTGGGAAGGTGGACCGTTCTCAGGACTCACAGGCACATGTCTCTCAGGGCCGACTGCTGGAGACTTCAGGGGACCCTCTGCAGATCCAGGGCTCTCTCTGGGTGGCCTCCTTCCTGGCACTCTGCCAGCAAACTCCAGCTGTGCCAGCTTCTCCGACTCCGTCTCTTCAGCTCAGGAGACCCTGGCTCTGCCTGGGCTCCTCTCCTGGCTGTGGTCTGTCCCCACTTGAGGAGCAGGCTGGGTCTCATCTTGCTTGTCCCTGTCTCTGTAGGATCACTGTCATCTGCTTCATGGGGTCTGAGCTGTATTTTCTGATGTGGGATTTTTTAAAAAATTGTTTCAGGAAGGAGAGTAAATCTAGTTCCTGTCACTCCATCCTCCATCAGCCCTCTTATCATGGAAGGTGAGATCTGTGATCTGCTGTGCTGGCCTCCATCCGCCTGGGTCCCTGAATGGCTACCATTAGTGAAGCCCCTACTCCACCCAGGATGGGCCCAAGGCAGAAGTGGGAGATGAGTCTGCCTATTGTAAGCCACTGAGGCCTGGGGACTGTTTGTTACTGCAGCACAACCTAGCCTAGCTCTTCTTACCCCAGAGTGTGCCTTTGAAATCCCTGGAAGCCTGACCGACACAGGACAGACAGACAGAGGCAGGGCCCAGGGAGCTCCTCCTCCAGACTACAGGATGCACCCAGCAGGTGTCAGAGGACATTTCCCACGAGGGAGAGCCAGAGGCCTGGAGGGGTGCAGGCCAGGCCAGCCCGGGGCACAGCCCTCAGGTCCACGGGACCAGGATTCATGTTTGGCTTGGGGTACAGCTAGGGATGCGTTTCCTGCTGTGTCCAGGGTCCTTTAAGGCCATTCCCTGATTTCTCACCCATGGATGAGATCACAAAATAGCTGCACTTGGGTCCCCAAATGGAGCTGGGAGCCATGGGGGAGTGGGACCAGGCATGTCCTCTACTGAATACGCGTGGCCTGGGCCCAGCCACACTGCCGCAGACCCTGGGCCTTCCTGCTCCTGCCCTCTCTGCCCTCCAGCACCACCTCGCCTCCTTTGCAGCCTGGCTCTCCCTGAAGTGGGCTGGTTAAGGTCTCGCTCTCCCCCAAACGTCAGCCCCGCAAGTACAGCCATCACAGCCGGCGCTCGGGGCTTTCCGCCCAGCGCCAGAGCAGCACTGGCCCTGCAGGCGCTCAGCACGTGTGTGGAATGAGCGAGCGAGTGGGTCCACTAAGCCGCGCTGCACCCAGCAGAGAGGGCCAGGGACCCCTAGGACACCCTGGTCCTTCCTGCCTCTGCTGTCAGTGAGCAGAACATTTTCACTGTGCCCAAGGGCGCGGGGCAGAAGGGGCGAGGGGCCCTGCCATGACCTCACCTCCTCCACTTTCTACTTTGCCTTCACAAAACACAGGTTCGGGGGACAGTGGGACCCACATGGTGTCCTGCGTTCTCCCTGCTGAGGTCAGGGCTCGGCGGGCCTCTGCCCGAGGGCTCACATTTGCTCAGACACTGACCGTGGGCTGCCTGAGCTGGCGGCTCCAGGAGCTGGCCGGCAAGTAGACCTCTCTGGGGACAAGCTGTGACTCTCAGCTGTGCTGCCTCAAGGGCTGGCAATGCCCCGCTGCCTGCAAGCTCCGCCTGGGCGGAGGGGGGCAGCTCTGACCGCAACTCCCAGGGGGCTCACCTGCCGTGATGCTGTGGTCCCTCTTTAAGTTCTCGCCCTCGTTCTTCAGGGATGTGATTTCGGAGTTCCGCTCGGACAGCGTCTTGCACAGCATCTGGCTGTAGCCCTTCTGAAGGACTTCGATCTGCGGAGGAGGCGGCACACACGTCAGAGGGCGCAGCCCAGGTCCAAGACACTGGGGTTTCCCGAAGCTGGACGGGATTCCCGTCGCTCGGGGGCAGGCTGTCGGGGAAGCCAGGCATTTTAGTTTTGATGCGTGGAAGGGAGAGGGAGGCCGGCTCCTGCAGTGACCGCCACGTCATACGTGGCCAACACATGGTCTTGTCTCGGTGCCCACAAAGGGCGCAGGCCCAGCTGCCACAGGGGAGGGAGCCTCCTGAACATGGGGGCCCGTGCCCTCTGGGCTCTCAGCACAGGCTGGATGGGGGGAGCTCCGGAGAGGGGGGTGGGTGATAAAGTCAGTTCCCTGCAGGGACAAGAAGGCAGGAGAGAGGAGAGGAAAGAGGATCTTGGAGAATGGGATCCCCCCGCAGATGCTGAAGCTCCAGGCTAGAGTGTATTTTTATTTCATTTTGTCAGCCTGGCTGGAAACCCCCATCCCCTGCGCGCACGGGGGACACCCCCACACTCTGCTGTACCCCCAGCTCCCTCCACTTCCTCTCATTGGCCAACCCCAAGGAGTTGTTCTGAACCCAAGCAATTCTTTTATGTTAAGAATGAGTGCAGGTCGCACTCAGGTTAACACATTACACCACCCATTGTGGGGAGAAGAACTCAGAGGTGCGCACCTTGATTGAGTCAGAGAAGGAGAACACTCAGGAGAGGCTTCTCAGTGAAGCCCAGCTCCTGGAGACATGGGCGCCCTCTGCAGAACCCGTCCTGTGCCGCGGGGCCCTCCCAGCTGCCTTCTAATAAGTCAGCTACTGGAGTCCCACCTCGGTCACTCTGTCCTTTGGGCGTGTGGGACAAGAACCCCCCAGGGCTCACACGACCCTCTTACAACAATGCAGGCTCGTGTCCGGGGCGCTCCCGAGCTCCGAGGCCCCTGGCACACACTGCACCTTCAGCAGAGCCTCTGGAGGGTGCTGCGTCCTCTTTCCGTTTTCCAAGTGAGCAACGGGGACGTGAGGGGTGGGTCGCTTGCTGGGGTGCCCACACCCGACAGGGGCGAGTTCTGGCTCAGAGCTAGTCTTCAGGTGTGGGCCCCAGGGCTTGCCGTCTTCTCCCTGCCCCCAGGACCCAGCGTTGAGGGCTGGGGGCCAGAATGCATAGCTTGGGCTGGGCCACCTTCTGTCCTGATGCGGCCACTTTCAGGCTGTGTGAACATAGGGCGGATGCCGAGTCCCCGCTCCTTGGCTCCTTCTGTACAGCTGCAATGGTCCCGAACCCACTGGATTGTCAAAAGCATGGTGACAAGTGAGTACCTGTGAAAGTCCCCAGAGCTCGCTAAGGTTAGCTATGGTTACTCCACGGTGCGATTGCTTCAGCCTCGGGTCTGTCTTGAGGAAGGAAGGTGGATGGACATGATTTTGTGTGCCTTTGTAAGCCTTGTCTAGACTCCCTTCAACACCAGCGTGATTGCTGTGAGGGGAAATGTAAGAATCCCTGATATTCCCCGCGGGGTGTCAGGGCCTGGCTTACACAGGGTCAGGGAGGCTCAGGGAATGCCGCGAGGGTGTGCCACGCCTGGCCACCAGATGGCGCTCACAGCCCTCGTTCCGGGCTTCTCCCTCGAAGCACGAGGTCGTCGCTGGTGGCAGACTGGCAGTCTGACAGTTTATATGGATCCTTTCTGCACCTCGGTGGTTTGGATCTACGACTCCTGGGGAAGCTGCACTTTCTTTTTCTATGGGGCATCTGAGACACTGGAGAAGGGGTGTCTGCCAGAAGCGGGAGAATGAGCTGCTCTATTCCCCACCATCCCCAGGATACACGTTAGCACGTTTGTGCTTTGAAAATGTCAAATGAAAAAAAAAAAAGAAATCCATCCCTCTGTTCTCTGTGAGGGAAATGCAACTGTCCCATTAAAGATACTTGGAATTTTAAAACAGAAGTGCTTCTAGATCTCTAGATCTTCTGTGTGCAGGATACTGCAGGCACTATGCAGACAGGAGCTCACAGATGGATGGGGAAGGATGTCCCTTAAAGAGCTCAGTGCTGTCTGGCACTTAGGATATTTCAACCTAAGTAGCAGAGCTGTCGGATTTCAGGTTGCAGGGAAACTCCAAATAGTTTTCAAACCTCTTTATTACTTTGATTACAAAATAAATATCCATATTGTCTCTAATTGGCAGAAATCCCAGATGTTGATTGCCCATTATGCTGTGTAATGGAACGGCATCGGATTGTAGGAGAGCTCATGGTGCTGGGAAGAGCAGTTGCTTTGAGGTAACAACCCGCCTGCTAACTCGCCCAGGTGGCTCCGACCGCGAGGCAGCATTGTCTAGGGGTACTGCAGCAGCTAGAAGGCCTTTGAGAGCAAATCGCTGTGCACGTGCTCTCGGGGGCTGAGGAGAATATGTGAGTAATCAGAATAATAGATCATAATCACAATAATAGATCAAACAGTCACGTGGTTTATGCTTCTGGCTGAATGTTCTGCTGGCAATAGAACATTTAAGAGCTTAAAATGTGCATAGAAAAACTCGATTTGGATTCAGACCAACTACATTCTCTAGTTCAGAGACGCCTGCTATAAAATATTTTCTTGGATCTGAGTAAGGATCAGGGTGGAAGAAGAAGGCAAGAGTGTGATAAATCAGAGTAATTATTTCTAGGTAAATTTTTGGTGAAAGAGATTTATTTATTTTTTTTTAACTCAGGGGCACTCGACCACTGAGCCACATCCCCAGGCCTATTTTGTATTTTATTCAGAGACAGGGTCTGAGTTGCTTAGTGCCTTGCTGTTGCTGAGGCTGGCTTAGAACTTGCGATCTTCCTGCCTCAGTCTCCCAAGCTGCTGGGATTATTTTATAGATATGACTGGTCACTTAAATAATGCTCCAAATGTAACCTGCTGATGGAGACTCAAAAATAGTGAGGATGAGTCACCCTGCCATGTGCCTGGACCAGGCTTTGCTCAGGAAGCTCTGAAATGGGAGAATTACTGAGAGTATTGTTCTTCATCCAATTGTGGAAGTGGGCTCCTGTGGTGAGCCGTTCCTATAGACCGTGGCCGCCATTAGAAGATGGCGCCGGCTTCCACTGTGGTCTGTGATAAACAACTCCTAATATGGAGAATTGGCACGCAATCCCTTCCCACCCTATGAGAAAGGTCCACGTGGCAGCTTGGGATTGGTATGCGGGAGGCTTTATTAGGCTGTGCTTGGGCGCTCGGCGGGGGGTCACTAGAAGATGATACTTGAATCAAGGCCTGAATAAACTGCTGAAAGAAGAATCCTGTGTCGTGTTTTCCCTTGCCGGCGAGGGGTCGCGACAGGCTCCGATCAAGAGAAAGAAGCTCGTGGATGAAACAACTACATGTCAATGTAGCTATGTGAGGTGGCAGTTCCTACAGGACCTGCTATGTTCATTATTCTTTCAAAAATAGGTCCAAAGGAGAGTCATTCATTTATTTAAATATGAGAGCATGTATTTGTTTACTTGTTTATTCTGTTTCCTTCATTGGAACACATGTTAGTCAGCTTTCTGTTATTGTAAGAAAATACTGGAGATAACAAACTTAAAAAGAAGAAAGGTTTAATTCTGCTCATAGGGTCAGAAATTCCGGTGCATGATCAGTTGGCCCTAGTTCTTTGGGCCTGTGGTGAGGCAGCATACTATGGCGGGGACACGTGGAGCAAGCTGCTCACCTTAGAGTGGAGGTGAAGAAAGAGGAAGGGGCTAAGATCCCACATCCCCTTCAAGGGTCCCCAGTGACCTAACTTCCTCCCACTAGGTCCCACCACCTAAGGGTTGACCACTTCCCACTACCACAGGCTGGGGACCAAGCCTTCCACACAGGGGCCTCTGGGGACTTTGAATATCTAAACGGTCACAGAGCAGAGTGAGGGAAGGAGGAGGTCACGGGGCCTTGCTCCTGCTCGACTCCCAGAGCCCAGCAGAGGGGGGGGGGGACTATTGCCTAAATGAACAAATGAACAGTGCACACCTTGTCTGCAGGAGGCGCCACCCAAGACCCCAGCGAAGCCTGGAGCCTGTGTCGGCTGTGCCTGCGACCTATGATGAACGTCAATTAGAAGCCAGGAGCTCAACGTGATGACCGACAGTGGAACAGGCGCTCTGGGATGACGCGCTCCCGCCAAGCCATTCAAACTCACGGATTTTTCATTTAGCATTTTCCGCCAGTGGTTGACGCTGGGTCACCGACTCCGGGGTCGGTGGCTCCTGGGCCTTGAGGAGCTGCCCACCCAGTGAGAGGCCACTCCACCACGCCTGGCCGCGACCCCCCAGGCCCCACTCCAGGGCTGAGGCGGAGGCCCTGCAGCTGGGTGGAGGGGGAGGCCGCGCAGGGAGCAGCGGGAGGGCAGGCAGCGCGGTGGCTGAGTTCTTTCTCATGAACGTTGTTGAGATACAATTTTTCTGCAAAATCGCTGGCTAATGTTTGTTAGAGTCTGTAAACAAGTCTGGGTGGCGCCTGGCAAAATGCCAGAGGGAGTGGTTTGTGAAGTAACGCCAGCGAGCCATTAAGTGTGGAGGTTCCTGATTGGTTGACTGCTGTATCTACTTTATGCTAATTAGATAAGCTGTGTGGAATGTATAAATACCTCTGTTGTCCTGCAGTAAACGGCTCCCTCTCCTGCTGTATCAATCTATGCAAGTTCCTCGTCACCCCCCGGTTATTTTGCTGCAGCCGGACTGCGGCAAATGTTTTTTAAAAAGGAAGTTGGATCAAGTGTGCAGAGAAAGGAACAGGTCTGGGCATGCGGATGATCCGGGCCGAGGGGGCTGTCGGCTGGACTTCCCCAAAAGAGGGCCAGTGATGGCCTCTAGGGCCTCTAGGCTGTGGTAAAAGGCCTCTGGCCTCTGTGTTTGGAAGGCAGGCGGCTCCTGCTCTCCCCCTTGGCTAATTGCCTGAAGGTCTTTTCGGCTCGGGCTGGATGGGTATGAAGGGCAGTCACCGCCACCTCCAACTTGCTGTGCAAGCTCTGGGCAGTTCCAGGGCATCTCTGGGCCGGCCTCAGTCTCCTAATCTGTATAGTGGATGTGTCAGAAGTTTAAATAAGTCATGCACCTAAGCCCTTTGTACTCGAGCTTGCACACAGGTAGTGCTCAATAAGTGCTGTATCATCGTTACCACCCTGGGAAGCTATGGGACCTCTGCTTCCTGTGGATTTCAGCCCCTCACTCCAGGTAGCACCAAGCACCCCCACCCCCACAGCTCCCTGGGCACTTCCTCTCCACCGGTGCTGCCTGGACTCCATCTGGCCTGGGAACGGTCACCCTGCGGTGTGACTCTGACCACCTGTCCCGAGACCCACCTGCTGCTTCAAGCTCTGGATCTCCTTCTGCTTGTCGTCCGCGCCCTCGTCCAGACACTCGAACTTGTGCGCGGCGCCCCTGTCGCCCTGCCTGCAGGCCACGCTGTCCAACAGCTTCTGGCTGAGCTCGGCCACCTTGTTCTGCAGGTTGGCGATCACCGCGTCTTTGTATTTGGATTCGATCTCAAAGTCCGCGAGGCGGCTGATCTCTCTCCCCAGCAGCAGAATGATCTCATCCTGCGGGAAGCAGATGGGAGCGGAGCCCATTTAAAAAAAAAGAAGAAAAATTGGGTTCAATCCCCAGCACCTCAAAAAGGAGGAGGAGGAGGAGGAGGAGGAGGAGGAGGAGGAGGAGAAACAGGGCATCAGAAAGGAGGCAGGAAGGCGAGGGTGGGAGGCGGGCAGCGGGGTCTCTGTCACTTGGAAGCTTGATAAAGTGACACACCTGTGTGCAGCGTCTCAGTGGATGCCACACCTCAAAGGTACTGGGACCTCCATCCTCTGAAACTAAACTTCCCTATTGACAACAGCCGGACCACTGGGGAGCGTCTGGGCCAGAGAGTTCATTTATAGTTTTTGGAATTAACTCACCAGGTGTCTGTCTGGCACATGGGGACCTCACAAAGATGATTAGGAAAATGGCGTCTACTCAACTGTAAGGAGGGCTGATTCTTTTCTTTCTTCTTCTTCTTTTTTATTTTTGGTACCAGGGATTGAACCCAGGGGCGCATAACCCCTGAGCCACATCCCAGCCCTTTTTATCTTTTATTCTGAGACAGGGTCTTGCAGAGTTGCCTACGGCCTCGCTAAGTTGCTGAGGTTGGCCTTGAACTTGCGATCCTCCTGCCTCAGCCTCAGGGATGACAGCGTGGGCCCCCAGCCCAGCAGGAGGATTAGTTTTTAACTGAAAAAGTAAGACGTTCTGAATCTTCCTTGCTCCCCGTCCCTCTCCCGTGCTCCCTGCCTCTTTTGTTTTCCACAGGAAGATTTATTCCAAGTAGCTGGGTCAGGAAAGGGAACGAGGGGAACAGCGATCTCTTTGTGTGGATGTTGGGACGGGAGCAGATTGCTGGCAGGGTCACCCCAGGTGTGATGGAGCCCGTCTTCCGTTTCTCCCGAGGAGAAGGCACAGTGGCCAAAGAATTTGTTAGGTTTCCCAAAAAAAGGGTAACCCCCCCCCAAATCCCCCAAACTTCTCACCAGAAGTCATCAATAAAACGCCAGGAAGACTGAAAGGAAACACCGAAGCCCCAACCCAGATACAGCCTCACACACAGCTGCAGGATTTCTGATGCGTCACTTTAAAAGAGGCCCCTTTCCCTCCTGCCACCTCCCATGGTGCAGACTCCGGCCAGCCCTTGGCCTTTGGGGCCAGGAGCGAGTCCCTGGACCCCAGCTCCCTGGCCTGGGAGGGACAGGCAGGCTGCCCGGCACGTTGACTGCTGCCAAGCCTCTTTCTCTGGGTCCCGGTGTGTGATCGTGGCAAAGTTTCAGGGACAACAGATCCTGTGCTCCTGAGGCCCCTGCTGTACCTGAGTCTCTGTGCTCAGTAGGTACTTATTCATTATTCATGCAACAACAGCTGCTCCAGGACCACCCTCCACCTGAAGCTGCAGGTCCCCAGGCCCGTCCTGTGGGCACAGGGACTCTGCTCGCACTGTTTCCCACAGACTCAGACCTGCCGCAGGGGCAGGCCTCGACCTTTAAGGAAAGGAAGACGTCACTGGGCTGGGTTTTGTTTTTTGGGGCCAGGGATTGAACTCAGAGGCACTCGAGCCCTGAGCCACCTCCCCAGGCCTGTTTTGTACTTTATTAGAGACAGGGTCTCACTGAGCTGCTTGGGGCCTCGCTTTTGCTGAGGCTGGCTTTGGACTCGCGATCCTCCTGCCTCAGCCTCCTGAGCCTCTGGGAGGACAGGCGTGGGCCATGGTGCCCGGCTTGCCAGGCTGTTTCCTAACAGTGATTTCCAAGCTGTGGCCAAATGGGAGAGATGACTTGGACCCGTCCCTCCCAGGTTCACTTAATAGCACTCATCTGACTCCTGCTGTGTCTCAGTCTCCAAACCTCTCTGTTCTGTAACAAGTCTCTCTTTGGCTCAGTTTTCTCTGACCGATGTATCACCCCCTCCTCGTAGGACCAGCTTAGAAGTTAGCCAGACCTGGGTCTGAGTCCTAGTTCCGCCCCCTGAACTGTGCAAACTTGGGCAAGATACTCAACCTCTCTGAGCTTCAATTTCCTCATCAGCCAAGTGAAGGTGTTAAAGTTTATCCTGAAGACAGCAAACATTAAATGAACTAACAAATGTCGAGGACACAGGACACAATCTGGCACATAGTAGGTGCTCAACAAGCAGTGGTTGTGGACGTTATTTTTGGGGGGATATAACTTTTGGTTAAATAAGAGGCGGTTTTGTGACACCAGAGAAAAGGGCACTTCTAGACCACAGAGGAAAACGAGGTGGCAGCAAGTCCCCCTACGGTCCACTGGCTGCTGTAGCCCCGCCCTTCCCAGGACCCTCACCTTGTCCTGCTGGACCATGTCCGGATCCATGAAAATCTCCGGGGGAGGCACGGCTCCAGAAATGCCCTCCGGCATGGCGTGCTCCGGCATCTCCATGGGGCCCGTCCACACTGAGGCGTGAGGTGGACAGAGAACACAGAAGACGTGGTGAGTTTCCCGAGCGCCGGGGAAGCTTTCAGCCAGCTTCCTGTGGTGTCCCGGGACTTAGGTCCATGTGGCTTTAAAGTGACAAAGCAGGGTGTGTGCACCTGAGGAGCAATGGAATCCCTACAGAGGCTCGGGAAGTAGAGGAGCCACCACTTCCTCTCTCCCGGGGCTGGGTCACCTTGATTTGTCTTTGTCCAGACTTTTTTCTTTTTTCTATGTTGCATAAAGATCTGGTGACCTAGGTCAGGTCACTTGATCTCTCTCAGCTTGAGTTTCCACATATCTAACTTAGGGCCACCAACTGTCTCTAGTATGGAGAGCTATTGTGCCGGGTGTGTTGGCACACATCTGTAATCCAGCGACTCAGGAGGCTGAGGCAGGAGGATCACAAGTTTGAGGCTAGCCTCAGCAACTTAGCAAGACCCTGTCTCAAAATAAAATATAAGAAGGGCTGTGGATGTGGCTCAGCAGTTAAGTGCCCCCAGGTTCAATCATATGAATGCCCCTCCCCTCAAAAGAAGAGTTGTTGTGAGGATTAAATGAAGTGTGACATGGAACAGGGGTCAGCACAACACAGCTCTGGGGCCAAAGGTGGCCCAATGCTTGTTTTTGAGAATAAAGTTTTATTGGGACACGGGCACAGTCAGTCCTTCATCTGTCACCTACAGCTGCTGTCCAAGCCACGGGGGAGAACTCGAGTTGCAACACGACCTACAGGACCCTTGAAGCCTGGGATAGTTACTGCCGGCTCTCTCTGTTGTCTGGCCTTCATCCTGTTCCCTGGCACATGGCTCCTAAATCTCTTGGACTCCCAAAGTGGGAAGTAGGTTGCCAGGGGAAACAGCCGTGTGACTAGAGGGTCCCAACTCTCAGCCCCGCACCCCAACCCCTGGGGAGGGGAGGGCTGAAGGTCTTGCTCGGATTGGCCACTGATTCCGTCAATCACGCTCATGCCGCAGCCTCCCTGGGACCCTCAAAGCAGGGGTTTGGGGAGCTCCCAGGCTGTTCCACACAGGCAGGTGCCTGCAGGGTGGGGTGACCAGAGAGGGCGTGGAGGCTCTGTGCCCCCAGGGTCCCCACGTCCCTTGTCCTATGTACCTCTTCATCTGCGTGTTCATTTGTATCCTTAAAAGTATTTTTCTCGTCACAGATTGGCAAAAGCAAGCGAGAGCTTTCTCCGAGTCCTGGGAGCCATCCTCTGTCAAGGGACCAAATCTGAGAAGGGATGGCGGGAACCCGCATCTGTGGTGGGGGTCCGTGGGGCTGAGCCCTGCAGGACAGACACCGGCCCAGGAAACGTAGGAACAGACTTAACGTCTAGGACACCGGCTGGTGCTGGAGAGGTGCTTGGTCGGCGCTATAGTTGGGATCCCAAATGTCACCGGAGGCCCATGTGCTACAGGCTTGGTCCCAGCCTGTGGTGCTAGGGAGGGGGTGGGACCTTTGCCAGGTGGGGCCTAGAGGGAGGAAGCTGGGTTATTGGAGGTGTGTCCTAGGGATACTGGACCCCAGCCCCTCCCTCTCCTTTACTTCCTGGCAGCCCCACGAGGTGAACAGTCTGCCTCACCGCCTGCTCCTGCCATGATGTCCTGTGTGGCCACAGACCAAAGGCAACTGTGCCAGGCAACCATGGAGTGAAACCTCTGATGGTGAACCAAAGTAAACCTTTCTTCTTTTTAAGTTGATTATCTCAGGTATTTTGTCTCAGTCATGGAAAGCTGACGAACATGGTGGGTATACTTCCCATATTTTGGTGACCAGAAGTGTTATGAGACTAAAGAAGAGTAGAAAACATTTTAGTTTTTTATTTTTTCCTCTCTACAGGCTCTTTAAAGAAAGCTTGCCTACCCCTACGTGAAGCATTTAGCAGTAAATGTTATTTTTATAATTTCATATTTTAAAAAGCATAATTAGATTTTCATGTAGAGATTCTTCTCCAGCATGCTTTTGCACAGGAGAGGAGAAAGACGTCTTCTCCAATGTATTTGTAGTAGCACCATATTCTTTTCGTTGGTTACAGTGTCCATTGCACAAATGTATCAAAACATATTGAACTAGGACCCACCTGATAGACCTTTAGGTATTCCTGACTTTTTTCTTATTTAACCCTAATTTTATTTATCTAACCCTAAATTTTAAAATTTAACCCTAATTTTTCTTATTTAACCCTACGAGCTGTTTATATGACTTTCAGGGATTCCAACAGTTACATTTGGAATCTTTATGGCGTATATATTATGTCAAATATATTCTATTCATTGACATGAACAGTGTTAGATTTTTGTCACTGTGACAAAATACCTGAGAAAAACAACTTAAAGGAGGAAAAATTCATCTTGGCTCACAGTTTCAGAGGTCTCCGTCTATGGTAGGTGGACGCCATTCCTATGGGTCTGTGGTGAGGAGGGCCGTCAGGGAATTAGAGAGAGGGAAGAAGGGGCCGGGGTCAAAAATACCCTCAGGGCCACCCCGAGTGACCTACGACCTTCAACTAGGCCCCGCCTCCTGAAGCTGTCCCTCCGCGGTCTGCACCAGGCTGTGATCCCATCCAGAGGTTGCCTACCCAGGCACTTCCCGAGCCCTGCCTGTGAACACCACTGCTCTGGGGACCAAGCCTTCAACACGCGGACCTTGGGGACTTTCCAGATCCAGCCTCACCAACACGGAATAAAGACTTGGGGGGCGGGGTGGGAGTTTTTTAAAGGATTTCCACGATTCTGCTTTTGAGGTGACTGGGCTCCGAGCGGGGCTCTGGATTTCCCACGGACTGTGAGTCCCGGGCCATCGTCCCTCACACCTTCTCTTGTTGAAAGGGAGGAAGTGAACTATCTGTTTTCAAAGGCGGGAGACTCGTCAGAAGGGGGCACAGCAGCGGTTGGTGACATCTGCGCGGTCACTCGGGGCTGTTCATTCACTCTGGTTCTGCATTTTTAAAGTCCCTTAGAGCCAGTGGTCCCCCCTAGATCTTTGTGAACCGAGATGGACACGAGACCTTTATTTTATTTTTATGTGGTGCTGAGGATCGAACCCAGGGCCCCACAGGTAGGAGGCGCGCACACAGCGGTCATGCTGCCTGTGAGCCCAAGCCCAGTGCTCGATGCCTACGGGTCTCCCCATTCCTTGTGGTCTTCCTCTTCAAGGTTTCAGTGACCCGAGAAGTCTGAAAATATTAAATGGAAAATTCCAGAAATACACGATTCACAAGTTTTATATTGAGCGCCATTCTGAGTGGCATGTCTTGCACTGTCCGGCTCCATCCTGCCCAGGACACGAACCATCCCCTGGTCCAGCTTATCCGTGCAGTATATGCTACCCCCCCATTAGTCACTTAGCAGCTGGCTTGGTTAACTGATCAACTGTCACAGAATTGCAATGCTCGTGTTCAAGTCGCCCTCAATGTAGATTGTAGAGGCCCCAAAGCTCAAGACCACGCCAAGCAGGCTCCAGGCATTAAACATGGAAGGACAGATGAACTCCGACACCATGTGACAGCCACTGCTGGGTGCAGGAGTGTTCGTAGGTTCAGTTCAACCCAGGGTTTGGGGAGGGTCCTGGAGCCAAATCCCCTGTGGCAAGGGTCCGGGGAGCTGTTGCTATTCCAAGAACTTCCCATAGGTCAACTCTGGCACCTACTGCCATTGGCTGCATTTCAGAAATGAGAAACCAGGGTGCACACAGCCTGTGATGTCACAATCCAGGAGGGGGACTGTCAGGATCTGAAGCCAGATGGGCACACACCAATGCGGAAGTGTGTCCCCTCCAGGGCGCGGAATGCACGAAGGAGAGAGCAGGTGAGTGAACTCGGACCCGGTTCACCCTCCCAGACCTGTCCCAGGAGAATGCTGTCCGGTGCCTGGCTGGGGACAGTTCCACTCTCCTGCTGAAGGCCGAGGGTTGGACAGACGGAGTCTTGTGGAACTGTAAGATTTCCTGGGCCAACCAGTTAAGATAGCAGACTGGCTCTGCCAGGACGGGGTCTCTGTGACATGAGATCTCAGGCTGAGGCCTGGAAAGTCCGGGGAAAACTGGGACAAGTTGGGCAGTTCAGAAAGGGGAAGAGGAAGCGCCCTCCACCAGCCACGCACCCCTCCCGCTGGATTCCTGCCACCACGGGGAGGCGGGACCCAGGAAGATCCTCGGCCGCACCCCTGGGGCATCAGATGACCTGTCTCACAACTCAAGGTCAGGAGAGCAAGTGTCCCCTGAGAACACGAATGCCACATTTCTCCAGCGTCGTGCACTGAGGGGGGCAGGCCTTGGGGCGCCCTCTTTCTATCCTTCCACTCTTCTGTGACCCTTGTCCTCCCTGTGTCTGGAAGCCAGCTGTCAGGAAACAGTCACTTACTGGCAGAAGTCACGTTAAAAAGGTAAAGTGAAAAGGTGAAGTTAGTTTAAATAATACATTTGATTTAGCCCAATATATCAAGAACACCGTTGCAACATGTATGTGTATCTGCACCAAAAATATTGAGAGATTCCACATTCTTGTTTTTTTTTTTTTTTAATGGTGTGAAGTCTTTGGTGTCCAGGGTTGCTTTGCCCGTCCAGTACATCCCAATTTGGAAGATAAGTTTTCATCAGAAAGACTTGATGTGTATTTAGATTTCACAAGCATGTCCGCTTGAATAAAGGAGATCACACACACAAGTTGTTCCAAACACATGAGACGTTCCCAGGCTGAAACCGAGTAGCGGGGTTTAAATTTAAATCTGTCAAAATTAGACGTCCTTTGGTCAGTCACTTACTCACACATTTCAGATGCTCACAAGCCGCCCGTGACACCCCGCTGCTCCCTCTGTCTCCGCCTGACGTTTCCTTCCCGGCAAAGTCTGCAGCCAGAGCCCACCCAGGGGATCAGGGAGAAGCAAGACCAAGAACAAGCCTCGAAGCCCGGCCTTGACCCTGACACCCCGCGGGAGGCGAGGCCCGGGCTTATTCTCCACAGTGGGCCTGGATGTGGCTGCATGAAGTCTGCTTGTCTTCCACCTGGGGCAGCCATTGCCTCGGACAGGCGTCCCCACTAGGGGGTGGTCAGCTGTGTCTCATCCGACAGGCACCCACTGCCCAGGGCCTTTCCAATTGGTGCCTGACGGCGAGAAATGGGCTTCTGTGGAAAGAGTGGCCTGCGAGCGGCAGGGCGACTGTAAGAAGGGGTGGCCGCGGCCAGATGGAGGCAGGAGCTGTGCGGGGACCTCTGGAGTCAGGGCCCCCCTCAGGTGCATGGCCAGGCCAGGAGCCCCAGGGCTGGTCCCAACGGGCTCTGAGTCCAGTCCCAGCTCACATCTCCAGGGGAGACTCCAGATGCTTCTGCAACCCTGTTGGGGCTACCGCGAGTCACCCCCGATTGCAGGGTGGGGGGACCCAGAAGCTGGACCTCATCAACCCTCCAGGCCGCGTGACCATGTGGGTCTCCGCAGGTGCATCCTGAACGTCCACCGGGGGCAGCTGGACCTGAGGCTCACTTCCTTTTCCTCCAGGAGGGGGGCGCCAGACAGGCTACCTCCCCCGAACCTCACTCTTCATTGGCCACTGTTGGGCATCAGAAGGAACCCAAGGGCTGAGGTGGACAAAATGGCTTACTAGAGCCTGCCCTGTCCTGTGGTCACGGGGTCATCGGTGAACCCGGTGGGGAGAATCCTGAGGAAGGGCCAGGTGGCTAGCAGCAGGTGTGGGACCAGCTGTCCCCACAGGACGTCTGGGGGACAGCTATTTGCCAAACTGGATCTCCTGGTACTTCACCGAGTTACCAGCCCTCACCGGGGACAGAATGTGTGGGTCACCCGGCTGAGGATTTGGCCTGGGTTCTTCACGTTGTGGGTGGTGCATTTAGGCTAGATAACAATCATGGATAGATAATAGGTTAATTTTTAAAATTAGTGTATATTGAGCATTCGTTATAGGCCAGGCACCGTGAGAAGTACTTCCAAGCAGGAGCTTATAACAACCTAATGAGATCGCGATTATTATCACCATCTTCATTTTATAAATGAGGAATCTGAGGCTCAGAGATGTCAAGTCACTTGCCTAAGGTCTTACCCAGCTGGTAAGTGACAGAATGTAGACTTGAACCCAGGTTTGTCTGACCCAGCGTCTGTGCTCTTAACCATGAGCCAGTCAATTTACTGAAGTGGAAAGGCCTTCGTGATATAGCGTTGAATTTAGAGAAGCAGGTTACCTATGTTAGGTTCAGATGATCCCCTTACTGGGAGAAAAACACATAAATCAGGATAATATTTTTAAAAATCATTCCGTGACTTTTCTGTTCTTGTACCGTTGCTCTGCACCCTCCATGGGCTCTTGCCATTAAGATTTGGCCTTGGCCCAGGGGCCTCTCAGCCCTGGAAGGAGAAAGGCGAATGCCCCTTGGTCAGGGATCCTCACGAGAAAGCCAGGGACGCTGCTGAGCACTCGACCAGGTGCCCCCACCTCAGCTGTCCCCAGTGTCCACAGTGCTGGCACTGAGAAACCCACCTACAACAAAAATCCCCGGGGTTGGGTTTCCAAACAGATTAAACAAACCAAAACCCCTAACGCAAGGCAGAAATCTAGAAGGAAACAATTTTATTGAAGAACCCAGCTGGGCCGCGATGGGTGCTGTCCACCCAGAGCCAGCCGGAGGACTGGAGCATGGAGTTGGCCCGGAAGCTTGGAGCAGAGAGGCCAATCTGAAGCAGGTGGCTCCCCAGCCCACAGGAAGGTGACAGCCCTTCTCTGCATCAGGGAAATGAGGTGGCGGTTGGGAACAGACACTGTGGTGCCCCGGCCCCCACCCAGTGACACCCTGGGAGCTGTGGGGTGAAGCCTGCTGGGCCCGGGGTCCTGGAAGCCCCGACTGCTCTCCCTCCCCAGGTGGTGGAAGGCCACTGGAGAAGGCCAAGTGCAACGTCACTCAACCACGAGAAGGTGCCACTTGTGACCCGAGACGGGCGAATCTCAGAGACACTGGGCTGAACCAGAGACGCCTTCCACAAAAGAACCTGGACTGCACGCTCCGTGGGTCTGAGGCCCCAGATTAGGGCTCTGTCCGTGGTAGAGGGGACAGGGGAGCGGCTGCCTCCAGGGTGGGGCTGGGGAGGGACTGAGGGGACTTTCCAGGGCAAGGTCAAGTCCTGCGTCTTGATGGGGGTTTGAGCTACATAGGTGTGAACGACGTCAGTTGTGGACACTCGCAGTCTGCATTTCCTTGCTTGGTGGCCACTCTCAAGGCAGCCCCCTCCGTTCTTGTCCCTGCTGTCCCCCGGGGACCTGTTCATGGTTTGGGTGTGAGGCGTCTCCCCAAGCTCCTGTTCATCAGGAAGGTCCAGGTGCAGAGGCTGGGTCTGAGAGCCGTAACCTCGGCCGTCCATCCTAGTCGGCATGGACTGACCGGTGGGGTCCGTAGGCAGGTGGGGCGGGGCCGGAGGAGGTGGTCACTGGGGTGTGCCCTGGGAGGCTTGTCCTTCCTGCAGCGCCCACCCGGCCCTGGACCAGGAGCTGAGCATCTCCCCTCTGCTGGGCCCCCATGCTGTGCGGCTTCACTTGGGCCCAGAGCCATGGACTCGGCCATCTCTGCACTGAGACCTCTGAAATCCTTAGCCCCAAGGAAGCTCTTCCTCCTCTGCGTCACTTCTGTCAGGGGCTTTGGTCACGGCGATGGAAAGTTAGCGAAAACAGCGCCCTGGCGTGGTCCTCACAGAAGGTGCTGGAGCCACCTCGGTCGGCAGGGCAGCACCCGGGGCCTGGACAGCAGGATGCTGCTTTCCCACGGTCCTCAGTCTGCAGGTCCAGGGCCGGGCGGGCGGCTCCTCCCGAGGCCTCTCTCCTGGCTGGTGGCTGGCGGCTGGTGGCCTCCTCACTGTGTCCCGTCATGTCCTTCTGTGCAGGGCATCCCCCGTGTCTCTCTTAGGAGAACATCAGTCGGAGCTCACCCTAACAGCCCATTTTAACAGAAAGTCACCACCCGCACGTGTGAGCACGTCCTGTGGTCCCGGGGCAGCGCCTCAACGTGTGGAGTGTGACGAGCACCTTGCGGCCCCCAACACAGCCCGTCTCTGTCACCTGAGGTGCTCCTGAGGCTGCATCGGAAGAGGCTCTGCTGCTGGACCGTGCCCTGGGGGAAGCTGGCCGCCATTTGTGAAGAGATACCAGCAGCCCGAGGAAGGTCCCCAAGGAAGGTCCCAGAGGAAGGTCCCCGTGGAGAACTGGGGCCTCCTGCCAAAGGCCGCGTGAGGGGCACAGCTCCCTGGCTAAATGACCCCCAAATTCCTGACCCTCCCAAACCGTACAGTACACGGGATTTTATTTGTTTGCTTTAGGCTGCTGAGTTTCAGGATAATTTGTTAAACAACCGTCGATAAGTAATGGACACTACGTTAATTTTACATCGAAAGACAAAGCTAACAGAACGCTCGCCAAGAGGCCGGGGAAGGCCAGATGTGCGCAATTTGTTTTAAAGTGTAATAAGACGGGTCAGTGAATGAACAGAAGGGTGGACACATACGAAATAAACGGGGTGGCCAGTGTCAAGGGCGGCGGGGGGAGGGTCTCTGTGAACCTCATTTTACTTTGTTGTTGTTTGGACATTTTCTTTTCACAGTGTTGGGGGAATGGCTGCTACTTTCTTAGCCAGGGCGGCAGGAACACGGGCGCTTCATGATGATGAAGCCGCAGAAACCGTTTTACCTCCTCTGGAACATTCCACAAGGATAATGGCTACATCCATGGTGGAGGAGGGAGGCCGGGGAGGGTCCTGAGCACGACCAGGGGAGGAGGTAGAGCCGCCTGGAGGCCTGGAGGGGGGTCTGTGGCTGGGCCAGAGAGGACAGAGAGGGGACCTGGACTCCAGGGGCTGCTCAGTGGACAGTGACAGACAGCAGTCTCCTCCCCAGATGCCCCAGCCTCAGGGGCTGGGTGAGGGGAGGAAGCCCTGAGGCTGCGCGTGTCCCAAGTCCCCAGGCCCTGAGAGGCCTTCAATGTCATGAAAAGCATTGAGCTCACTGGACTTCCCTGGAAAAGTCATTTTCCCTCAGTAAACTCAGCCTCTTCTCTGATAAATGGTGGATTTCTGCCAGCTCCGGGGGCTGTAGTGGGCAGGGGGACTTCAGGCCAGTGTTTCTGCTCATCTGAATTAAAGGGTGTCATTTCAGATTCTGTGACACACACACAGACGCACACGCAGCACGGGGCCTGCCATGTGGACGGGGGCTTGGCGCACGGTCCAGGGACACCTGGCAGCACATCAGCAGACGCGTCCCTTTATCTGTCCCCTGACTTTGTTTATCTTGATTTAAAAAAAAATGACATGCTCTATTTTTAGAATCAGAGAAAATAAGCCAAAGACACAAGACACATCCTCACGGCCATACCTCCGCCCCGGGTCCTCCCGGAGGCCCGCTGCCTACCTTGCTTGAGGAGGGGGGACTTGTGGCTGCTGTCCACCACGAAGGAGAACGTCTTTCCGCTGGCACTCACGGGCCGTTGGTGGGCGGCGGGTGGGACTACGGAGGGCCTGGGGAAGCCCTGGGACCAGCTTCTCTGCAGGGGCACTGGCCGGATGCCCTGGTAGAAAACGTTGAGTGGTGGCGAAGGTGACGGGATCGGCTGCTGGGAGATCCGGGACGGCTGTGGCCTCGGCCAGGCTGCTGGGCCCCTCACCCAGGGGAAGGAGACCTGTGGGCAGACAGGGGCGTCAGGGCAGTTGTGATCCGCTGCCGTGGCCTGCACCCCTCCGTCCCAGCCACGTCATCGCTGCCCCGGGCCTCGGCTGGTGAGTCACGACCCTCAGGAAGCCTCCTGGACTCTCCTCGGGGTGATGGCCACCTGTGGGCCACAGGGCACGCCCCCCCACACGGGGGTGTTCATTATGTCAGGACCCTGCCGAGACGGCACCTGCAGGATGGCCCCGGGGTCGGGCAAGGCCAGGTGGGTCAGTGTGGGACTGAGCTGCTGAGCTGGTGGCCTGTCCCCTCTGCAGGGCAGGGGCCTTCTGTCTAGCTTGCTCACCACGGTATTCCCAGCACCTAGAACGGACACCAGCATGTGTGTCCTCCACAGTGGCTGAAAGAAGAGTGACCAGGCCGCCGAGGCCCAAGCCCGGCTCCTGGTTGAGACATTTCCTGGCCAGAGGGATTGGTTCAGGGGTGGGGCGTGTGATCCAATCAGAGCCAAGGACCCCCAGGGGACCCAGGCTGGACACCAGGTTTTTAATTGTGAAGACCACACAGCATGATTTTTACCATTTTGAACAGTTTAACTGTAGAGTTGAGTAGTGATAAGTATATTCAAATTGTCGTGAGCAGCATCTCCAGAATTCTTCCCTCTTACCAAAGTGAAACTCTCTTCCCATCAATACCTCCAACCCCTCCCCAGGCCCCGGCAACTGCCTTTCTCTCTTCGGTCCCATCACTAGGCATCTGAGTACTCTGGGTACCTCACATGAGTGGGCTCAGACAGTATTTGTCTTCTTGTGACTGGCTTATTCTCTTAGCACCACGTCCTCAAGGGTTATCCCTGCTGTAGCATGTGTGGAATCTTTTTCCTTTTCAAGGCTGAATACTATTCCGGTGAATGGCCAGACTACATTTTGCCTGTTCGTTCTCAAGTGATGGTCACTTGAGCTGCTTGTAACTTTGGCTGCTGTGAACAGGGCTGAGCAAATGCAGAAACTGGTTGTGAGCCCTCTCTGGGGTCTGACCCTGAACTGCTCAGTATGAGAGGCTGGTTGGAGTGGGTCTCTCTTGCTACACAGGTGACAGGGTCTCGCTTTAGAGGGAGATGCAGGTATATAAATGCAGCAGTGACCGCAACAGACTCTTTAGGTGTAAAATTAAAAAATAGTGTTTTTCCCCCTGAAGTTCATTGATTTAGGGTGGCCTCGGCTGGAAGGCGGAGGTTGGTCTCTGCTGAGCAGCTCAGGTCCATCAGGCAAGGTCAAGGTTTTAGCTGCTGGGAACTGCAAGGAGACGGACGGGCAGCAGAAAAACAAACCCAAGGAAAGACCACATGAAGAGGAAGCTCCTGGCCACGCTCACATAGAGTCTGCATGGAGCCTGGGCCAAGGTCATGGAGCCTGGGGTCAAGGTCAGTTACCAACAAGGCTGGATTTAGAAACTTTACATTAAAAATACGTGTTAATGCTTCCCTCCCGCCCCTTCCTCCCAGTCTGGACTAGTTCTGGGTCTGAGGCAGCTCATAGTCCTGAGCTCTTCCATGTCTGTCCCAGCAGGGCCACTGGAGGCACCTGGGCCGCGCCCACCCCGCGATGCTCAAGAAGCCTCACCCGTTTTCCCCCACTGTGCACCCTTCCCCATGTCACCACGCAGGACCCAGGCCTTCCGCCAGGAGGCCGAGGCTGTGGACCAGGGAGGGCGGCCTGTCCTCCAGCGCCTGTCATGTTCCAAGCTGTTTGCAACCACTGCCGCGGGGACGGCGACAGCCCCACAGAGACGGGGACGGTGGCGCCCTAACACGTGTGGTCTCGTCAGAATGACCCTGGGGAGCCGGAGGCTTTGCACCCCACCCGGGGCCGAGGATATGCAGCTCCGCGGGTTGGCGACTCCCTGGAGCATGGCAGCCAGGAGGTGGGGCCTGCTTGACCCCAGCCCTGCTCTTGGAGCATTGGGGTTATCTGAAGTCACGGTGGGCACCTGCCGGCCACACTGCAAAAGGCTCTTGGGTGGCTGGTAACGGAGAGCAGACGTTCCAAGTTAAAAAAAAATGAAAGTGTCGAGTAGACGGTGGGAAAACCCGCAGTCCTTCCGGGTGCTCCTCCAGGTCCACGCAGCCTTCTGTAAACTGCTGTGAGGACGGCGGCCTCCACCCAGCAGGGCCTGTGACAGTGTCACTGCTGTGCCCGAGCAGCGCTGGGCCCAGTCTGTCCTGCCTCACCAGAGCCACCGTGCGGCGTTCAGAACGTCGGGGCTGGTTGATAAACTCGGCCACGAATGAAAATCAGATCATGTATGTTGCAATTACAGGACAGTGACAAACAGGTGGCACCCAGCCTTCCTCATCATTCTGCCACACTCCTTATCACCCACGCCCTTGACTTTGCCTGTCAACGTTGAAAACACGACACAACCAGGCTCCTTCCAGCCCCGCGGGTGACATATAACCAGAAACTGGCCACCGCGGGAAGCTCACACCTTACAAGCCAGGCAGAGTCACAAATCGGGGCTTGATCACTCGCACCAAAGAAGTGGGCGGGGAAGACGGGAAGACAGAGCCATGTGTCGCAGCCTGACCATGAGGAACAGCGCCAACACCGAGGCCGACACCGAAGCTCCTCATCTGACGCAGCAGAGTCTCTCCTGTCCCCAAGGGACACGTGAGGTCCCAACACGCCCCTTCTCGGTTCACTTTTGTCTCTCTCATAAGCGTGAGCAAACATACCCCGACCATTAATGCTTTCAGTGGTCACCCTGCGCTGGCAATGGTTCAGCAAAGACCAAGAGAAACGTCCTGCGAGAACCGCCGGCTGCGTGGAGTCCCAGGAGAGTGGCGTGAGGTAGGACTGTAAAGAGTGCACTGTGCGGCATCTATAGCAGCGAACTTTTACCAGAAATTCTATATTTTCCACCTTTTCTATTGGTGCATTATAGTTGTGCATATCGAGGGGATCTGTTGTCACGTATTTGCACGATAAAGATAGTTGGCCAACATCACTCTCAGCCCTCCCCTGCCCACCCCTTGGTCGCTTTCCTCTCCTGGTCTCCCTTGATTTTCATGACCCACCCCACCTTCCTTTTCCGTTTTCCTCTCTAGCCTCTGCATATGCAGGGAAACATGACCCTCCACCTGCTGAGCTCGACTTAGAAATGCATGATTTCATTTTCTTTATGGATGATACAGCTCCACGGTGGGTACGGGCTGTGGAGCACCACCGGGATGCTGCTTGAGTGGCCTTGTACTGAGCCGGGGGGGTGTGGGGGACTCCCTTCTCCCCTTGGGGACGATCCCGGCATTCCCGTGTATAGACTGCCCAAGGCGTGGGGTCTCTTCCTCTCTGCCCACGGGACAGCTCTCCTGGCTCCAGAGTTGGGCGTGACCCACTGGGACAGTTAGCCCAGCCCCTACCTTATTTGGTAAAGAACATCCTTGGAAAGCCCTTGAAGTCCCCAGTGTGGAGTCGGAGCCAAGCGTGGCTCTTGCTCCCCTCCTTCCAGGGTGGAAGCTCCACCCTGAAGTCGTGGAGCCGTCCCGCCCTCGCTTTTCAAAATTATTTTCTGTGTCGTGTGGTTTTTTTGCCGCCTTTTTTCTTAGCTGAACTTCACAGCCAGCCCACTCCACGCACAGGAACCCCTGATTCCATTGCCCACGCGGGACCTGAGCGAGAATGTACCACGTTCTTGACCCATTTGTCCGCTGATGGAGCCCAGGGCTGGCTCATGGTTTGGCTGCTGTGAACGTGGGCTGCAGGGATCACTGTGCTGCGTGGCTTCGGTTCCTGTGGATAAACACCGAGGAGCCGCATGGCTGGGTGGCGTGTGGCCCCTGGCCAGCCTCTGGGGAACCTACACACTCGTGTCCGTGGTGGCTGTGCTGACTCACGGTCCCCACCAAGCAGCAGACCTTTGCTCTTTACGACACCTCACTTTTCAGAGAGCTGTTGGTCACACATTTGCCAGCAGATGGCTGAGCACCCAGCTCCATGCCTGCTACACACTACAGGTGTTCGCTGACCCAACTGGACCAGCCATGGGCAGACAAGAGTGTCAGGGAAATGTCCTTCAGCTGATTCTGGGCGAGAGCAGGGGAAATACACCATGATGCAGAAATTAAGGAAATGCTAAAGTAAAAAAAAAAAGTGGGCAGTGACCCCAGGCCCACCCACCACGCGTGGTAGAGTGATCACAGCTCACCTCGTGGAGGAGAGCTACTGTGCTGCGGCCCCATACCAACACGTGGGTGGGGTGGCTTTCCCAGCCGGCTTCCATCTAGTGACAACAGCCAGGACCTACAAGACCATCTTCCAGGTCCCTGCAGGCAAGGTATCGGTGACCTGCAGGGACACTACAAGATTATACGGTAGAAACTGTAATACCTCGAATCCACACTGTGAGACAGGAAGACACACAGATGACATGAAGAAACGGGAAGAAAGTGCCTGAAATAAGCCACACTGATACAATAGTAGATCCACTGACAGCACAGGAGCTGGAATGTCAGGGAAGGAGAGCAGAAGGTACATGATTAAAATGATGTGCGAAGCCAAGAATGAATTGAGAGAGCAAGTACAGGCCACAATGAGATGAGAGAGGACATACAGGTAGCAAAGGATTACTTCAAGAAAGAGAGAGACGCTGGAAAAAAACCCAAACAAACAAATCCTTGAAATGAAAGAAACAATAAACCAAATAAAAAATTCAATAGAAAGCATCAAGAACAGACTAGATCACTTGGAAGACAGAACGTCAGGCAATGGAGACAAAATATGTATCTTGAAAACAAAGTTGGCCACACAGTGAAGATGGTCAGAAACCATGAACAGAACCTCCAAAGAATTACGGGATGATATGACAAGACCAAATTAAGAATTATTGGGATAAAGAGAGGCACAGAGATACAAACCAAAGAAATGCACAATTTCTTCAATGAAATGATATCAGAAAATGTCCCAAACATGAAGAATGAATTTAAAAATTGAACACAAGAGTCTTACAGGACACCAAATATGCAAAATTACAGCAGACCCACACCAAGGCACATTATCCCGAAAACGCCTAGTCTACAGAATAGGGAGAGAATTTTAAAAGCCGCAAGAGAAGAGCTTCAGGTTACACATAGGGAGAAACCCATTAGGAGCTCAGCGGATTTCTCAGCCAGGAGATCCTGGAGCAGCACACACCAAGCTCTGAAAGAACAAAGGGTGGCGATGTGTTAGAGGGTCATACGGTGGCCAAGGCTGGGACAATCTGAGCCACAGATGAGTGACAAAGTGGTGGGTCATGATTCGAAGTATAAAATGAGTGCACAGGAACCGCGGTGGTGGGAACGTGGTTGGGTAGAGGCATCCCCGGGGCGGAGACGCTTCCTTGTGGAACCTGCCGAGCACAACACCACTCTCTCCAGCAAGGGGAGCTCGTGCCCTCCCTGAGGCTGTGCAACACCCAGAGACCACGGAGAAACCTGGTGACCCGGCCCAGCGTCACCATCACCGGGAAAGTGGTGCTGACGGGTGTCTGGATATCGCGGGCTGGCAGGACGCTTGGCCTCTGCCGCATGTGTTCTGAAGGCCACGACCCCAGGTGAAGCAGAGACAGACACAGACACAGATGGGGCATGTTCTCAGGTCACCTGGCCAGTAGGCAGGGCCACCAAGGAGAGGAGAACCAAGGGAAGACTCGACCCAGGGGACGAGGTGACTGAGCAACGTGGGCCCGGGGTGGCGTGGCTCCTGAAGTGTGGTGACACTGACGGGCCCGTGCTGTATGTGTGTGTGTGTGTGTGCGGACACTGACCGACCCATGCTGTATGTGTGTGTGTGTGTGCGCGCGCGGACACTGACCGACCCATGCCGTGGTCCAGGACAGACGTTAAGATGTGGCCGTGGAAGCTGCGGGAGGTCTGCACCACTTCCTGTGCCATCATTACAGCTCCCTGTAAATCCAAATTCTGCCCCCCCCTCCAAACAAACAAACAAACAAACAAACAACAAAAAAAAACATTACTTTTAAAAAAGGCTTTGAGTTCCCAGGATAAAATAAATAGTGGAGAATCCCTGAGCAGTGGCAGACCAGCTCACTCAGGGGGAGACCTGGGGGCCCACCGCAGCCCCTGCTGTCTTAGCTTTGCCAGACTTGTCTGTAACTACCAGCTGAAGGGACCTAAGGGGACATGGAAGGTAGGCAGTGGAGGGTGGGGGATCCCTCCACCCCAGGAAGGGCGCATGAGCCACGCTTGGGTGTCAGTGATCGGTTCTTGATCTCAACCAAATCAGTGAAGAAGCTGGCTTTCTCTAGAACTGTGTTGGAGCTACTGCTGTGTACCTTGCCACAGGTGAGCCGAGAGTCTGCCACAGACTGTGAAGCTAACAGAGGGGAAGGGACAGATATCTGATCGTCATTTGAATCCAGCCAGGCCTGAAGCCCTTACGCTTATGACTCCCTACCTTTTCATGTGTTTATGTATCTTTTGCTTAGGCTAGTTTGAGTTAGGGTTTTGAAATGTGCCAACAATGAAATTTTCTGGATAGTATGATTATTGTGATTTTAGCACAAGCCTGAATATGTCATCAGAATCAAAGTTGCTATTACATAGGTTCTGACATGTTCAGATGAAGCCCATCACGCTGTGATTGAGATTTACCTTTAAATCAGATTTACCTTTAACCTTATAAAAGTAAAACAGTGGCCCAGAGAAGTGATCTAAGACCAAGGAACCAGTCACAAGACAGGCAGTGAGACATTAAATAGAGAAGCAGAACAAACAAACAGTTCTCTAGCTGCAGTCGACTGCAGAGTGTAAACTCTGTTTTTCCGCTTCAAAAGTTACACCAGGGAAAACATCCCAAAGTCTTAAAAGAAAACTTTGCACTTTAAGAAACAGGTAAAAGTTAGGACATACGCGTGTGATTGTTGTCTGTTAATGTCTGGCATATCTTTCGGCTGTATCAATGTCATTGTTCTATTGCTCTCTGTACAAGCCCATCTCTATGCCTGTGTGTAGACTGGGATCCATATTTCCAAGCTCTGTGTTCGAGAGGTGATGAAACAATTGTTCACATCCGTTTCTTCTTATTCCTTAGCTAACTGGGTTAGCTGTGAGGGCCCAGCTCCTGGCAAACACAGGGCCCAGTCTTCATTCCTTCTTCCTCCTGATCCCCCCCACCACCACCTTTTTTTTTTTTTCTTTTGCTTCTTCCAGAAACTGAATAAATGGAGGCGGGTGTTCCGGGTGGAGGTCGCATTCTCCTGGAGGCAGCAGGTGGTGGCTGCGCACGGGGCACCACGGATCTCTGGCTGCCCTGACGGTGGACCAGGAAAGCCAACCTGGTCCACGCTGAAGTGGACGGCTTGGCGGTTTTCCAATGACGCCTTTTTTATGAAGACAGTTAAGGACCTAGATTTGGTCCACGGCTGTCAGTTCACCCTCCGCAGGTGAAGAGGACGGGATTGAGCCTTTTACAGATACGGTCCAGCTCCTCCTTTGCCCATTCCCTCTGGGTGACCCTGACCATGTGTAAGGTAACGGCAGCTGCTTCTTACTTTGTGAGGACGGATGGGGTGGCGCCTAGCGAGCTCAGGGTGCGTCCTGGTGCCCAGGAACTGCTCGTGACACACAGCCACCAGGCAGCTGCGTCCTCCAGGAAGAAACAGGAAGGGACAGGCGGTGGCCTGCCGCGGGGCTGCGGTAATGGGGGTGATTCCTGGTAAATGGGGGCGAGGGGGGAAGCCAGAGCCCACGCTGCCTTTTCCTCCCTCCTTGGTGGCCCTGTTTTCACCCACTAAGTCGTCCCCAGCAGCAGGGGAAGCCGCAGGCCGCCTGGGGCTGCAGGGAGCACTGTGGCCTGAGCGCCCACGGCCCTGGGATCTCTGCGCTCCTGGGAAACCCTCCTAGACTGGGACTCGTGAGATCTGTCCCTTGATCTCCATTCTGGCCGTCACCGACAGACACATCACCTTGGGAAAGTGTGGCACCTCTTTGGGACTTAGCTTACCTGGGATGGGACGGTCCCAATGGCCTCTGCAAGAATTCTGAAGGAGGAAAGGACACCTTTGACAACTGTGTAGAAACCGGAAACTGAAACTCAGGTCGTACTGGAAGGTGAACTTGGCCCATCAAAGCCCTCACTTTTGACCGTGTCCTTCCCCAAGAAGCAGAGAGCAGCAGGGACTGCTGGCCAGTGGGGGCAGGATGCCGGGGGTCGCCAGAGTGAAGGACGCTTCCAGAAGTCACCAGGGAGTCTGGCTGGACAGGGCAGAGCCGGCCAGGGGAAGTCCAGACACGGGAGCTGACCCCTCAGTCAGGGTCAGCCCAGAGCCCACTCCCGGGTCAGGCTGGAGGAGCTGTCCATGGGGAGAGGAAAGCAGGTCGCCTCTTCCTGAGCCAGCTCTATGTGTCCTGGGTTCCTCTCTCTCTTGTGTGGTTCCATTTAGATTTGTCACATTTCAGAACAAACACAAAATTCCTGTGTTCTGGTGAGTGTTTCCTTGGCCCGCTGCTGTGGAGGACAGGATGGCTGGTGACAGGGGAGCCCTGGCTCACAGCTCCCTTCCTGGGCCCCTGACACACAGAGACACACAAACAGACAACACACACACACAGAGACACAAAGACCACACACACACAGCACAGATACACATACATAGACACACAGACACAGACACACATAGACAACACACATATACAGACACACAGACACACACATAGACACACAGACACAGACACACACACAGACACAGAGAGAGACAACACAGACACACACAGACACACGTATACACACAGAGACAGACACAAGAGACAATACAGACCCACAGACACACAGAGACAATATAAACACACAGACACATAGACACACACAGAGACACAGACACACACACAGACACAGACACACAAACAACACAGACACATAGACAAGCACACACACACACAGACACACAACAACAAGAAGCAGCAACAACCACCGTGGCAGCCGCCCCTGACCGGCTTTGTTTCAGTCTCCTGATTTGTGGGCGGAAACTGTCACTCAGTGGCTGCTCCAGGCCTGGCTGGGGCCTGCGGGCCATGTCCTGCACAACCCCAGGGCGCTGTCTGCCTAGACCACAGCGTGAGTGGAGACCATGGAGGCCCACGTGGTGAGGGACTACGATGGTGGCGAGAGCGGGGACTTGGATTCTCGCGGAGCTTCCTGGTGCCCATGTGCTTTGACAGCCAAGAGCTCGTCCTGATTCTCCATCCTGTGTGTCCTCCCATGGGTTTGTCACTTGCAAATGCACCTGGTAGCTGAGGAGGTCTCAGAAGGAGGCATGGTCACTTGGTCACTGGCTGAACAATTTGCATACAGCGCCCCACTGAATTCCACAGGAACCCGGGTGGCGGCAACTATTAGATCCAGCTGCACAGAGTGGAGAGTGTGGCTTTGAGGAGTGAGGCACCTTGCCTTGACCTTGACCCCGTAGCTGTTGAGAGCAGGGATGGGGCTAGACGGGGCCGCTGGACTTGGTCTGCAGGACAGCTGCCCTGTTGCTGCTATATGGTTGCAAACACTCAGGTCCCTAACTTCTCCCCGACTCCTGCTCCCTAAAAACAAGCCTGTCACCACCTCTCTGGGTCACAGCACCAAGCCTGGAGTAGCGACCTTTCCCCTGGGAACGCTTTGTCAGGAAAAGAACAGTTGCCCTTGTGATATTAGGACCGCTGTCTTCCAGAGAAGGAGTTCTGGAAAACTCCACCTGGGGAGAGAGCGCCCTCTCCTGGCCCAAAAGACGGATGGGAACAGGAGTGAGCGGGCGTCCAGCTGGCTCTGGATTTCTCAGGAAAAACGGACCCAAAATATTTGATGAGAGTCACTCTCCAACATGTACTTACAGATAAACAGCCCACAGGCAGGGTCACCAGGCCAGCGGGACAGAATCCACAGGGGTGGCAGCCGGCACGGGACCCCCTTCAGCCAGAACCTAGGGAGGCTCCCAGGGGGACAGGTCCCGCCCGAGGCCAGCCACACGGTGCCTAGAGATTCATAGAGGCAGGAAGCAGAGCGCGCTGCCTGGGCTGGGCGAGGGCCAAGGCGCCTCACTCTTCCACGGGGACAGTTTGGGATCTACAAGATGAAGCAGGGCAGCGGTGGAGATGGGCACCTCATGCCACCAACGTCCTCACGTAAGCATGGCGAGGTGGCAGACCTCGTGCTGCGTGGATCCCACCCCAGCTTCAGAAGGGAAAAGATCAGAACCGGACGGACACAGGTGAGTGCTGGAGGTTTCTCTGGGGGTGGGTGATGGAATCGTGCTGGAAACAGACCCTGCAATGGCGGCCGGCTCATCGATTCACTAGAGTTTGCAAGGTGCACATCTGAAATGGGGGACGTGTGTGTGTCACACCACGTGAGCTTCAGAGAAGCCACGGGAGCCCGCCGGGGAGCCACAGGCCTGTTTGAGGCTATGTGGCTTGCTGTTTGGTGTGGTGATGGCCACGGGTCAAAACCCGCCAAGTCAGGCACTTTACCCACAGGCAGCTGGATACGCCAGTCACCCCGCAGCAAAGCTGGGTCTTTAAAAGGCAGCACAGCCTGGTGGTGGCACATGCCTGCAATCCCAGTGGCCCAGGAGGCTGCGGCAGAAGGATTGCGACAGCAAGGCGCTAAGCAGCTCAGTGAGACCCTGTCTCTTAATAAAACGCAAAATAGGGTTGAGGATGGCGCTCAGTGGTCGAGTGCCTCTGAATTTGATCCCTGGTACAAAAAAAAAAAAAAAAAATGTAGCCCAGTGTCGCACGGTAATGGGTTTCTCCTAGTTCATCAGACAACGCCCCTTCTGATGGGCACTGAGGTCTCAGATTTTATGCTACTATAAGTAATATTCCAATAAATATTTTCGTAAGATAAGAAAAAACACATATATTGATTGTATGTCCTCTCCTCTCTGCCTGGCAAGTCACAAAAATCAGAATTTCCTAAGGAGGGGGCCCAGGAACCTATGATTTTACTGGAAATTTCTGAAAAATTCTTGTAATCAGACTCATTAAGGAAACACTGCCTCAGACTTCACAGACTTGGATCAGAAATTCCATTTTCTTTCATCCCTAAAAGAGCCCACAAACGCTACATACAAAATATTCTGTATTGGCTTCCCTTCTGTTGGGGCACAGCGGCTCTCCAAGGAGCTGGTGAGCATGCAGCTTCCAGGAGTGCTGTGGGGCTGTTAGCTGGAGCACAAATAAGTAAATGAGGAGGTATGAATAAATTAAATATGGGTGTCCAGTTCAAACTGAGTCTCTGTAAAAACCGAATACATTTTTAGCATAAGCATATCCCATGCCATATTGGGGACATACGTATAACTAAAACTATTTTTTTAATATAAACTAAGATTTAACTAGGTGTCCTGCATTTTTTTCTGGCAAACCCTAAGCATGAGTCCTCGGGCCTGGGGGAGCTCAGAGATCTGCACTGCTGCTCTGCCATCACGTGGTTCTGACATGGGGGACCTAAGTGGCCTCCTGAGAACGCTGATCAGGACAGCACCCTCTGGGTCGGGAGGCCTCGCAGTGCTGCCAGAGGACCCAGAGCTTTCCCTGAGCAAACGTGTTAGCGTTGGTGCCAGGGGAAGGAGAGAGCAGGAGCGGCCTGTCCCAGGTTCCAAAGCCCAGGGGGAGCCCGGTGGTGGGGTCCTGGTCAGGCGCCTGCGGGTCGCGGAGGGCGATCCCTGGGGCCAGCTTTCACAGGGCTCTGGGAGACCCCAGCCCCAGGCCGCTGGCTGGAGTCTCTACATTTATTATTGCTGGTCTTGTCCTAGGAAGGGTCTAAGCCTTGGGGGTCTCAGTCCCTGCAGCGGAGTTGGGGTGGGAGTGAGGCCAACACCCACCTCCCGGGACCAGACGACGGGTGCCACCGAGGCGCCGCAGGCTGTGAGTTTCACAATCGTAACGGGGGTTCATTGGACCTTCAGGTGAGCCCAGGGCGGTCACGGCCCCACCCTGTGGATGCCAAGACGGCCGTCCAGGGTCCCGGGCTGCTCAGGAGCCCGCAGGGAGCGGGGTGGCAGGGCGGGGATCCGCGGCCAAGGCCGTGACCTCGCCGGCCCCTGCGCGCCTCCCTGGTGAGCCCCGGGCTCCTGGTGACCAGATTTTATGGGTTGATTTCACTTGAGACCCAGATCTGGTCCCTGAGCCCGGGCGCGTTTCTGCCGGGCCCGACAGTGGCTGTCGTGTTCCCAGCTGGGACGCGGAGTTTCACGAAGGCCACACCCCACCATATGGGGGCGCTGCTCCCCCAGACCCGCGGCCGGGGCTTTTGCAGCCGGCGGTGCGCAGCCTGCAAAGAGGGGCGCCCTCCGCAGAGCTGCACCCTGGGCTGTCCCAACGGCAGGCGACACGGCAGGACGCGGCGAGCTCGGCACATCGTCCCCTGCAGCGCACTGCTGGGCACCTCGTGCTGACCCTGCCCCGTCATGGCTCGGCATGTCCTCCCGGGCACCCTGTCCCCCTGGCACAGCTGGGCACCCTGACCCCCTGCCCCGACGTGGCTCGGCATCCCGCCTGCAGCGGCCTGGGCTCACCTGGGGTGGATTCTCAATGACCAGCTCGTAGGTCAGTCCCGCGGACCCAAATCTCAGGATGTCCCCGGGGATGAGCTTCACAGCCACGTTCTGGATGTGACACTCGTTGACGAACGTGCCGTTGCGGGAATTGAAGTCCTGAAGAACGAAACTGCCCTCTTCCTCGTTGAACTCAATGAGCGCGTGGTGGTTGTCGATGTCTGCCCACTGAAAGCAGAGACGGACAGTGGTCGTAGGAACAAAAATGCATGGCCCTGGTGCGCACTGTAGGCCAAAATGTGTCACCCAAGTCACTGTGGATTGTCACCACATTGTTTTATTTATTTTTTTGGTACTGGGCACTGAATCCTGGGCCTGGCACATGCTAAGCAAGTACTCTACATGGAGCTACACCCTCCGCTCACAATCCTCATTGTTAAAGGATGCTGAGGATCAGAGAGGGTAAGTGATTTTCCTAAGGCCACATAGCTAGAGTGTGTTGGAGCTGGGATGTGCTCTCTGACTGCAGACCTGGGGACAGGCACCAAGTTGTTGGGTGGAGAGTCAGAAAAATGTTTGGCCAGGGAGGTGGCCATTCCTGTTCCTGTTCCCTTGACTCTGCAGCGGCCGGTGTAGGGTGGGAGGGAAAGGCTGGGCAGGAGACAGAAACCGCCTGGACACAAACCACAAAGGCCAGTGGCGAGTGAGAGCTGTCCAGCCAGGTCCATGGAGAGGGTACACGTAGCTGAGGGGGTATTGCTGTTCATTATTTTGTTCATTCAAAAAATAACATTTCTTATTGCAGAAAATGAGAAATAGAGAAAAGCAGTAAAAGGATATTAAAATCTCTTGTAATCCCATCCCCCAGAGGCAGCCGCTGTTAATACTGTGGCTCACATCCTTCTGGGTTTTTTTCTATGTTGACATTCTTTTAAAATTAAAACAAAATCAATCACTTAACACATACAACTGCCTTTTAAAACTCGACATGCAATGAAGCATTTTCCCATGTGATTAGTTTTTCCCATTGCATCTTAGAAGCTACTCAGAGTTTATCTAACCAAAGATGATCTACTTTTCAACAGGGGGCCAGGTGTGACTATGGTCCCCAAAGGAAAGGGCTCCCGGCCAGTGCATCTATGAGCTGGTGGTGGGGGACAGAAGCACCTCTCAATTTCATTTTTTAAAAAATCTGATTGAACTCAAGGATGCTTAACCACTGAGCCATATCCCCAGCCCTTTTTATTTTTTATTTTGAGATAGGGTCTTGCTAGGTCTCTTAGGGCCTGGCTAAGTTGCTGAGGTTGGCTTTGAACTTGCAATCCTCCTGCCTTGGCCTCCTGAGTTGCTGGGATGACAGGTGTGCACCACTCTGCCTAACTTCATTCTGTTTTAATAAGAAGAGTGAGCCGAGCTCAGCATCCAGGGCAATAGCACCTTCCCCTGGCCTCGGGCCCTGCAGGGAGGTAAGGAAACACATTTCTTTTCTTTTCGATTCTATTTATTTCCTTTCTTCCTTCCTCCTCCTTATTTATTTATTTATTTATTTATTTTTGTTTTGTTTTTATGATGGGGCCTCACTATGTTGCCCAGATGGACCCTAAGCTCAGGTGATCCTTCCATCTCAGTCTCTGGGTAGCTGGGACCCCATCCACGTACCACATGCCTGAATGTCTTTGTCTTTTAAGGACACAGTCTACAGGACATCCACTCCAGCCTGAGACTTTGCAATCGTTTTCTAAGTTCACCTTCTTCATCTTTTCAGGATATCCCCATCAGGTTTCATTAAAAAGTACAGGCACTCAGAAATCTAAAATGCCATCATAAGTACCAACAGTTTATTTTACTAATAAAACATATTGATGCATGTGACAGAGGAGCATTCTAACATATTAAACTTTACATGCCAGGAAACTGGCCAGCTTTCTTACCACGGTGTCCCATTTCATCCTCACAATCCAGACAGTCCCCATTTTGTGGAGGAGGAAACTGAGTCATAGAATGATGGATTTATGTGGGGCCACCAACTTGACAAGATTGGTTTGTGCCCAGTTTTCTTAAATTGAGGTCTATTGACAAGTTTCCATCAAATACTTTAACACTCCAAATACAAAGACACCAAAGAAAGCTGGAGTAGCTAAATTCATTGCAGACACATCTGACTTCAGAAGAAGAAGAGCTATTGGATGTAGAGAGGCATTAAAAAATGATAAAAGGGTCCATTCTCTGAGAAGACGTAACAACCCTAAACATGTATGCACCTAATAAGAGAGTTAAAAAATACAAGAGGCAAAACCAAATAAACTGCAAGTAGAGACAGAACATCCCTTGTGGTAGTTGAGATGCCATTCCTTCTCTGCCAATAGTAGATGGACCCAGCAGACAGAAAATTAGTAAGGCCACAAGATGAACTGATGGCACCAGCAATCAACCAGATCTAATTGGTGTTTATAGACTATGTAAGCCAACAACAACAAAACACACATTCTTTTCAAGTTCATGTAGGATAATCATTCACCAAGATACACCACGTTCTGGGCCATAAAACACATCTCAACATATTTAAAAGAATAGAAAGTATGCTGACTCTGCTCTCAGACCACAGTGAAATTAAACTAGAAATCAGGAAGAAAAAGATTGCTGGAAAATCCCCAAATATCTGAAGATTAAACAATTTATTTCTAAATAGCTAAATACCACATGAGTCATAAAAGAAGTCCCAAGACCAGTGAAAAATGATCTTAACTAAATGAAAATGAAAACCAACATTTGTGGCTGCAGGGAGAGCCGGGCATGGGTGGTGTTGAATGCATACATAACCAAGAAGAAAGACCTCAAATAAACAATCAAGGCTTCCACCATGGGAAACCAGAGATAGAAAGACAACAAGCCTAATACAAACAGAACATAAATAAAAATTAGAGTAAAAATGAAAGAAATTGAAAAAGGAAAAAAATATAGATAACAATAAAAGAGACTTGTATAGTTTGGATTTGAATGTCTCTGAAATGCACACATGTGGAAGGCTTGGTCTCAGCCTGTGCTCCTACTGTGAGATGGTGGAGCCTTTAAGAGGTGGGGCTTAGTGGGAGGAAGTTAGGTGATTGGGGACATGCCTTTGGAGGGAATCTGCGGACCCTAGCTTCTTCCTCTCCTTTTGCTTCCTGGCTATCATGGGGTGAACAGGCCTCCTCTGACATGATGTACCTTGCTGCCCCAGACCCAGAGCAGCAGGCCAAGCAGCATGGACTGAAATCTCTGAAAACATGTGCCCAAATATACCTTTCTTCTGTAAGGCGATTATCTCAGGTATTTTGTTACAGTAATGGAAAGCTGACCAACACAGACTTCAAAAGGTGACTCTTTAGAAGGATCAATAAAATCAACAAACCTCTAGTAAGCCAACCAGGAAAAAAAGAGAAGACACAAAGGATTGCAGGCAGACAGGAGAGAGAGGCCATTGCCACTGAGCCCAGGGACATGGAAAGGACAACAAAGGAATATTATGAACAACTCTCTGTCCACAAGTTGGATAAATTGGATGAAATGGTCCTACTCCTTGAAAGACCAATCTACCAAATTCATACAAGAAGAATCAGATGATCCGAGTGGGACCATACATTCTTCATAAAAGAACTTGAATCAATAATTAATAATCTTCCAAAGAAGAAATCACCAGGCCCAAATAAGTTCATGGATGAATTATATCAAACATTTGAGGAAGAAGTGATACCAGTTCCCCACGATTTCTTCCAGAACACTCCCAACTCATTCAATGAGGCCAATATCATCCCAATTCCAAAACCAGATACAAACATTACAAGAAAGGAAAACAAAAAACCAACATCTCGTATGAACATAGATGCAAAATCTTCAACAAAATGTTAGCAAACGAATCCTCAATGTACAAAAAGAATGTATTGAATACTCCCAACCTGCCGAGCACCACAACTCCACGTAGCCTACCTAAGAGGTGCTCTGAAGCCTCACTTGCCTGCAGTGGGGCACTGGTGAGGGTATTGTGTCGCAGGACCTTAGCCCAGGAAAAAACCAAAATTCAAAACTCTAAATGTGGTTGCTACTGAAGGTGTGCTGCGTTTGCACCACTGGAAAGTGAGAAGAATCACAAACCATCACAACTTGGGGGCTGTCCATACAGAGTGAACGATGTGAGCCAGAGACTTCAGTTAGTAAAAATATACTCACCAACTATAAAAATGTGCATTGGCAAAGTGTGTGTGTGTGTGTAAGTGTATGTGTGTATATGTGTGTGTAAGTGTATGTGTGTGTGTGTAAGTGTATGTGTGTGTAAGTGTATGTGTGTATATGTGTGTGTATGTGTATAAGTGTATTGTGTGTAAGTGTGTGTGTATGTGTGTGTAAGTGTATGTGTGTGTGTAAGTGTATGTGTGTAAGTGTATGTGTGTATGTGTGTAAGTGTATGTGTGTGTAAGTGTATGTGTGTATATGTGTGTAAGTATATGTGTGTGTAAGTGTGTGTGTATGTGTGTGTAAGTGTATGTGTGTGTAAGTGTATGTGTGTGTAAGTGTATGTGTGTGTATGTGTATAAGTGTATGTGTGTGTATGTGTGTGTATAAGTGTATGTGTGTGTATGTGTGTGTGTGTAAGTGTATGTGTGTGTAAGTGCATGTGTGTATGTGTGTAAGTGTATGTGTGTGTATGTGTGTATGTGTGTGTATGTGTGTGTGTAAGTGTATGTGTGTGTAAGTGTATGTGTGTAAGTGTATGTGTGTATGTGTGTGTAAGTGTATGTGTGTGTAAGTGTATGTGTGTGTGTGTGTGAGTGTATGTGTGTATATGTGTGTGTAAGTGTATGTGTGTATGTGTGTGAGTGTATGTGTGTGTGTAAGTGTATGTGTGTGTAAGTGTGTGTAAGTGTGTGTGTGTAAGTGTGTGTGTAAGTGTATGTGTGTATATGTGTGTAAGTGTATGTGTGTGTAAGTGTATGTGTGTATATGTGTGTGTAAGTGTATGTGTGTGTAAGTGTATGTGTGTATATGTGTGTGTGTGTATGTGTGTGTAAGTGTATGTGTGTATATGTGTGTGTGAGTGTATGTGTGTATATGTGTGTGTAAGTGTATGTGTGTATATGTGTGTGTGTGTGTGAGTATTCGGGGGGCCAGAGAGATGGGAACTCTGTCCTATTAAGGAGTGCCACCCTCTCCTCGTCCCTGCTAACCACATTGGTGCCCTTGGAACCTTGATG